CCCCCCCCCCTCCCTTTTTTTTTTGGGTGTTGGCGGTCGAAGGCTTTTGGTGTGGTGAATGAATCCTAGGAATAATCAAGGAAGGGGTACCTCCGTACTCTCTATGGATTAGTGACCTGGTATTGAGTTCCAAGTGTCTCGAGGTTAAGTAGTAAATATCGATTGAACGTTCCAGGCAAAAATCTTGGGATTGATTGACTCTTGATGGAGAATTCCATACCATTCATATGGCTTTCTCTTTATCTAGAGAAGGCAAAAAAGAAAATGGAGATAGATATTTCATTCCTATTGTAGAAAATATTTCTTTCTCTTTACTCTTTTCATTTATTTATTTTATTTAATTCCCTATATATATATCTCTCTCTCTCTCTCTCTCTCTCTTATGTACGGCTTTTTTTTCTCCCTCTCTCCCAGGACTTCCTTCCTTTCAAATCCCCTCCTCATTCCTCCTCCCCCCTTTCTAGTGGGGAATTAAAAAACATGGAAAGGGGACTCTATCCTTCTCGGAATACGCGATGGTGGGGTAGAGATGGAAATCGCTTAGATTTCGGTGGATAATGATATATTGAATGTGAGAAATGGCATGACTCTAAACTTGAATGCAAGAGCCACATTGTGAGAAAGAAACAATAGAGGTGGATCGCCATAAGAGGGCTCGAAAGGCGATCACAGCTGAAGAGAGCAATCATCATTCATCCCATCATGTGGGTGCGGGGAAGGAGATCCCAGAAATCGAGGCCGATCGAAGTTGAGTGGGTGAGAAGGATGGGGAGGAGCAACTTTAATCTCTTTCAAGGCTTCTTATGGATGCCAAGAGTACTGGCGGCCCCTTCCAATTTCGCTCTGTCGCTCTGCTAGATACCTGAGCTTCCAATCGAGGAGGGGGGAGAAGAGATAACTACATCTCTTACTGCTTCCGTTCGACGGTGGAAACAACTCCCGCTAACAGTGGATACTGGCATCGATCCCATTACGCAAGCCAGCAATTGGCGCTGCGGTTCGGGTGCCAGATTTCGGCCAAATTGTTCCGAGTCCAATGATTAAAGGGAAAACGAAAGGCAAAGAAAAAGAAAAAGAAAAACCTAGAAAAGCAAGCATACAGTGATAAAGACTATCTACATGGAGTAATACCACACCCAAAGTTTAACTATTTTTTTTTTTTCCCCTTTCTTTTTTCCTTTTCTTGACCACCCCTGTCGGTGGGAATTCAATTGCGCGATTGGTATCATCTCCGATGCAGGTTCCTGCGGGAACCACAGTATGAGGGTAAAAAGAAAACGAGAAAATGTCCGTGCGGGCCAGTTATGTAATAGCCACATTACATGTACGTAGTACTACTTCATAGTAGTACGTGTAACTTACTACCCTACTAAGTAGTAAGTACGGGTACCTAGATAGTATGTACTAAGAGGTACCATGGACAGTGAAACGTCGTTTAGTTCCTTCGGGGCCAATGAGAAACAGCCCACGCTTTCAATCCACGAATGAGAAGCTTCGCCTCCCTACGTCTTTCTTTTCACCTTTGATCTAACATGGACTACTACTAGCATCGTAACTTAGGATTTACCTATATGCCTTTACTCCGTACAGCCTGATTTTATGAAATGATTCTAGTAAAAGAAAGAGAAAATAAAAGGGCAGGAAACCAATCGGTAGAGGTCATAAAGAAGGGATAATTAGTACATAGGTAGTAAGTATGTAGGTACATGGATACATCATTGAAAATTTACTGTATGTACATAAACACTACCAAACCATCTCCTCACACTGAAGTTACTTTTCCCTTCTACCTAGGCACCGAGCTGAAAGTCTCTCAGTTTTCAGATAGGTGCTAAAAGTAGTTAAATGAATTTACAGCTCACTTCCAATTTGGATCTAAAAGTGAGCCATTATCATTTCCGTACTATCGCCCGAGAGATCCCGGCAGCCGTCAATATACTGAAATGAAATGAGACGAAGCCTGTCAAAGCCGAAAGATGATATACGGGATATTTGGACGGAGCAGGAATCCCCCACATATCATTGCAGAACTTGTCGCATACGCTTAATTTTACGTGGAAAGAATCTTATGGGATGGTGAAACGTGGCGTATCAGATCATCCGCCTTCCATTGGCCCCAGTCACTACACTGCAATTTCGCATGACAGCTACCTACTAACCAGGGGTAAGGTTGGCTCGAAAGGCGCTGTATGAAATCATTCAAACCGTTAGGTGTGGGCGATAAGTATATTCAGATAGATAGATGGACACAATAGATAGTGGTGAGCTCCACGATTATGCAGGTACGTCCATATAATATTAGAGTTAGCTGATCTCCGAGTAATTCGGACCCTCGCCCGTAGCTTATACGTCCAAGAAGCGGCGCCCTCCCCGACTCAGCCTTAGTATCACCGAGAGGGGCCCGGATACGGCCATTTGTAGGCCTCCCTTCCACACCTCAGGCTATCAGAAATTAATTCCCGTTTGGGAGACAGAGTGGATGTCGAAAAGCCTTCAATTTCCGGACAGTGGTACATTTGCTGTGTCCTTGCCCCTCTCATTAATTCTCCGGCCATCTCCTCTCCCTGCAGGACACGGTGAAATGTCAAACCCTTTTTTATTTATTTATTTATTTATTATTATTATTTTTTTTTCTAAAAAAAAAATAAAATAAAAAATAAAATACGGCGAGGGGGAAAACTTCGGGTGTCGCCACAGGACTAAACAGCACGCCAGATGAGGGTCATCAAATGAGGCCAATCAAAGTGGCCAAAGTCCCCGCCGTAATCTCTCACTTCAAGTCTTTTGTGAGGTGAGAATGAACGAGCACCAACTCCCCCCCCGGCGAAACTCAAGTCTACTGTTCCCTCTCATGATTTACCCATATTGCAAGGCTTCCCCTCAGCGCTGTGACAGTGATGCATAAAAGGCACCTGTATCGTCAAATGGCGTATCGAATTTAGAACCCATCAGCCATAGTAGTAGCCCTTCGTTCTTCGGCGTCAGCAGGAGCCAATCAAGTTGATGTTTCCTTTGGCCACTTCACAAGGGATGTGGCGCTCTTCATGTGTCCGCAGCAGCTGCATCCTTCAGTCCGCCGAACCTGTCTCGGTGGCGACGGTGGTATTCCCCTTCTCGGAATTGCTAGGCTCATGATCCTGTGCCAAACCACCAGACTCGCCTTCGGTCGAAGCCTTTGTCGTTATCTCGTGAGCCTGAGGGGTGCCTTCCAGGACTTGGGGGGTTCCTTCGGAAGGCTGTTGGGTTTCAAACAGGAGTTTTAAGTTCTTACCGTCCTCTATCTTGTCAAAGGCCGCAAGCTTGCTTTTGGCAGAAAGCCTTAATATACGCCATGTCTTGCTAGCTTTAGCGCGAGTCGCGTTTTCTCTATCCTCCTTCGCCTGTGCAGTGTCTATATCCAACTCATCGTCCATTATGCCCATCATGAACGAATCGGAGGAAGGAACTGCAAATCTTCGATACTGTCAGCCACGGACCAGCCATATCGTCGATGATGATCTGTGGGCGCGCTTACCTTTGGGGATCCTTGAGCCTCTCGAGGCCGGCTAGTGATTCACCCTCAGAGAGGAAATCCAAATTAAGCGAGCCCATTGGTGAAGACCGAAGGCGCTTATTGGTGTAAGCTTTAGTTGCATGCTCGCGAGCACCAAGGTACTCCGTCACGGATACAGGGGGTCTCTCGATCAACGGACAGCCTTCAGCTTTCCAGCGCACCCAATTTTTGTCTCTCGACAGAACGGTGTCCACCATTCGATAGTAGAATTTACCACCGACGCCTTCTTGAAGATACTCTTCGATCGCCTTTCGCATCTTGACTGCCCATTTGGCCTTAAAATGTCAACAGTGTTCATGAATTAGGTATCGTTAGCGATACCTACATCTTCCTCAGTAAATACATAGCCATACAGCACAGATTTGTTAGTCAAATCGGCAAGCTTGGCCTTGGCTTTGGGGGTGAGTGAGAGCATGAAGTCGAGGAGAATGAGCGCCTGGACCAGAACATGTCTTCGAAACGCTGTATCATTGACCTACAACCAAGTTTAGCATAATATGGCCAAATGGAAGCCAACCAGACAGCATACCTCAAGGTCAAACAAATCTCTGCTTGTCAGATACTTAGGGTTGAAACTGCTTGCAATTTCCTGGCCGTCTACAGTTCTCTTCCGCTTGTTGGAATTCCGAAGCTCTTCAGAAGTCTTGCTAGCGCTGAGACTTTCGAGGTCCGTATTAACTGATTCGAACGTAGAAAGAGTAGCCTCAAGTCCCATCTTAAATGTGGCGAAGTGTTGAGGGTCGAAGATTCTTGTCGGGGCGGAGAAGTACGCCTGGAGGCCCCAGAACATGGGATATAATGTATCCAAGCCACTCTCTTTCTCGTTCGCACCATCATCTAGTGAGATAGCCACTCTCGGGGCTGTTGGCTGGTCTTGAGCCGGAGTTTGGGAGTGGGCAAGGGAAGGCTGTTCCGTCTCGTTCTTCTCTTGCCGGCTTTCAGTAGTTGTGGGTGGCTCTTGCCCATCCGACATCACTACATCCACCTCATCTTTGGTTTTGGTGTCTGCCTTTGGTATATCATCGTAAGTAGTGACATTTTCGGTGTGATATTCGCCCCGAAGGTTGACGGCGCTCTTGTCTCCTAGCGGGAAACTTTGAAAGAGGAAGATAAAGACGCGGCCGCAGAATACAGTATCTTCAGCTCGCGACAATCTTCGCAGTAATTCGTTGCAAGATCTCAATATGATTAGGCTTTTCTGCTTAAAGTGTTTCTTCGCTGATTGTTAGTGGTTACGCTGGGAATGAGTTTGACATGCACGCACTTTTGTATTCCGTTCCCTTCGAGACTCTAAATAGTCAAAAACTTTGCGACAGCCATCAATCGTCTGGCTATCAAGTAATTCCTCGATCAGCCAAAATATAAGTCCGGGCTCACACTGCTCTGCGGACACGTCAGGTACCATCGGGAGCTTGAGACTAAACCGCAGACCAACCATTATCCGAGAATATTGAGATGATATCGAGCAAGTTCCATATCTGTATAAAAGCCAGGTCGTCGATGGATGTAGTGGCCTTCAAATAAGCGATGGTTAGCCATCCGTGAACGCCATAGAAGATATTCGTGACAATGGAGTCACCTACAAGCAGACTGTAAAACCTCTCCCTGAATGCGATCTCAGCTGCAGCAAACCGTGTCTGTTGGCTTAGTCGATTCACAATTTGCTTATCATCCCCTTCGACCTGCCAGATCGATTCTCCGAGGTGTGTTTCGGTCAACGGAGGTTCGATTCGCTTATGCGGGTTGACTCGTTCGGCTCGAGCAAGAAGATTATCAACTAATCTCCTGTAGACGTGTATCGATTCAATATCCAGATCTGCCATTCTTGCGAACACCTGTAAATAAGGAGGCTGAACGAGGTTTGTGTTCTGGAGGGACGGTCCGATACAATGAAATATTATCACGGGGCCATGGCTGCGGCTCTGCGGGTTCTAGCCGCTGGATGTAACTCCCTTAGCCGCGCGCCAGAAGCTTTCCTATCCCGCCGCGACAGACCACTTGCGCAGATAAATCCGATCCGGACTCGGAGTCCTCTTTGAACAAATCTACCGTCAAGGAATGGGCCTCCAAGCACGTCCGAGAATGGTGCACGGTCTTGATTCCAGGCCCACTGTCGAGGATTTCCGTGAAGACAGTGTGTGGGTGCGGTTGGCCAAAACTCTCTGGCTCGATACATCGAAGGCCCGTAAAGTCAAGCAGGATGTCCTCAAAAGAGATATATGGGATCCTCTAGAGGCCGATAATTTCAGCTTCCGTTCACTTTTAACGCTAGAGAACCTGAATATTTTGGAGAAGTGCGCGCCCCTTCAGCATTTTTCGAGGAAACATCCCAACTGACCAACTGGCTATTAGATTTCTCTGGCCGACCTACACGGAAGATGCTTCGAACTACCATGTACTGTTGCTCACGCTTATTGTGACTGTCAAACAGCGGGAACATCTACCAATATGGGGTGAGTTTATCGCGTTCATACCCATAGGAATCCCTTAGTGAGATGCTTACGGTACATCCAGGCATCTTTTCTGATAGACCGGATGATTTTTCAACCCTCTTTCATCGAATTCTCTCCATGAGTATTGACCAGTCCATTTCTACACCGTCGCGTCTATCCATAATATCTTTTATAATCAGTTCCTTCCAGTCTCTCGAAAACGTTCTGATACGCAAGGAATGCGCACCTCTGGTCTCTATCTCGATTTGGCACAATCTATCTAGTGATGATACACGGGAACAGGTTCTTGGAAAGGCTCTGACCTTGAAAAAGGCATGGAGGGCTGCTGCGAAACGATACGATGCAGCGGACGAGGCTGCTAAAGCGAAAATGCGATTTGACCGGTCGTGGCTGTATACGATGCTCCTTAATTTCCTTCAGAGGCTAAACGGCCCCGAGAAGGACCAGGTGGATAACCTGCGTTACTGTGAGAGGTTCCTTGAATTCCTAGTTGATCTGGAAAGCCAACTTCCCACAAGACGATATGTCAACACATTGCTGAAAGATCTCAACATCCTACCGGTCATTCGTCTGTCACAGCTGTACCGTTCTCCGGAGAATGCACTATTTCGTGATTTATATGATCTCTTGAAGCATTTCGCTACTTTTGCAATTAACGATTACACGGGAGAGGGTTTGTCACCCCAGGCAGTGTATGATGCCCACTGTCAGGAGTTGGCACATCTCCAGCGGACTTCAATGAAGTACTTTAAGGACAAGTTGATGATTTTGGCCTTGTCGAATTACGGATCAATTGAGCAACGCTCGGAGTTGGAAGGGCAGCTATCTTCTTTGGATGAGTCCGAGCTCCGAAGCCTGTGTTCTCACCTTGGATTCAGGACGGAATATCCGAAACAATGTGGAGTCACACCAGATCGCCATCTGTATCTCGAAATGCTCTTGTCATTTTACGAGCGCAAGGCACCATTCCAAGATGTTGCGTCTCGCCTCAATGTGGTTCCGACGGAAGAAAACCTCTATGACCCTGCTTTACTGCGGAATGAAACCTATGATGGATCTAGGCCACTTGCAATCCCAAAGTTGAACCTTCAATACCTGAGCTTGGGGGATTTTCTATGGCGCTCATTTCTATTATATCGATCTGAGGCCTTTTTTCAAATTCGCAAAGACATGGAAACAATCGTCAAGCGAATGCAGCCCCGAGCCAGCCGAGATGGTAAAAGCCTAACTTTCGAAGGATTTTCCCGAATGGCAATTCCTATCTCAAAGCCTGCTATCATTGAGGTTGCGCCTCCGAAAGTTGGCTCCCCAAATCCGGCTTTCGTGAGAGCTGAGATTGTGGTCGAGGTTGGCAGACTGGCCGACCACGTCCGGATGGAATGGGAGTCCCTCCGCCCAGACGACGTGGTTTTCCTTTTAGCTGTGCAACCTGGCAACGCCAGCAAAACGGCATTCCAGGACCCCACTACAACCGATAGTCCTAGCTTAACGCACCTCAGAACAGCGGAAATTGTGCAGGTGCTCGATGAAAGTGGTCGTCCGTTGCGCGAACCGTTCTCAGGGCAGACTAATGGCCATCGGTCGAAGCCCCACATCAGGAGACTTTTAGTCAACCTTGACCCCGATGCCTTCAAAGCGGATAAAGACCGCAATGTGCAGGGTAAACCAGACATCTATCCGTTGATCAATGTAGTCGCAAGGAGAAAGGGAAGGGAAAACAATTTCAAGTCTATACTCGAGACTATGCAAAAGCTCATTGTCTCTGACATAAGCCTTCCTTCCTGGCTTCAGGATATCTTTCTAGGCTATGGGGACCCCGCGGGGGCCCGTTACACCGAATTGCCAAACAAATTCAAGTCGGTCGATTTTCGCGACACGTTCTTGGACTGGCAGCATCTGGTCGAGAGCTTTCCGGGCATAACAATTGAGCCTTCTGGAGAAGAGACATCGAGCTTCGGACCCCCATATATACTTGAATATGTTGAAGATGCCCAAAAAATGCCTCCGTCGAATGCCTCTAAGAAGCGGCGGAGAGATCAAACAGATAAGGAACAGTCTACCTCCTATTCACTTCGTGTCTCGACGTACAAGCCACCTAACCCAGGCCCTTACCCTGTCGATGCACCGAAGCTTAACTCTGTCCGATTTACACCAGCTCAGGTGGAAGCCATCGCATCTGGGACCCAACCCGGGCTGACCGTTATTGTCGGACCTCCCGGAACTGGAAAGACGGATGTTGCAACCCAAATCATCAATAACATCTACCATGACTTTCCCAACGAGCGCACACTGTTAGTTGCACATAGCAATCAGGCGCTGAACCAACTTTTCCAGAAGATAGTTGCACTGGATATAGATGAACGCCATCTTTTGCGCCTTGGTCACGGTGAAGAAGAGCTAGAAACTGAGTCAAGCTATAGCAAGTATGGCCGTGTTGAATCGTTCCTCGATAACCGTAACTACTATCTCTCTGAAGTTACACGGTTAGCAGCATCTATTGGGGCACAGGGCGCTCATGGTAACTCATGCGAGACCGCCGGGTACTTCAATACAGTATACATCCAGCCTGCGTGGGCAAAGTTCTGGGACCAGTCCCGCGTTGAAAGTACGCCTACTGAAGAGATCATTGCGGCTTTCCCGTTCCACGCCTACTTTTCCAACGCCCCACAGCCTCTATTTGACCCTACAAGATCCAAGGAAGAAGTGCTCGATGTAGCAGAAGGCTGTCAGCGGCACATCGACAAGATATTCTATGAGCTCGAGGATATCCGGCCGTTTGAGATCTTACGGCAACCGAAAGATAAAGCAAATTACCTCCTAGTGAAAGAGGCGAGGATTATTGCGATGACATCCACCCATGCTGCAATGCGCCGCCAGGAGATTGCCAACCTTGGGTTTCATTATGACAATGTGGTGATGGAAGAAGCCGCACAAATCACAGAGATTGAAAGCTTCATTCCTTCCGCCTTACAGACTATGAAGGGCGGCCAGCTACCATTGAAGCGTGTGGTTCTCTGCGGCGATCACCTTCAGAATTCCCCAATCATCCAAAACCTTGCTTTCCGGCAGTACGCTCATTTTGAGCAAAGTCTTTTCCTCCGTCTGGTGAGACTGGGCGTGCCCGTAATTACGCTTGATCAGCAGGGCCGTGCGAGACGTAGCATCGCGGAACTGTTTCGGTGGCGTTATAAGCAGCTGGGAGATTTGTCAGTCGTTGAAACAGCCGACGAGTTCAAGCAGGCAAATGCTGGGTTCCAATTCGATTACCAATTTGTCAACGTTCCTGACTACCAGGGCGTGGGTGAAAGAGAACCTACTCCTCATTTTATTCAAAACCTGGGCGAGGCAGAATATGCCGTCGCCCTCTATCAATACATGCGGTTGCTTGGCTACCCAGCATCCAAGATAACCATCCTTGCGACCTATGCGGGACAAACGGCTTTGATGAAGGATGTTTTGAACCACCGATGTGCCAAGAATGCTTTGTTCGGGATGCCTAAGATCGTGACTACCGTGGACAAGTATCAAGGCGAACAAAACGACTGTATGTCTAATACCCGTTCATATACTCTTGGTGATTTTGCCTGTGATATCTCTTACTAAATTGAAACTACAGATGTAATTCTTTCACTCACGCGAACTCGCACGGTTGGATACCTACGTGATGTCCGTCGTCTAACAGTTGCACTTTCCCGCGCCCGTCTTGGCCTCTATATTCTCGGTCGGCGCGAGGTATTCGAGTCATGCTATGAGCTCAAGCCAGCATTTGATCTATTGTTCCAACGGCCCGATAAGCTCATGCTTGCCGCAGGCGAAATGTTCCCGACCATTCGATCGCTGGATGATGAGGTTCATGGCACACCGATGGAAGGAGTCGAACATCTTGGCCAATACGTGTTCGAAATGACCCAAGCTAAGCTCAAGGCATTAGGAGGTCAGGATGTCGTGGTTGAGGACGCGATCCCAAATTGTGATGAGGGACTAATGGATGAGGATGAGGTCATGCTTGGCGCTAGCGACGAGCCGGACGAAGATCCTTTGCATGAGCATGTTTTCACTGGCCCGTAGTTGGCTTTGTGGTTTTACCAGCGCTTGTGCTCCTTGGTCCTGCGTCAGGAATGCAGTATTGTGTCCCATAGACCTATGACAACTATTGGAGGCTCCATGTTGGCGGCGTTGTATGTTTCCTTTTTTCTAATATGATTATTGGCATGAAATTTAAATGGAGGATAGGGGTTTTACACTCAGTCGGTGAGAATACTCCCGTTCGGTTTATCATTGATCATTGAATCTGTTCATTCTAGTTACATACAGTGGTGGAACATATTTCTCGTTCTCCGTGGCAAGTTTCATTAATTGACACTACCGTTCTACGTAGAGCTTACAGGAAAGCTCTACCGCTGACACAAATATATATACACGACCAGTTAACTCGTAGGCATGAACACAACTCAACTAGTAAGGCCTATGCCATCTCTCTATATAACAGTGATTGCCTCACTGGTGGACTCCACCGGTATACATATAGGTGAACGACAACACCTTGAGGTCTAGTTTACACAGCATGGCCATTCTTTTGTCTCTTGTTCTTCTCAAGAACGCCGCCCGCCAAGCTCCTCGACGATGTTCTGTGGGTCCTTCCAGGCCAGTGCGATGTATCTATAGGGGAGGTTAGTACAGATGACATCCTCCGACGTGGTTTAAGATGTCGTATGCAGATTACATACTTGGTGTGACTTCCTCTGGCAACAACTTCGCCTTTGCTGTTGACGAACTTGATAGAGGTATATGCAAGGGTTTTCCCAACTGTTGAACCAGTTAGTTTGAGAGTTCAACAGGATGATATGATATTTCTTTGTGAAAGAAAGCAAGAAAGAAGAAATGAGAGAGTGGGAGGGAAACGGAATAGGGATACATATTTGGGCCGATCCGATGGATAATCGGGAACCTACATTTATCGCAGCTAGCTTCCTGTAGCAAGGTCAGCACGCTTGGGTTTACGTAACTAAGAGCATCAAGCCTGGTTTATGTGTCCAGCCAGCATGGAGTCTTGAAGAACATACAGCCAAGATCTTATCCCCTATCTTACCTCCCGAGCTCAGGTATGTCACTAAATTTGGTCAGAGATTCATCTCGCATACTAATGAATATCCATCCACTGGGTTGACGGTTAGTTACCATTGAGATCGGTCGAGACCCCGGTAGCAAACAGACCACAGGAGGCGACAGCTAGAGAGCCTCCGAGGTCCACTACAATAATAAGTCAAGACTGTAAGTGATATGCTTCCGAACATGTCAAGATAGAGAGTAGGTAGTCATGCTTTGCGTACCCATACTAGCAATAGTACCGCCATGAAGAATATTTAGACGATTCTCAACAGAAGGTTAGTCGATAGGTATATCATTCTCTGGACCGGGTCCTTACTGTATGCTCTTTCTGGATATCTAGCTCGAAATTTACTTGGCCAGGTTTTGCGGCAGTCAACCGAAGCTTGGTTCAGTTAGCACGTAGGGTCGACGACAGATAGTTTCTTGGTAGAACCGGCAATTGAGGCACAATAGAGCTTACATTGTCCAAAAGACTTTTACAACAGCGATTGATGCCTCAGCGACAATCCCTTCCCAGTTATGGATGCTGTCACTTACCGAGGCTCCAATCCCGATGTAGCCCGAAAGGACTCCCAAACCTGGGGAAACATTCAGTCTGGAGAACCCCCCTAAAATAGAAGATGTATAGTTTACATACAGATCTAACGAACCGCAAAGCCGTCATCGTGAGTTATAAAGTACGGAAAGATTTATACAGAAAAAAAATTGAGTGAGGTAGAGGAGACGAGACTTTCAAGTCGTATGTACTATTTAATCAAGGCAAATTCAATCTACTAAGGGTCAAAAGTCCCGTGAGATCATGTTATCGCCTCGGATTGCGCTCCGCAGCCGCTGTGGTCACCGGAGCAAATCTAGTCCATGCCCATCCATATTCAACCTCATCAATCGTTTACTTCTCTCAGCCAACCTTTCTAGCTCACATCATGTTGCAGGGGTGACGGTTCGGATTCCCGCCGCCCCCCTTTTTCCTCTGCAGTCAATATGGCCATGGCCGCCGCTCCTTCCCGTCCGTTTGATTATCTTGAAAGCCTGCCAGGAACAACTTTCTACAAGCTCTACCAGCAGCCATCCACTGCCCTCGCCATCTTCAGGCGCATGTTACCTGACTTGGGTACGCACGTTCTTCCTACTCTGAAAGTTACCCAAGAAATTCGGAGGTGTTAACATAAGACCTAGCAAAATGTTTCGTCATGGCGCTTCTATATCTTAGAGACCCTCTTCCAGCGGCCGATTTGGAGGTCTGGGTAAAGGCAGACAGTTTGAAGTGAGTGGGACCCTGGGGAGCTTTTGTGATTTACGGACTAGACGACTGACGGACTGCACTGCTTGAAGGGAGCGAGACAATGCATTGTCAATTTTGGGAAGACTCCATATCCTGTCGAACACTGTCATCGCAGACAACATCCGCGCCTACAAGGTCACCAATCCGTTTGCGTCGTCGCTCCGTCAAGCTCTAACGGGCGCCGAAAAGACACAGTCCTTTGGGGTACTATCGGATATATCTGATAGGGCGGCTATCTCCGTAACTGAGCTGGATGAGTACGCCCGGCGTCAATGGGAAGGGGTGTTGGGATACATGGTGGGGACTAGTGGACTTGGTATCCAGCGCGATGTCAACCTGAGTAAAGGCGTGAAGCAACTCTTGCAGGCGGGGCACCTTGTCGAGATCAGAGATCGTCGCGTGGAAATCACCCAAGATGGGTTCGCATTTGTTTTGCAGGATGTCAGCACACAGGTTTGGCATATTCTCATGCTTTATGTTGAAAGCGCGGATGCCATTGGCATGAGCAGCGTAGAGGTCCTTTCGTTTGTCTTCTTGCTGAGCAGCTTGGAACTTGGAAAATCATACGACAAGAAGCATCTGACATCTAATCAACTCCGGACTCTGACGGATCTGGCCGATTTTGGTATTGTCTATCAGGATTCTCCAGATGCCAGTCATTTCTATCCTACCCGTCTCGCAACTACTCTTACGTCCGACTCCAGCGCGTTGAGCAACCCCATCTCTGGGTCCCTCTCCGGACCCTCTGGCACAAGCTCAAGCAAGACAGGATCTGGATTCATCATCATTGAGACTAACTACCGTCTCTATGCATACACCTCGTCACCACTGCAGATTTCCCTTATTGCACTTTTCACTACGCTCAAATACCGTTTCCCTAACCTCATCACTGGTAAAATCACCCGCCAGTCGGTGCGTCGCGCCATAGAAATGGGCATTACCGCCGATCAAATTATCTCATACTTGGCCACACACGCTCATCCTCAGATGCGCAAACACAACGCCTCCCGATCCACCTCTAACCAGGCCGGCATACCACCGTCCGTGCTGCCCCCGACGGTCACTGATCAGATTCGGCTGTGGCAATTGGAACGCGATCGTGTCAAAGCAACTCCTGGCTTTTTGTTCAAGGACTTCGTTAGTTTGGCTGAGTACGAGGCTCCATGTCGGTATGCTGAAGAGATCGGGGTGCTCATCTGGAAATCGGATCGAAAGCGGATGTTCTTTGTCACGAGGCATGAACAAGTTGCAGCGTTTTTGAGGAGTAGAAAATAGTTTGCTCAACACACAGGTTCGGGCATAGTTGACGAAAACATTTGGGATCCAGTGGCGTTTCAAAACTGGTATAAGGTGTTTTTGGTGCTAGTCTGGCGTTAATGGGTCTTCGGGGATCCTCTGAGGACGGTTTGAATTCAGCAAGTTGCCATGGTTTCCCACCGGACATGTAGCATAATCGACGATTCATTTCAATAATTAAATCTCCTTGTCGAATTCCTAGGAGAATTACGGTCTTTTATGAATATGCAAGCGACATCCTCAGGTCAACCAGACAGAATATGGAATACGCATATCCCTTCCAATGCCCTAACAGCTTTCTCCACTGCTGTCAGGATATCTAACTGACGCTGCTATTTCGTTTGATGCCGACGACGGAAGATCATATCATCCACCGATCTCCAAATTTGTCGATATACTCGTTCCGGAATTTTAGTAGACTCGCGCTCGCTTCATCATTGATGCAAACATTTTCCAGGACCATGAAGGCTCGTTTTATGCGGTATCCTGCTTCGTTGGAGTCCGTATGCCCCAACGGACGAGAGTAACTAGATAACATACCGAACCCCGTTGCGATGTCTGGCTCGTTAAAGGAATCCTCATAATGGAATGCATTGACAAGAGTGACAAATCTACCGAGCCAGTATTGTTGAGGTTGAGATTCACTGACCTGCGAAACACAGCCAGCAAGGATCGTTAGTCCTGGCTTCTTCAACCTCGAACGGATCCCCACGGAGTGGCTTCTCAACAATACCATTCTCCCTGTTTGATCCCTAAGTCTCGCACTTCCTGCATCTGAAAGTGGGCTCAACCTTGTGGCACTCTGGCTTGGAGCTCTTGCACGATTAGGGAGTAAAAATGCACCACTCTTTGCCCTACCTTCGAGCTTCAGATTCTCGAATCCGGTGGTCCATCGAAGTCCTTTGGGTATGTACTCCATTTGGCCGCTTTCTTTTCGAGTGACATTCGTTGCTCTAGAAATTTTGGGTTGATAGTACCCGATCGACTGATGGCGTACTGATAACTTCCCTTTGGGAACAAGGTGCTCAATTCGCTCTTTCCCCAAAGTCAAGACCTTGCCGTGTCCATGGATTATCCCACTTGCGCTTGAACAAGTGCTTTTGACGCTCTCCGCTCTGGGTGTCCCAGTCTCAAATCGTGATATGAGTGCTGATACAGGGTTGAATAGTCGAACCGAGGGTCGACTTCTAGCTTCAGGAGATACGAGCGAGCTGTATGTACTTTCAGGTCTGTCAACAGCGACATAGGGGATAGGAGTAGACTTTTCCGGAGGCATGCTGCTATGATGTCGCTTTGACGGTAATCTTGTTGCTGTTGCTCTCTGCATGAGATTACTATCGATAATCCTCTGATAGTAACCTCGGGACTGTAGCCTAGATTTTGCAGCTGCGTTCGAGTCGGATAGGCTCTTTAACGACCTGAAATTTTGCGCGTTTTCATAATGGACAATCCCTTGTTCTTCTCTATTTTTAATATTCTCTTTGTTGACGGTTCCTGCATGTCTTTTCATATCCACGCACTGGTTTGCCAAGGAAGATAACGCACTTCTTTTGCTTTCTTTTCGATATACTACATGGGGGTATAAATCTCCGGCTGGAGACTTCGCAGGCGTCGGGATCCTTGAGGGTATTTGTGTGGTATAGCACCCTAATCTCGTCTGACTTTGTGTTTGTGAAGAAGAGGCTACAGGCCGAGCTTGCACATTCGAGTCCCACGCCTGTACCTCACTGCTATTGAGGCCAGGGCTTTCTGTACTGTAGTTGAGGCTGTTGTGTCTCGACAATGAACCTCTTTCAGGTAATGACATGGATATCTGATGGTGGGTTTGGATGGTTGATTGTTTCCGGGTTAAATGATAGACGCCGGTCGGGAAGGATAAGACTGGGCTGCTGTTTTCGGCAGATGTTGTTGAGTCCGAAGAGAATGTACGCGCTGCTGTCTTTCTGTTGTCGTCGAGTTTCCACTGGGTATGTCGCCCACCAAAGGTGCTCCTGAGCACTTGGAGAGAGCCCATCAAGGATGACTTGCGGTCATTTTAATCTGTCATGGTTGGTTGGAAAGTTGTCAAATTGAGGTGAAATGGGGAATGTGAGCAGGTGACAGATCAGAAACAGAAAAAGGAGTCAGGGGCAATGGAAAAGTAGAGCGTGTAGTGAATTGTATATTTGAATGGGAGGGGAATTGAGCGCATAAAGAACGCAGGACAAGCGGTTACCAGGGCTCGCCTGCATTTCGGGAGGGAGGAAGCAATAGCCTGGAGTGAATGAAGTCAATTCTTCTTTTGCTGACCTGATATATATCTGTTACCTGTGTTTATAGAGAAAACATTACTTCAAGTTCTTTCATTCTTGTGAGGTAAAATCCACACACACACACACACACACACATGTATGCCTGAGCTAACTAGCCTTCCATCCAGAAGCCTACTTCTGCAGAGTAGGATGCTCCCTTCAGAAGTCTCCCAATCTGGTTCCTCTCATTATCTCGATATCAAGGCCAATCTTCCGCACAAATACGTAGGCCAGACCGTAACCAGATCGCCATCGTCTATCCAAATAGGTAACATGGATTCGCCCCTAGCTGAGGTTTTCATCGTAGCCAAGGCCTCGAGGGTAATTGAACATGAACTTGACTCATCCACCAACGGGAAGAAACCCGATATGCTGTCTTCCCCCGGTTGAAAGCTGCCTGCGGGAAGAACGATGCGACCGGCTGATTTGCCGTTGTATATTTCCCCAGACTTGGTGTCTAACCGGCGAGCCTTTCTGTCTTTTCGCCTTGGAGAGTGGTGTAGGAACCTTGAGACTGCTCCTACCTTCAAGGTACCAATCGTGTGGTTTCCTGCCCTTCCCGGGTTGCACAACGATGATTTCTGACAGGTAGAATCCCTGTCTTATAGATAAACTGTCGCCATGGGTTAGAATGCGGCTCTGTTCGTCTAGAAGGAAGACGAACGTTGCCCGATTAGGGTTTCGTGGTGCTGCAGCAGAGAGTTGTTGTTTTATTGTTATTACTTTTTATAAACGAAATAACCATGCTTCTCCCACTTCCCACTTATAGTATTTCTTCTCTTTATTGCCCGACTTACTAAGTAGGTTAACTCTCTCTTTCTCTGTATGAACCGACTCACACTTGTCTGCTTAAGATCTAAGAAAGCGTTAAATACAAGATGGCGTGCCATATGCACCCTATTTTATCCCAGGAATACCTCCAGCGTCAATCATTAAGTCATTATAGGGCCGTATAAGAAAACAAGCCGAGCTCATTCAGAATCACTGTCAATCACAAACCCAGCACGCAACCGCTTTCGCGCCAATGCCGCAGCCGGCACATACTCATCATCACCGTTTGGCTCAACATTATCACTTGGATTCGTGTCTTCGCCGCGACTAGGAGATTCTGGCCCTTTTCCCTGACCCCGATCTCGACGAAAGGCTAGGTTGTCGTCGAAGCTGAGCTCATCGTCCTCATCTCGGTTATCTTCAGTATCATGACGAGGCAAGCGAACAACTGATCCACCTAATATAATATCATCCTCGTCGACGTCTTCTGGCGGTTGCCTGCGCCGTTGACGCTTACTTTGTGTCCCGGAATTCCCAGATTTATGCGGGTTGATTTGTCGCTTGCGTTCGCTATTTCTATTGGTGTTACTCCCGATTTCCTCAAAGACACCGGTGAGCAGGGCCTTCCTGACCCGGACAGCTTGTTCTTTTCGTCTTTTTTCCTCGAGATCAAAGAATTCCTTGTCGGCTTCCTCATCCGACTCATCATCAACGGGGTCAACGCAAACTTCACTCTTGATCTTAGCTAGGCGGGCTTGTGCGTTCTCCAGGCGCGCCTTGCGACGTGCTTCCAAAATGGCCTCATCTACTGGTTCGCCATGGTCGGTCTCTTGGCGTTTCTTGCGCCTCTTCTTCAATTCATCCAGCGACTTTGCCTTCGATCGCGGGTTTGGTGGGAAAAGAGGTCCATCCGGAATATCCTCGCCCTCAGAGTCAGAGCCGAAATTAACGTCAAGTGTTGTTTGATAGTTGCGCTCCTTATCTTCGGGGTTGTATCTGCGTCGAAGCATCTGCCGAGGATCACGCTCAATGTCTCCCGTGTATGGATCCTCAAGATATTTATCGATAGTCGACTTAATGTCTCGAAGATCTTTCGATCCCTGTGATGAAGGCACAATCCAAGAGGCTCCGGCAACATCCTCCATTCCAAGGCGTTCAAATCCGATTAATGTCATAAGCAGGCGCAGCTTAGCATTCAAGAACATGGCCTGTTTACACGCATCATCACGAGGGTTGACGGCTGCTTCAAATTAGAATATTGAGCATCAATTAGAGGTCTAGAATACATACCAATCATTGGATTAGGGGCTCGTGATGCACCCAGAGACTCGGCTCGCTGAGCATCATCTTGGGCTTCCCAGGACTCTCTCTCTTCTGCTGCCGAGCCTAACACACTACTAACCCATGCAACCAAATCGGCCTGCTCATCCATAACAAGTGCACCAACTACGATATTTATCTTCTCACTGAACGTTACTGCGTCGGCGGGGTTGACTTCAAGCTCAGCCGGCGCCCTTCTCACTGAAGTTAATGTTTGTTTCTCATGACCATATTCCAGATAGAATAGGGTCGAGTTCATTTTGCTGAAAAGTAACTCCGTAATCAGGGCGGGACGCTGGTCGATCTTCTTAGTCATTCGTCTGATGATCTGTCGGGCCAGCTCTTCCCATTCCTTGAAGATCGGTTTGTTTGAATCCATCGCACCAGGCCCTTTAATCATTCGGTAGAAAAGATTGAGTATGTCAACGCGAAACAGCAAGACACTCATTTCTTGCTTAAAAGCGACTCTGTAAAAATAGCGATGGGCACGTCTTAATTGATCCGAGTCCAGTTCCCTGAAGTATTTTGTGAAAGCAACAAAAGTATCAACACACTTTTGGTTGCAAAACTTAGCAGCAAAGCGCTTGAAGTCAAACTTACGCTCCCTACAGACTCGCTCAGCCTCGAGTATGTCCTCGTTCTCGGATGGATGCTCTTCGTTGTTGCCTTCTTCTTCTACAGCAGCTGCTTGGACTTGTTTCTTTTTGCGCCTAGCACGCCGTTGAGATCGCACTTGCATATCAACATTCTCCTTGGAGTAGCGCTCCAGCATTCGCAGGAACACATGTGACAGCTCAGTGCATGCATCTAGGTAACCAAATCCTTGATCTTTGTACCCGCGTATGATGGCAAGCACGCGATCGTGGGTTGTTTCTTCGTAAAATATCCGATTCTGGATATTCTCGGCGATTTCCTGGTCCTCATCGAGAGGCGATTGTGCCATTTCTTGCACAGTTAGCAAGATCTGAGTGAAGCAGCGCATTTCCGCATTAAGATCTTCCCAGTCTTTCTGGTCAAAGCTATTCTGCATGGATCGGCTCAGAAACACGAAAGTTTCCTGGTCAAGGACACTGGCGATTAGCCCGAAGCTATCCGGCTCTAGTTCCTTCAGGGGCCTTTCAGTCCGTGACTGCTTCTCATGCTGGCGTGCGCGGCGTGCGCGTTCAGCTTCCAGAAACCAGGCAACAGTGTAAAAGAACTGACGTAAATTGATGGGTAAAACGCGTTCAGCTTCACGTTCTATGGCTTTCCGAACATGCGTGAATAAAGGGTTGAACCCAGAGTCGAGAAATTCTTCTACGAACATCCTCAGATTCCTTGACGCAGCGGCGTTCAGATGGACTGGCGTACTGAAATCATTGTTAAGAGTTGAATCTTTATGCTTCCGGTGTGTTTGGGGCTTGTTCCACTTCTTGCTTTCATCCATTTTCTGGAGCGTCGCCTGGCTATCTTTGAGGATGTCCTGCCCTGAGACAGTAGATAGCTTAGCGTCGTCACGCTTGACCCAAATCATCGTTCCAAATCGGCCGTGTCGGGTTGGTGCGTTCCTGGCGTACTCTCGCTGCAGAGACGACTCTAGCTTCAGCACGGTATCCAGTTCATCCGTGTGTTTAGCGCTTCGCTGGGCATCGTCCATGAATAGTTTCTCGACGTTGACACCTTTCACAAGGTGGAACATTATTTCAAGGAGAACCACATCTTGCATACTGAAGTCATCGCCAATGTTGGAACACATAGTTAGAAGGAGCGCAAATACATCTTGGTATTGAAAGGCGTTGATGGTCGCAGATCTAGATGTCTCCTCTTCCTCACCCTCCGCCGCAAGGCGAGTGCTCGGGGTGATCACCGCGATGTTTCGCAACAGATAGAGAATGAGTTTGAGAATGCCGTCATCCCGAGTTGTTCGTTCAGAACGTGGAACGGCCATGCTAGGAAGCCCAATTCGGACAATAGTTCGAAGTAGGCTGAAGCTACCGTAGCTTAGGAGACCTCGCTTATAAGAGACTTGAGTCTGCTGTAAGTAGGGAATATGTCGGTGATGGTTGACAGTCATCTCGCCGTGGATTTCCAGTGGCCAGGTCAAAGGAACTAGCAATTCCACTTCAGATCATTAGTAAAACGGTCGGGCTAGTGAGTCGTAATGCAGCCCTGCGCTTACAACATGCTAATGCAATCCTGGACATATGTTTGCTCTTCTGGCCACTGCTCCACCACAGCGAAAGGATCGGTAGAAGGTCCCCGTTGATCAGATTCGCTTCCCCAAGGCATCGCGCCACATCCATGCGCTTGTATTTCTCATCGTACAATCTCAGCCAGCGCCTGATGTCACGCAAGCAAGCCAGGGCATCATCTCCTAATACGTAACGATCCGCATCGTCGCCATTGAATCCACCTAACTAGGAAATCATCAGAATTCTAGATTCGAATGTAAGACCATTAAACAAGAAGCAGTACACACCGCAGTGACCAAACTATAAATGTGAGCGCGGACATCGGGGTCCACAACTTGAACTCCTAGGCCAAAGGCCTCAGGTTCTTCGTTCATGATGGCCAGTTGTGCTTGCAGTCGTTGCTCTCATCTTCTATCACCTGGGATAAGGAGAACGCGCATGAACCAATAGTAACGCGTCGGCTCACGTGCCTCCGCGTCTCTCGGGTATACGGAAGAATAGATGGTCCGGGAAGCCGAAGATAACCGATGACGTCGGATCACATGGGGGCCCGCGGAATGATTTCGGATGCTTTCGTACTAGGCAGGGTATACAAAATAAATACATAGCAAAACTTAAGTTGGGATTTGTCGTGCTTGTTCATCTCTCCTTACTGTAGCACGATTCAGATCCGCTACTATTGCAACAATGCTGTCATCTACCCTCCGATCTCTCTGCTATAAGGGGCCCTCAATTGCCTCGCGCGCATTCACCACTTCCTCCGCAACCTATGCTGCCGAGGTTAAATCATTAGGAGTGATCGGAGCAGGTCAAATGGTAAGTAGACAGCGGATAAGTCTGCACAACGTCTTTCTAGCACAATCTAACGAAGAAAAAGGGCCTAGGTATTGCGCTTGTTGCTGCGCAGAAAGCTCAAGTTCCTGTTACCTTGGTTGATAGCTCTCAAGCATCTCTTGATAAGAGCCTCAAGTTTGCCGGTATGTATAGAGCTACGAATACCGTCCTTCCATCTTATTAGCCTTGCCAGCCTGGTTAGTTCAAACGAGCTAATGATAGTACAATTGACAGATAAACTTCTTGATAAGGATGTCGCCAAAGAACGTCTCACCCGGGAGGCGGCCGACACCGTCCGCTCTCGCATCACGCCGAGTTTGAAGATGGACGACCTGTCATCTGTGGACTTCATCATTGAAGCTGTCCCCGAGATTCCTGACCTCAAGACCTCCATCTTTACGAAGCTTGCCCAAATTGCACCCAAGCATGCCATTCTCGCTACGAACACCTCATCAATCTCGATCACCAAGATCGCCGCCGCCACCACGACCAGCCCAACCGATCTCCAGGCTCCTTCTCGAGTCATCTCAACGCATTTCATGAACCCTGTCCCTGTTCAAAAGGGCGTTGAGATTATCGCTGGTCTGCAGACCTCTCAAGAGACAACCGAGACCGCTATCGCGTTTGTACAGCGCATGGGCAAGGTTGCTTCGGTCTCTGCCGACTCGCCCGGTTTTCTTGCAAACCGTATTCTGATGCCTTACATTAATGAGGCAATTATCTGTCTTGAGACTGGGGTCGGCGCCCGCGAAGATATTGACAATATCATGAAGAACGGAACCAACGTTCCCATGGGGCCTTTGACTTTGGCTGATTTCATTGGGCTGGACACCTGCTTGGCTATAATGAACGTTTTGCACCAGGAGACTGGAGACAGCAAATATCGCCCATCGGGTCTTCTGAAGAGAATGGTCGATGCCGGTTGGATGGGCAAGAAAACCGGAAAGGGCTTCTACGATTACTGATTTGAATTTTTGATCATTATTTCCCAACTACTCCCCCAATAACCCTGTTGTACTGCTACGGCGTTAGATCACCCACTTAAAAAAATGTATGTATCAACCACTGTGGGTTTACAATTTCATCTGTCGGGGTTGGGGGAATAATGGAATGTGAATTTGATGAAGCCATCCTGTTCCAAACTCTCGTAGTAGTGGTCTATAGCAAGCGTATATTGTTCTCATCAAGTTGCCAGAACAATGGGGATATTCCTGTCTTGGCCCATGCAACCTTCTGGACGACAACTAGCTCGGCGCCCTTTTCTTCCCTGTTCAGTTAGATCCTCTTCCGATTCCCTCTCGTGGCATAGCATAGCAGCAAGTACTGCTGTAAGTCCGGCTTCTTCATCTCGACTAAGCGCATTTCCATCAATAACAAATGTGAAAAGGTCCACTGGCCTCTCTGTTGGGGTGACACAAACGCAGGATGACCACGGGTTACCGCATTTATAGCTGGGTCTCATCAGCATGGATCGTATCCGGATGTCTAACTGATACACACAAGGCTCGACTCACCAGAACTGTGCTCTGCATCTACACGTGATATGGTCACATCCAAATATGAGTTCCACCACTGCACCACAATTAAAGCACCTCTGCCATCGTTGCAGCCGAGCCACTTCAAGGACCGCTGACAGACCGGTATCATGGCAGTCTCCTGAGCTGTGAGAAATACCGCGACACCCTGAGCAGATGGTCGTGCTACAGCACGGACAGGTTTGTGTCCGATATCCCTGTCCCTTCACAGCCTTTGTAGGAATCCATTTCCCGCAGGTTGGTGAAGGGCAGTACCAGCGATCTTTAACTGGCGTCGCATACTCATTTGTTTTCAAGATAAACAGCTCTTGTTCCTTTGTTGACAGTATGGGGAGGATGATCTCTGACGATATCGTCCATGAACAACATTTTGGTGGGAATAACTGCTCATCTGCCATACCTATGACAGCCATCTGCCTGATGCACCTATTGCAATACTTATGCTGGCAAGGTAGATCCACCAGCTTATTGGCCGGCATGCGTTCTAGACAGCTCACGCAAGACCTAAGTAGCATCAGTCAACCCTCAAGGCCGATTTGTATGCATTGTAAGGACTTACTCGCGATGTGCTTCTCTCTTAAAAAGGCGCTGGATGAGTCGACATCTTTCAATCCTCGCCACAATACGGCTCCTTCGCGACTCCACGGGGCCCCTCTCACTTCGTAGATGGCACTTCAAGCTTAAATGACCACTTGCTTGGTGAAGGTAAGCCGGTTCAGGGTCTGCTGGCGGGGACTGCATGTTCAAACGGCTTCTCGGTAAGCCCACGCTTCCCGTATCTGGGGGAGAGGAATGCCATCCTCGGCTGGATCGCTTGATAGCGCGCGACAGCCCAGGCGACAGTTTGCCTAGCAACATCTTCAGCTCGGGAGAAATGTGCTTTGTACTTGTGGCCTTCGGTAGCTGCGCCTGAATCCACTAGTGCTGAATATTTGCTGGCTCGTTGCAGGGGTGAATCGATTGGTTGACTCTCTGAGAGATTGTCAGGAAACTCAACGCCATAGTTCCTGTTTTAACAGTGACACTCGAAGATATTGCGCGTGTAAAGCTGAGTAATGGATCTCATAATAATGGGTGGACGTTAATAGGTCTTGCTGTAGGTTGAATTCTGTTCGCTGGTAGAGTATGGAAGTAATATAGTTTTGGCTCATCATTTCGTCAGCGAGAAACCCCCGTTATATAGTGATGACGGTGAGCCCGGTGTGGATATAGTACCAGATACCATGGATAGGCCATTAGCGTGCCACATGTTCAAGGTCCCATTACCCCGATCATGATTGTCGTATACTACGAATTATTCTTGGGGTTCAGGTAGTCTGCTACTTTTCTGAGAACTTCTGGCTCCAACATACCAATTATGTTCCCTTAGTTCCGACCCAAGAAGAAGGTGGGGGGGAAGAGAAAACACTTCGTCCATATATATTATGGAGTTGGTTGTGGAAGATCCGCTGGATCCATGATACCAATTATCAACCAGTGCGCCAAGTATCTAGTGACTGACGTGGCTTGGGTTGTCAAGAGAGAAAAAAAGAAAAAAAAGCTCCCACCCAGCCCCCCAAAAATTTAATTAATTTAACAATGAATAACTAGAAATAATAATAATAATAGCGGGGTACATACAACAAACAAGATATCCATACCACTTATCTTCAAACTATGTATGTACTGCTAATATACGGGTAAACCAATTGAGCTTTGGCGTAGAAATCAATCAATCGATGCAACAAGTTCAATTATACGAGCATGAATTTAGTAACATATCAAGTAAATTCCTCAATCCAATGCCCCAAGGCTAGAGAGAACAGAACGTCTTAGTATTATATGGAGCCGAACCATTCTCGAAATTTTAAAGGGTATCGCTAACGAATGTTACCTAGAGAGAGAGAGGGGGAGAGCACACACCAAAACATCATACTAAGTCACCGGCGTCTTCCAAATTCAATGTATACCGGGGAGCCCAATCCTGAACACCACGAAACAATGCCATTGATTCTATACCGCGCCAGCAAATTTCCTGCCAACCCAAGCAGAGCCATTTTCCTGATATTCCTGGCGAGTAACAGCAACCTTCTTCATCTCTTCTTGATTGGTCGCTAAACGAGTTGCCCCCAGCCAGGTGGAGCGGATGGGACTGTTTCCAGAGACCGTCAGTATACCGTTGGCATCTTCTTGTTGGCAATAGACTTACTCCTGAGGACGTCGAACCCTCACAACGCATTCTGCTGAAGCAACTTCGCGCAATTCTCTCTCACTATAGCAAATTAGTTATGTATATCAATGGGTGATGGACTGAATAGGCATCTTACAGTCTTTCCATAAATCCAGGAATCAACGAGTTTCCTCCGACAACTAGGATATTTGCCAGGAAGGCAGGGTGTAACCCAGTTGGCAATACAGAAAGACTCTCTAGAATCATATCCGTGATACCAGCCTGCTTCATACCAATATCGCTTGGGGTAAATAGGATCTCAGGAACCGTGAAACGCTCATTACTCAAGATCAAAACGTCTTCAGATAACGTCTCGGCAGTAGAACCCGAGAGCGCACTTTTCCTCTTCTTGGCATTTAAAAGAGGGTCGTGAGGTCGCATAAATCCCTTTTTGCCAGCATTTGGGTCTGGCAAGACATAGTCGACCGTGACACCTTCGCCAAAACCGGGTTGGCCACGCTTTCGGTTGCCCTTCCAAGTCCGTTCCATATCATAAGCGAAATCGTTACTCACGTAACACACTGCCTCCTTTACCTCATTAATTATATATGCTTCGTCTACCATGTTGTACTGCCTCATTGATACCATCTCTTTAAGATAGTTTGTAAGATGTTTGCCCCCAAGATCAAGTCTGCGAATAGAACGCTGAAGAGGTTGGCCTTTGTAGATTGGTGTAACCGTGGTGTGAGAATAGCCGGAATCAACAACGAGAAGGCATTCTCTTGGTACAGCCGGGTCGTAATTTTGTACCATGGGGTCTGCAAACAAGGACTGGATCTCGTTCCAAGCGTTCAGCGACGGACCTGGCATAGCAGATATCAGCTAGTGAACCAAACAGCAGCACACTCTACGCTAAGTAGGACCGTACCCACGCATCTTAAATAGCCACCAAATCCCCACTCCTCCATCACAATCTCGTCTGCGTTCTTCTGCAGCGCTGGTAAAGCATTTGGTGCCTCGGTCAGCACAAGCGTCGTTTCTTCCGGGTTCGCAATTCGAAGGTCCTTGCTTCGCACAGTCTTCTCATCAAAGAACGAATGCTCCCATATTTCCTTTTGTGCTTCCCAATTCACAATATATCCCTTTTCAACTGGGCGTCGAAACATCAGCTCGTTCCAGTCGGTAACATGGGTATTGAGTTGTGCGCCAACGTAGACGCGGCCTTCACGTGTCTTAGTAAGGGCGTTAGGAACAACAGAACAGACGGATAGCGCCTTCATTTCATCTTCCGGTATCGAGTCGGGTGCATAGCCGGCTTTCATCGTATACGCGCCATTGTCGATTATGAAAGTCCTCTCGGGTAAAGGCTGGGTCTTGGCGACGGAAGCTTTCCCAGAAGGACGCGGTTTGGCGGTTCCCATAATATGGGGGCATCGATCGTAGGTTGTTCAAATACGACGGTCGTCAGATCCGCATTGGGCGGTGAAAAAATTCGAAGAAAGCTTGGTGGCGTTGAAGTTGGAGATGAACGATCCGCGGCGCTCTGTTTAGACCGGAGATGTCGAGCGGTCAGCTTCACGGAACAGGAAAAATAGGGTCAAAGCTGGGGCACGGCTCACGCCTTAGCAGATTTCTTCTACCTAGAAAAATTATAGATGGATTTCGACTTCTCATACTTAAAAGATTTCGAACATGACGGGAGATGACAGAGCCCCACATTAGATATCTCTGCGTCTTGTGTACGTTTTTGTACCTGTGTAGCAACAATCTATGCATTGAACAGCTTAGACACATATGTTACAATTAAGTACACATACATATCATTCTTGTTTAATTACTAGATGGATATACAAGCACCTACAACAGCCAATTTTTCTCGTGTATTCAGACAAAGCTACTAACGTTATACAGGCGCTATATATTCCATCACCAAGAACAGCCGCAGGTGACCCCGCAGAGCCCTAACAGTCGGCCCCGCAGCTCTCCAACTCAAAAATTCTCCCAAATCATCTTGGAGTTGTTCATCTCAAACCATCCGAGTACACACCGGCCAGAATGTCAAGGAAGCTTTATATCACTCTAACAACCACGCTTACCCTCTTGGAGCAATTCCGCTCGACCTTGGCCTTGCCCCCCGTAGGTTCAACCTCTACCGAGCTCTCAGGCAAAGATGCACTTCCCCTCCTGTCGGCATCATCGACGGCCCTTAAGTCGCAAGTCACAAAGCTTTCACTTCTAGCCATTACCTCTCCATTCACGCACTCCGCCGTCGGGTCTGTCCTGGCTGACCTAAACGAATCGGTTCTCCCTTCGCTCGTGACAGCAGCTCTACTCATCACACCGACCAATCACACTAAAGCATTTCAGGCCGAGGCGCTATCTCTAACCAGGACAGCACTGCACGAACTATCATCGCTTATAAAAGAAGTCAAGTCGGTTGCAGAGAAGAACGACGAAGTAAAGGATGACAAGAAAAAGAGAGGAGATGAGCTATCGCGGTCGGAGAAAGATGCCGTTACCGTAGCCACAGGACGTGTTTGGGATGCTTGCGACGCTTTGGTTGACCTTTCGTCCAAAGGCATCGTTGGATTTGTGGTACGGCGTGTGGAGGAATGGAGAGACCTAGTGCGAGATGCAGTCGAAGAGATTGACGATTGGAATCCCGATGATGATGAAGAGGATGACTTTTTTGACGAGCTCTTGAGCGATGACGGGAAACAGGGTGTTGAAAAAGGTGGTGAAGCTGAGCTGGATGAGGATGATAGCGATGACGAGGACAAAGCTGCGCTCTATGAACTGAAGGGAACCGCTCTTCGTCTTCTCAAACCCATTGCCCAGATTTACCCCGCCATTATCACGAATCGCTTGAAGAAGGTTCCCGAATCCTCGTCTTCTATTATTAACCAGCTAGAATACCTGATGACGTACCTACAGCGTATTCCGGAGCAAGTTGACGAAATAGCGGGAGCACTATATGAAGCGAACTTGGAGCGGTCGACTCGCTACATAAAAGTAACGAAGGAATGTGCTGTTCACGCTGTCAATTCAGTGATTATGCCTTGGGGCGAACAGGGTACGACCGACAGCCAACAAAAGGCCGGGGATAAATTTACCCACTGGTCGAAGACATGGTTGGGGGTGATAGACGAAGTCAGTAAACCTCTTGAGGAAGCGAGTTAATCGTGTACACCGTTTGATGTATTGCAGAACCCTGGATACCACTTCAAGTATTCTATTTTTTTTTGGTATGTTTGATAGTATATATAAATTACTGATATCGGAAGGCTGTATACGTATCAAGCGATAGGTGCACCCAAACCAGGAATCCTGCTCTTCCCAAAAGACTGGCAATATGAATACACTAAAAAGATGGCCTATATACACAAGCACAAAGCCAGAGACAGGGCTTGTAATATCATTATGTAGTTGCGTGGTACTTGAGCTTTTCCTACACACTCAGCTCATCATCCGGCTCCCATTCACGTAGGTCATTTTCAGGTATCCGATCTTTTAACCATTCGAGAATAGCCTCTGTTCCTTTGGCAACAATTTGCCAACGTGGAACCCGGAAACTATTACCCGCAACTTCGAATCTTCTCAGCGCCGATCCGTTTCCCCAGTTCTTACGGCAACCCTCGGCTCTTAGCAGACCCAACTTTGGTGGAAGGAAGTTGATATTATTATTGCCGATATCAAGGACCTGAAGGCCCTGGACAGCATCAAAATCCAGATAGTCAAAGCGGTTATCGGCAGCAAGGAATGTCATCAAACTTGGATAGGTTCGACGAACGGGGGGAAGAGACCCGCAAACGCGGTTGTTCGAGACATCTAGGAACATGAGCGAAGGGGCTTGGAAGTTGGCTAATATTGGCTCAAGTGTGGTCAAACCGGTCACACTCAAGTTGAGGTTCTGTAGACTGGGCAAATCCAGCGATGAGGGGAAAAGAGAAGCGGTGTCCAGGGGATTGTGTGAAAGATCAAGATCAGTCAGGCTAAGGGCAAGTATACCAAGAGCCGGCGCCGGGATACAACGTAATTGATTGTGTTGCAGGTAAAGACACCTGATTTCATGAGGGTTTATACATTCCAGATGATCCATATCCAACTCTTGAAGGTCAGTATATGATCTGTCGAGGACTCCTCCAGGTTTGACCAGCCAAGCGGCTGATTGAACTGGAGACTCTGGCGCTAGAGTAAATTGAGTCGCGACAGAGCCCTCTTCATCATCTGTATCGTGTGGCTCGGGCTCGCACCGGTTTCGTAGGTCACGCTTCAAGTCCTCAGTCGACATGTTTAAAAACTTGCGCTCCCTAAGAGGATTGTTGGCTATTCGGAATGTGACGAGGCTTTCCATCAGTCCAATCCTTTCGTCCAGTTTTGTCAAATTGTTCCCCGTCAGGTCAACGTTTCGTATGGTCTTCAACTCAGTAAATCCTTGTGGTAAATCTACTATGTTATTATCCTCCGCCGACAAACTCAGAAGCGCCTGCCAGGTAGAAACGTCTGGCAAGCATTGAATGCGGTTCATACTGATCGCGAGGTTGTGTAGACTAGGGAGTCCAAATATATCGTGGTCAGAAAGCCTCGTCAAGGCATTGTTAGCTACATCCAGAGTTTGTAAGGTCACAAGCTCCTGTACAGAAGCAGGTATCAAAACGCCCTTCAATCTGTTCTTTGGCGCGCTAAGGTCTTTCAACGGAAGCTTGCTTAGACCTTCGAAAGGCAAACAGGTTAGATGGTTATTACCAACGTTCAAACTTCGAAGGGAAGTAAGATATGCAAGTTCGTTTGGTAGATCTGTTAGAGAGTTTTCGTGCAGATCCAAAACTTCCAAGTTGCTAAGATTTTTTATATCTGCCGGAAATGCCCCTTGTAATTGATTTTTCGCTAGCTTGAGGTCTTTTACAGACACCATCTCCATGATGACCTGTATGTCTTCCATGCATAGCTTGTTATTTGAGAGATTCAGGGTATGAAGACGCTGTAGCCGCCTGAAACCAATTGGCAGCGAACGTAATAAGTTGCCATGTAAGTCGAGGTATTCCAGTCCACCGAACTGGTTTCCTTTTTCATCAGCATCGGAGTCTTGTGGGTCGATATCTGGGAAAGTGGAATCGGGAAATTCGACGAATTCATTATCTGCGCCAATGAACTTGATGAGGTCTACACTTTCATACCACTCAGTGGACGAATTCGGATCAAAATCATACATCGTCATAACTTCCTCTGGTAACACTGCCAAGGACATAGCCGCAATGTTCAAATGGCCAGAGGTCCGCCCCGCTTCAAGACGTTTACGAAGGAGTTCTTTATTCGGATCCTTTGGCCGTTGATTGAATGGATCTTCAACACTTAGGTCGTCCAAAGATGGGATTTGGGGGTTGGGGTTGCTTGCCATCGCTGCTTTCCGTGCAGCTTTTGCCTTCGCGATACTTTCCCTTAAGGCATTCGATGACCTTGATGTTTTTCTGCTTTCCATATCAGATTGTTTCTCCGTCGTTACCTCGGACGCGATGGATTTAGCGGGTGGTGTTCTTGGCATTGTTGCAGATGGCCTTGGGTTCGGGGGCAACTTCGTGGGTGTCTTCCTCGTTTTCTTTACGCAGAGTGTCTCCTGTGAAGGTCCCATGCTGTGGGGCTGACTAGAGGTGGTATCCAAACTTGGACGAGGATTTGACTGCATACGCGTCGCATTTCCACAAACGGTTGCTGCTCTTGAAGAAGGCATCTTCGACTTGGCTAGGTTATCCAAAGCCGCCATAGAGATTGGCTCGGTTGAGGCGCTGCCAGTGTATAATGACTGGCGGGACCTTGAAGGGAGCCGCACCGCAGATGCTGGCTGGGACAGGAAGTCACTGCCGTTTGGGTGACGTGACGTTGATGACCTAGAAGGTGACCTCGAACAGTTTGACATTGCGGATGGCGGACGCGATGGAGAGCACATGGGGCTGGTCCCAGTAAAGAAACTCGAGTGCCTTGAAGATCCGGGCGACGGTGGGATTTGGGACAATGTCTCGATTGTTCGATCTGATAGCGACGGTCGCGCGCGACCTCGAGTATCTGCATCCTCGGCTGAAAAATCAGTTTCAACCTTGCAGGAACCATTTAGCACAATATCTGTTTCCGATTTTCCACCTTCGCTCGTTCCAGATTCAGAAACATCTCTCCTTTGCTGCAGGCGATTCTGAGACTTCTTCGGCAACAAATATTTAGGAAGCGGTTTCTTGAACACTGGTTCCTCGGAAGGTCTTCGCAACCTAGCAGTATCGATGCCGGTGTCTGTCCGTAGCTTCCCGAGAGATGGGGAGGGCTTAATTGATTTAGAAGCGGTAGACGTCGGTAGAGGCAGTCTAGAGGCTAATCGAGGAATCCCGCTCGGTCGAGCCGATATTTTCTGTTGTTTGTCCATGTTCACATCCCATGAACATGTAGCCGGTTAGTTTTATTCAAAGGGCAAAGCGGAGTATTGCTATGGAATGATGTAACGGTTTCAAGAGTGGGAAAGGAGTCTCATCATGTTTGTGCGGATTAGGAGACTCGCAAAAAAAGACGGCGGAAATGCTCCTCAGCTGACACACAAAAGATGATAGAGTATAGTGGAGGTGAAAGAGGAATTGGACAGAGCGATAGAATAAGCTATGCTCAGGGCAACGTGCCTTTTCAAGGGGTTATTTGTGTGATGGGGATTATTTGACGAAAGTATTAAAATAATTATCATTATTGTTTACGTGCTAGTTGCTGCCTGGGGCCACAATTCATATAGATTAATCCTGCCATGCCATTGGCCAGATTTGTCCTTCGGCATCCCGCCGAAGAACACAATCATGTCAACCAGGATCCGCTTGAGGTCTAGTACTATGACATGTAAAAGTGAGCTATTGTTACAGTCAGTGTATGTTGTATACTTTTACTGTTTGCAGGGCTAGATGTACCTCAGTACACTAGCATGGTTACCTTCTCACAAGTTAACATATTCATGTACACTAAAGGTGGACTTTTAAACATGGCTCTATGTAAGTATGTATGTACTAGTAAGAGTACTATTTGCAGCCAGGTTTCTCACGTGAGAGATGCGCATACTAGTACTTGGTCAATGTCAACAGAAATTCTATCTCATAGAGCCTCTATTGTAAAGACTGCAAGAGCCGCTACTACTGAGGATGACTCATAGCAGGCGTGAATTCTTTTCCCTTTTAGGTACTTACTCCTGACCTCAGTTATAATATGATATCCTTCCTTAGCCATGGAACTTTTTGGCTTCTTCACATGAATGAGTCAATATACCAGTTTTTCTCTATTGGTACTATGAGCGAAAGATGCCGAAGCAGAGCAGGGCAAAGAGAGATAAAAAGAAAGAAATGGCCGGGGAAAACAACCAGTATTTCCTTTTTTAAGGCAGAACCCTTGTTAAAGCGGCATAGCTGCATAACCCCAGTGTACAGAGTACAATATTACGAAGTAGTACATATTATCTCAGCACCGAGGTAGGTTCTCGTTCTCTGCCTTATTCAGAACCTCATATGGTGATTCATTGTACCCATCCCTGTTGCCTCAGTTACAACCTTTCAGACCCATGGGGTCGGCTTCTGTTTACTTGTGTGAGGCGCATGATCGCCACGCTAACTGTATCTGGAATTGGGGGTGCTAGGGCGCGGCTGGGCTCACGTGGATGCGGGATATGGGACATGGTTGGTCGAGGCAGAGACATTGCAAGCGACTTCCCAGCCTCCCCGATGTGCGAAACACCCGCCGCTTTCAACATCCTTAAGGCATCAAACCCTCCACAGTGCTCCTTGCTCCTTACATCACATCTACCTTCACACTCTACTTTCCCTTACTCTTGTTACCTTTCTCACGGAAGCTTCCATCTATTGTATTGTTGTTCGTCCAAATCGGGTGTTTTTTTTTGAAAATCTTCCTCACGTCCTTGATCTAAACGTGAGTCTGCACGGCCCTATCGCTGATAAGCGGACCGAGCCAGCCGCAAGTCAGCAGAGTCGCATAGTGTCTATGCGACGGACAGGTCAATTCTCGGGCGCTTGCGACTTTTCAAACACACTGGCTGTATCATTGTTTACAACCACTGTAGCAGCGACGCTCAAGCAGGTATCCCCTAGATCAGTTGGGCTTTGACGTCCTACCTCACTCATATCCGGTATGCTTTTGATCACCCTAGAGCGACCTCATCCAATTCATCCACCCAGCAGTTGCTAATTCACTTACAATGCAAGGATATCAACCCACGATTATACCTTGGCTTTTCTTATCGTTGTTTCTCTCATGTCACAAGACACCGAACTTAAGCTCTCGCAAGGTTCTCTTGCGCCACCAGCGGAGATCTCTGGTCGCGCCGGTCCCACTCGGTGTAGAAGGCTCTCTGCTTCTCCGGAAATAAGTGTAAGGGCTGAGAGCCACGCCTCGCACTCCGAGAGTGGAAAGTTCCTTTCGCCTCCATCACTATCGTCGTCATCAGATATGACTCCGCCACCATCATCGCAAATTCCTGGAGCTCCTCTCCGACGATCAAGATCTCGATCTAGCTCATACCTTGCATCTCCATCTGATATCGAGAAGACGCTATGCGTTGCATACGGAGCTTCCGAGAACCTTCCTACGGCCGACGAAATTGATGATGCCGATGAATTTAAACTGCGTACAATAGCGAAAGAACTACTGGGTATAGCTCAAGAGGCTCGTATGTCAGCGCTGCACTTCAAGTTGCAGAATAGTCTACTGTCATTCACAAGCAATGAAGCCATTAAACGCGCCGAGGTCGAACATCAATTGGCTCGAAGAGAAGTCGAGATTCTCCAGAGCTCTGAGTATCGCCGCCGTCATACCGAGACTAAATCGCTACAGCAATTTACCAACGTGGAACTAGAACTTGCTCTCAAACGTAATCAAGAGCTCGAGAGGGCCAATGCTACTCTTGACCGAAGGCTTCGCCGAGCAAAGAGACTCATCGATCAGGAAAAAGAGAAGTCTGATCGACTCGGCGAAGAAAACACTTTGTTGAAGGGCCGTATCAGAGATAATCGAAAGCATCTCTCTTTGATGATGGAGCAAGGTTCATTATCACCCAGCCCACAGACTGAGATTCTGACCCCTCATAGAAAGTCTGTTCCTCACTTCTTGGACAATAGCAGCCACCACATAACCAGGGATGAGAATCACAATCCTTTCGCTGCCCTCCTAGCGGCAGACCGCGTTCTCAACAGGGAGTCTCCAAGTGCAATGTCCACACAAAACCAGAACACTACCCAGCAACAATTTGCAAGTGGCCACCTGCGTGTTGCACACTCACTATCGTCTCTTCCTCTGACGCCGTCTCGTTCTCGAGTAGCTCAACGAGAAAGCCAGTACTTCACTCCAAACCAAGAATGTCAGCATAAGCGTCAGGATAGGGATAGCACAATATCAGCATCTGACACCGAGGAAGCCGAGACTGAAGACGACGTTCCTTCGTCCTTTACCGGCTCGGTGGCAACCAACATACTTCATCGCAATCATTCAAGTCACCACGGCGTTACAAGAGTGCCAAACGCCCCCAAATCCAGCGCTCTCCTTCAAACAACACTGTTCGGTCAGGTTAGGAAAGCGGGAGCCGGGCGTCCCTCTGGCAGTCTCAAACGCAAAGCGAGTTTTGAGAGTGTGGCCACGAAGAAATCGAAAGCGGAGGAGCAGGTGGGTCTCGGTATTGACACATGGAACAGTACTACTACTAGTGCTAGCCGTGTATAAACCCTACATGTGCATTTTGCTGTAAGGTTCCCAGGTTGCGCATCTTGTGATCTTTACTGCCAGTCTTTGTGTGGAGCTAGACCTTTTAGCATCAGGCGATTCTTTTTCTTATCTTAATGTTCTTTGATGTCCTGTATGTTCCACGTTAGGAACAGTTATGAATGATGACATGTAAATGATGGGGTGAATCGGTATTATCATGGCGCCTTTTATCTTTTTTCTCTTCATTTCTCTTTTGTACCTTTTATTTTCTCTTGTACCTCATTATTGACACTTCACATTGTTGACGACAAGAGCAAATTATGTGAATTGATAAGCTATGCTCTCTAAGGAAACACCCAAGCTTAGGGAGCGATAGGAGAGATGGTCAATCTGTCCCTTCGTCACAGTTGTATAGGTGCCAGTCAGCCCAAGATATGTCGTCTTACTAAGTGTGGAACAAAAATTGTCAATTTATTCGTTCATTTATTTGAGGAGGCGGCTGTAGATATTTACGGGGGAGGGGGAGCCCAATTTTAGTTAAGAGTCAGCAACCCATGTTGACAGGGAGGATAAACATTGTTATAACTAGCAATGCTGATTCCAATGTAACCAAGCTCATACTAGAAATTCCGATGCGAACCTGAAAGGCATGTCAAGTGACGAGGTCTGGGACCCTTTCCGGATTTGGTAACCAGGGTAGGGCTTTTCGCTAAGCGAGGCGGGCGCGGCTCTGCGCGGTTGGCCACACCAAAAAAAGTTCCACCCATTATTGAAGAGTCGTTTTGAGATACGACCAGCAACCACCCACGACGACGACGACAATCTCCCGGCCTTGATCACCGTCCGTCACAATGGTACGTTTTTTGCTCCTCGATATCTAAGTTAATTTTACGGCTCAACAGAATGATTTGGAATTTTCTTGATATTGGCTGAGGGTTACTGATGAACTTTGGTGATACAGGCGATCAAGCATAACAACCAGATTCTCAACCAGCGTGAGTGAGCCTACATGGATAGTTTTTGGCATTTGGGAAGGCGGATGAGTGGAAGGGGTTTACAGGAATCATTGGACTGACAGGTTTTTCATAGACTTCCGCAAGGATTGGCAGCGTCGTGTGCGCGTGCACTTCGACCAGGTACGCTCTCGAAGCTTCACCCACCCGAATCACAATACGAAGGATTTGTTTTGGCCGTCTTGGGATATTAAATGGTCGACTGACAATCTGCGATTCTCTAGCCTGGCCGCAAGCACCGCCGTCGTGAGGCTCGTCTTGCGAAGGCCGCCGCTGTTGCTCCTCGTCCGGTTGACAAGCTGCGTCCCGTTGTGCGGTGTCCTACCGTCAAGTACAACCGCCGTGTCCGTGCCGGTCGTGGATTCACTCTTGCCGAGCTCAAGGTAAATTTGTCCCTGTTGGTGGATGTCGCGGGGGCGTGGTTGTGGTGTTTGCCCTACTTGCTGGGTTTCGAAGTTAGATGGACGCTTACTTAGGCCTTGTTTGAACCCATTTAGGAAGCCGGTATCCCCAAGAAGCTCGCTCCTACTGTCGGTATTACTGTTGATCACCGCCGTGTCAACTACTCCAAGGAGTCGCTCGTCGCCAATGTGGATCGCCTCAAGGACTATAAGGCCCGCTTGATCCTCTTCCCCCGCAAGAGTGGACAATTCAAGAAGCTCGACTCTTCTGCTGAGGACGTCAAGGCTGCCAAGGCTGCCTTCGCCGCCGAGGGCAAGACTGAAGGCTACGCCACAAGCGTTGGTGCTACCCTTCCCATTAAGAACCTCGCTGCTGCAGAGGCTATCACTGAAGTAAAGCGCGACGATCTGCCCAAGGGCGAGGAGGCTGCCTACCGCCGTCTGCGTGAGGCTCGCAGTGAAGCTCGCCACAAGGGTATCCGGGAGAAGCGTGCTAAGGCTAAGGCCGAGGAGGATGCTGCTGCCAAGAAATAAATGTGATTCACAGTTAATGACGATCGAGTCTATACTCAAGTCGGGGATTAGTGTACTGTGGTGTGGCGTGGCTCCCCTTTTCTCATTTTATCTTTGTCCTTAAAAAGCTCCGAACCTCTCGAAATGCAAATGCCCCAGTTTCACGTCTAAAAGAATGGGTCTACTCCAGTTTTTGATTGAATATCTGTTACGAAGCCGAATCGTGGCTGTCAGATTGTGAGATAATTTGATGTGTTTCAACCGATATCCTTTGCGACTGTTCGTTTGCATCACACATTATTTCTCTTCGGGAGGCAGAGAGCACGCAAGATCCTATGCAAGGGTAACCTGATGCAGGCCCCGGTAAGCTAGCTAAATGACGGAAATGTATCTATACTGCATTTCAGCTTGCGTAATCTTCTTCGTAATCTTGAGCTTCTCTTTCCCTGGGTTGTTTCTAGCTACCTTGTTTTTTCGTTTGGCAGAAGTGAAGCTGCGCTGGAAAGATGCCTTCCATCCATTGGCATAAACAAGTGGTACGCTGATGCTATCGTTCTTGACTAGGTTCGTTGATCCAAACATTAAGGTAATCCAGTTCCAATGATACCCGCTTCACCCTTTTATCTTCCCTTTGGAAGCATTTTTATCAAGATCAATACAGAAAAAAGCTCCCAAAACACACTCCATAGCCTGTACTATCGTGTTGGCATCGATTTCAATGTCTGCGCCAATTTGGTCACTCCGCTTCTCGCTCAAGATTGCATGGAATAATCTCCTTGCATCCTGTTCTATCTTCTTGCCTGAGCATCCATCCCTTTTGGATGGCGCAGAGATACTGATCGTTGGCACTAGCCGGGGCTCACCCGCCCATTCGTCAAGGGCTAGTTCGCATGAAAGGTGGACTCTTAGAGCATCTTCACCCCTAGACTCGAAAAGCATAGATGTACGCTCGAGATGCGGTAGTATTTTGCGCAGATCTAGTGTCGTGAGAATCTGCGCATTGGAGTTTTCGTAGTCACCTAGCTCAACGGTGCCTCCATGACTTGTCATCCGTCCTTGGCATTGGCTTTCTAGTCGCGACCATAATCGAGCACGCGAAATTATAGCTTCCCAATACCGATTTATACCCCAACATAGACCCGATAAGTCCAACTTCAAGAGAGGGTTCGCCAATCTTGAGTCAATCCACTGTCGTAAATATACCGGTACTTTCTTGTCGCCATCTAACGGTGCGGATATGGAGAGTATAGACTGTGTTCCTAGGTTTACTTCGTAGTTGATAGATATGTCGAGGAGCGTAGAAGGGATTGGAGGCGGTGGAGACAGTTCTAGGGTACGTCTTTCCAAATGTATGCCTGGTTCCAACCCGCAGTAGGTATCTGAGTATGCCTTGAGGGTCAATGGGGCGAAGATCGTTAAATATGATTGGGCATGAGAAAGTTCGCTAAGAGCAAAAGGGTTCAGTGGGAGAGCCTCCTCCGGGGTTATTCGAAGACATTTCGCCGAGAATGGAAGTAACGTTGAGATTAGAGACGATATAGGCTCATCATGTGAGCCAGGCGTTGCAGATGTTACATGAGAAGATTTTTCGGCTAATAATGACCTTCCCGCCAGTCAGCCCAATCTCTAATGGCTAAATATGAAGGACTCACACAAGCCTGCTCATCTCCCATCCTGTATTATCAGTATGGCGGCTTGAACTCATCGACCAATTCTCCAATTCGGCAATCTCATCGTTGAGCTGCTGTATATCCATGGAAAGCTGCTCTTTCACTTTCCGTCTCATCAAGACAGGCACTGGGAATAGAGATTGACTCATATCTAGGCCAGAGCCAGATAAATCTTTGTCTTCCGCTCCATGATGAACACTCCTAAGCTTTGAAGGACTCTGTTCTTGGTAGTCAGTGGGTCGTCGCTTGCCCCGGACACCACGTTGGGTAGTCGGGCTGCTACTTAGTAGCCTTCTTGGCCGTGCAGGAGATCTTTCGAGTCCTAACTGTGTTGGAGTTGGGGGAAGATCGGGTTCTTCGAATCCTTCGTGCAAGGCAGTTTGACCCAAGTCTTTATGCGAGTCGGCCTCACCCGTCGCGATACTCAACTCGGATTCTAATTGATCATCCGGGCTGTCGGGGAGCCCATTCCGCGGGCCAGTCTCCTGTGCCACACTTGGGGTCTGAAACGACAAGTCGGAAGGAAGGATTCTCCTCGAAACTCGCCTTGGAGGAACTGCAAAGGCTTGAAGACCACTTGATCGCCTGCTTGGGGAGATTCTATCCAATCTTAGGCTTGAATCTGAAGCCAGTGAGGGCCTCAGAGCCTTTCTATCGCGCAACCCAAAGGCCCTTGCTCCGGATTGGTTTTGGAGCTTATTGTGGCTGTCTTGTTTGGTGGATCCTTGTAAGCTCTTAGTCGGTGAGTTGCTGATTGGGCGCTGCAAGTTTCCGGGTTGCGATCGCGCCAAGCTTGCTTCTGTTGGGACTTGGAATGATGCGCGACCAAGCGGGCGCTGTACATTATCATACTGGGGAGGTTGCGGGTTCATTTGCGACGTGTCAAGAGAAACAGCGCTTTATTTGTTTTGCACTGCGAAGGTGAATGCCCTCAATGTTCATTAAGTACTCCTTATCCCTGAGGATATGTGAAGACCAGTAGTTATCTAGATTCGATTAGTGTGGGGGAGAGGAGTTCCTTCTTCGGCTAATACTTTATATATCTAGAGAGAAGACGCCAGAAACTGGTATGAGCTGAACAAATGTTTGCATCGTTTGCAATATGACATAATGTCCGCGGACGCGGTCCAAATTCATATCCGATCTTCTTCCCAATGAGGCTTTCGGCACCATGGAGCATCTCTTTAAGGGATTCCGAATGAGACCCTGTTTAGTGTGCCGGGACCACCTTTTACCTACAAGCCAGCCGCGCTCTCTTCGAGTACTATCTATCGGACGATATGGCCCCTTCCTAACTACCCGGCGAACAGCCAGCCATACACATATCAAACATCAGGAGACGACAACGGGCTTAGATGGCACAGATCCTCCTCAGGCGCATCCACTATCGGGGTACTATCATGATATTCTCTCGTCCCGCTCTCCTTACCGACGTCAAGCGACGAGTTCCTCGTGCCCTGTTCCTGAACGCACCGACAAGCCGTCACCATCTTCAACAATCAAACCGCTGTCACCGCAGGACAAGATGTCAATTGTTTTTGGCACTCGGCTTGCTGGCCCCGGTCGCTCTTCACGTTATAATCCCGGTACGATGCCCCCCGAGTCCACCTGGAAAACTATAAATGGGGTGGCGATACCGCCGAGGCCAGAGGAACCTGATAACTGCTGCATGAGTGGCTGTGTTCATTGTGTCTGGGATGATTATCGTGATGAGATGGAAGAATGGGCTGCGAGGGTCGAGCAGGCTAAGGCCAAAGGCGCTTCGAAAGGCTTGACGGGAGACATGCGTCACACTCCAAGGGCCGAGGTCGATTCTGCCAGCACCAGCATGGACGATGACGGGGGCGGCAGTGAGACAAATTGGGCCGTATCCAATGAAACGGATGATCTATTTGCTAGCATCCCGGTTGGGATTCGAGAATTCATGAAAACAGAGAAAAGATTGAAGCAAAAACACCAAAACAAAGAAAGGGGGGCATAAGCGGTATCGTGCTAGGCTCTCTTGACCTTGTTTTGTTATATTTGCTTTTCTTCTTCTAATATTGAGCATTACTGTTGTGTTGGTTGCTTCCGATATATATAGAGAGAGGGAGAAAGAAGGCGGATAGATCTAGGTGTACATACATATGCAATGGCGCCACGGGTATGCTAGTAACCGAATAGAAACAATATATCCTATTCCTCATGTTCCTTAATCTTTGAAAACATCAAAATATATTATAGTGACCTTAAAATGTAGTGAGGGATTGGTAAAAACGCCAAGGTCTTTAATGAGTTCCACCATTTAATCAATGTATCGCAAGCATTCAAAATCACTTTGCGCTTCGCTTGTCACCTTTTCCCCGTCTTACTCGATTCATGATTTATTAACCTTTATCAATAATTGTTTTCTTCCTCATGAGTTGGTTTTTAAAACTTGGGGTCCTCCCTCCTACATAACGCTACCAATGCATGCATGTGTGCCGCGCCTCACCTAGCTTGCGGCAATGCAAAGCTATCTGGTATTATGGTTTTGTTGAGCTCCTATCTTTCTCCATACATGCAACGCAGCATAAATACTAACTACCACCGTGAACAGAACATCAGGCATCTGTACTGCGTCAAATATAGTCCTTCTCTGGTTCCGTTAACCTCGAAGCGATCCCACCAAAACTGCAGATTTGCAGCTCGTCCTTGTCTCGCACTGATACCAATCACTCTACCCAATACCTTGGCCACAGCAGGCTATAGGTTAGACCTAGAGTTCAGACAGTAGTTGCTTTTAGGTGCTCGACACCCCTACCATATAACCAGCAGAAGGCCAAATACGACACGCGCTTCCGATGAGACTACGCGTGCACCCTTGGAACCCTCCATTGCACAATCACAAAACCAAGAGGCGAGCTCTTTACCCGCGAATGGGCCACTATGCAATGACAGCGGTATATCTCATACAATAGGTGGCGTCGACACCGTGGACGAATCGCAAGATGTGAGAGAAGCTCTTCCTAGTGAGGAAGACTATAGTGGATCTGGCAAGGTGCTGTTGCGGTCACCTAAGTCTACCCTACAGTCTGATTTCGTTCAGAAGGAGCTGATAGGGCTCAAAACTCGATTTGTTACCCGAGATGAGGGCAAGTTTGATTGCGTGTGTTGTAGACTGCACCATCCAGCATACCTCGACAACCATAACCACGCGTGGAGCAGGAAATTCGAAGGTAACCTACGATGACCCGTAGCTTAAACTAGCCGTTCAAGCTAATGTGCACCAGTCCTCAGCAGAACTGCAGGTTTTGTTATACCTGATCTCAAGGCTCCATAAAAGTGATTCATTACAAGAACTTTACAGACTAAGAGAAGAATCGGAGTATGTAAAGCTACATATAGACGATGATATGTTTATTGTCATGCTCAGGGTTGTGAGGGATCTAGGATGCCGCCCATCACTCCCCCGTGGCGAAACGCAGGGGAGATCAGATGCGGAGATATACCTCCGCTAAACAAAAGGGGCTCGACGGGCAACACAACGTAGACCGGCCACTGAGCATGGCTAATTGTAGGCCACAGAAGCGTCAAGGAAGTCTACCGATCAGAACAAGGATGAAGGAAGGGTGAAATACTTGAGCTTGTCGAGAAAAACACACGTTCACTCATTTTAGCAGATACTGGTTCCGGAAAGTCAACACAAGTGCCTCAGATGATACTCGACGACGCTATCGCTAGGGCTCTGGAACCGAGTGCAACATTATCTGCGTTCAACCTCGTAGAATGGCAGCGACCTCACTGGCAAAGCGTGTGGCGAAAGAAAGAGGAGAATCACTTAGATGCTCCGTTTGGTATCAAATTCGATTCGATTCTCAGATTCCCACAAGACCAGGTTCAATCATGTATTGCACGATAGGTTCTCTCCTGAATATGCTGAATTCCACGTTCTATCTGGACTCCTTCTCCCATACAATCCTGGATGAAGTCCACGAACGAGCTCTTGAACTCATGCTCTTCCTGAGAAAATTTGTTGATCGACATCAAGCACTCGGATTGAAGGAACCTAAGATTATTGTGATGAGTGCAACTCTTGATACCGATCTTTTCGCCTCTTATTTTCAAAATCCGTCGAAAGACGGAGGTCATCTGCCTGCTCCACATGTTCATATTCCCGGTCGCGCTTTTCCTATGGGCAAACATTACCTAGATGAGATCATTGTATCTTTATTCAAGGCTTACTCTCCGCAAGCGCGGTCATTATTGGTTCATGAACCCCAGACAGCGAAATATTTGAGAAGGTATAATCTTCTAACAATACCAGAACACCCGGATTCTGATGAAAGAGAGAACGATGGAAATCAGCATTCGAATAATCCAACTGTGTCACAAGTAATTCCACCTGTTTATGGAGAGGAAGGCGCTTTGATCCCGATAGGCTTGATATGTGCCGTTATCTGCTATATTTTGTCTAGTACTGACAAAGGCTCTATTCTAGTCTTCCTCCTAGGCTTACGGCACATCATGAATGTTGAAACTGTAATTCGGAAATATGGAAAGGTTTTGGGCTGTGACTTTTCTGATGAAGGTCGTTACAGAATCATGCAACTCCATACGAACCTTGCCGATAGCGAGAAGGAGCTCTTCAGTCCGGCCACGCCAAATCACCGCCGAATTATCCTGTCTACCGACGTGGCGGAGGCTTCCATAACTATTTCAGATGTAAAATTTGTAACCGATACGGGCAAGGTAAATCAAAGAATATATGAACCACGGTCAAAGACTGCCCGGCTCGCATGTTGCCGGATAAGCCAATCTAGCTCTGCTCAGCGCGCGGGCAGGGCTGGCAGAGTTCAAGAAGGAGAGTACTTTGCTCTTTTTACGAAGGATATGCACAAGTCTTTCCGCGTCACCAGATTCCCAGGAATGATGCAGGAAGACTTGCAGCAGACGGCTTTGCAAGTGAAACGAGCAGCGTTCGCTTCCTCTATTCAGGACACTCTACGAGACTCCATTGAACCCCCGGACGAGGCCAAGGTGGACTTGGCAGTTAACAACTTGCAGCTTATGGGAGCTTTGGATGAGCGAGAGGAGCTTACTTCTCTCGGTGACGTTCTTTCAGAATTTCCTCTTGACCCATGCTGTGCAAAGCTGGTATTGCTGGACGTTATATTTCGCTGTCTTGATCCACTTCTCATTATCAGGTCAACCGGGGGTGATCAATCTCTCTTCTGCTCATCAGCAAACCAAGAGGCACGTAAAGAAGTGCATAGATCTCGTGTCTCCCGAAACACCTGGAGTGACCACCTGAGTGCGGTTAACGCATTCAAGGCGACCCGTGATGTCTGGTATCGAATGGATCGTGCAAGCGCATTCAAGTTTGCAGTATCCAAGCACATACGTTTCGACCGTGTCTGCGAAGTACTACATTCTTCCCGTCATACACTCCGGTTCCTGGCTAAGAAAAGGCTTATCCCTTGGCATGCACGTCTGGATGAGAATGTTCAGTTTGGAGGCGCCGATTTAAATACCAATTCTTGGCGTGTCCCACTTATCAAGGCGTTGTTATATCATGCCGCGTATCCCAACCTTGCAGCTCCTTCATCTGCCTCGCGCCGACGTTATTTCACCAAGACTAATGACGTAACGCACATGTCGCCCTCGTCTGTCAACTACGCAAGACGGCCAAGGTGCTTATTCTTATTCGATTCACTCAACAAGCCTTCTTTGGTGGACACATCATTTCTAATGCAAACTTCACATGTCACGCCGCTCGCTGCTTGCATTTTGGGAGGGCGACTCCAAGGGAGTGGCCGCAAAGTACACATGGACTTATGGCTAGACTTCCTTGTCCAAGCTAATAACAGGCCGAAGGTGACCGTGCGGCTAGGTTACTGGTCGAACTTCGAAAGACCTTACTAATGGTACGCTAGCCATTTCCCTCTTCCGTGACGTATTTGGCAGTCCTAACAATGATAACTAGACACTCGATGCAGCTTTCATAATCCTACGCTGCCCAGAAAACCATATACCAGACACAGGCCAGGATACGAGCTCGAGTAGATTACCCTATCTGCTCTTCGACACAATCTCTAACACTCTGATCGATATTCTAGACCGGGATGTTGATCCTGTATATTCTCAGCGCGTCAATACAGCGACACATTGGACATAATGTGAACGTCGCTCGCTACTATACGATTCAGATTTGATGGGCATTGAGCATTTGCGGGCCTTCGATTAGGGATTTGTACTGATGATCTACATACAATTGGGGGGATATATATATCATTTACCTAATTCTATCCTCGATAATGATAGTAGGCTGAACATAATAAATTTATACATTTTGCCATGTCCTTCCGCCTTACCATCGCGAAAACGTTGATCAAATACATATTCGAATCTTTTTTCTCTCTCTATCTTTTAAATTTAAGAAAAGAAAAGAAAAAGGCCAAGGAAAAAGCATAATCACCGGCATCATGTCTTTATCCAAAGCAGAAACAGATATCATACTGAACAAAGCTAATGTCGCATTAGCGCGCAGTCAACGACTCGTCGCCTCCTGGCTACCCCCGAAGACTCTGGACGAACAAACCAATAAGTCTGAAGAGGAGTTACAGCGAGAAGAGGATGAGATTTTCACTGCTGTGCCAGAAACGTATGTATATCTTCTTTTTGCTCTACAAAATTATTCACCTCTCCTCCCCAAAAAGGAAGAAAAGTCGCTATGCACCGGTATGAAATTAGCGCTGATTGGATCCTGGGCTACAGTCTAGGAGTTGGAGCACCCCTTCCGAACAAGGCAGCCGATGGAAGTTGGAATCGCACCGAACTTGGCTCCAACGATAAATTACGGAAACAGCTCCTGGGGAAGAATTACAATAAGGTCATGTCAGAGAAAAATGTAGCGGCGGGCCGGCAACCGGGTAAAGACAAAATTTCATCAGGCTCTGGCTCCGCTATGAGTCCATCTCAGATTGCAGGAAATGCAGTCTATGATGACGACGAGGAGGAAGGGCGAACGTCCATAGTCAGAAGGAAGTCAACTAAAAAGAGAAAAGCGGATCCCAGTCCGAAGGTTCTCGGGCCTGTTGAAGCCGATATCGATGGAGACGGCGAGGGTACGGCATTGGTGAAGCAACCGCCATCCCAGCTGAAGGGAAGGAAAGCTACGAGCTTCTTAGATGAAATCCTTGCTGAGCGGTCGAGGAAGAGGAAGAAGAGGTGATTTCATTATTATATACTGCTCGGTTGCTCTTGGTCATTGTATTCCAAAATACCCTGTTATCTGCTTGAAATAATTGAACGATAAGTATACAGTATACAACAATAGAATTATATACACATTTGCAACTCCACACAGCCACTTGGTTCCTTGATCTGAAGGGCCAGCCCGCCGGTTAAATCTACGTATACTCGAGAGTATAGCCACCTAGATACCAACATACATTCTCCTTTCTAAGGAATACCCAAGAACTTTTTGCCCTCCCAACTCGAGGGTAAATGATAATAAGACGAAAGAAGCCTCGGATGCTGGCGCCACCATCAATGCAACCATAATATGTCACATGCTAACATCCACGATGTCCTTTGATGTTACACAGGTATCAATGCTGGCAAAAGAGTAATCAGCACCTCCCTAAAGTTGAGTAAGAAGAAAGGACATTCAATGTCCCCTTGAAGTCAGACCGCTAAAGGAGAGAGAGTGTGTGTGTGTGTGTTTGTGTGTGTACGTGTTTATCGATCCACCAAGAATTTTGACAATTGACCAAATCCAGATATTATGGTGAATATTCCATGATATACAGTACTGAACGCTTGGCTTTGTAATGGTGAATTAATACTTGATCCCTGGTGGAATCTTCGCCGGAGACCCTAGAAAATGCATCATCATATGGGGAGAGCATAGCCAGGACAGCAAGCCAACGTTCGTCTATTCCAACCGTTTTCGTTTACGATCCTCGATCATCGCATGCTGATCCTCATCAGGCCGTTCAGCGGTGTCAGCGGGGTTCAGCAACGAATGAACATTGCTAGCCATGCTCGATCGTCTAGTTGCAGGCAAAGATGATTCATGTCGAGAGAACCTCGGACCCAATGTCCAACCGTTATCGGCGGCAGATGTGGAAACTGTTTGTTCCGGATTCAAGGGTGGGGTGGCATGACGCGATGTATCCTGCAGACGTCGTGGTGCCCCCATCTCGTACTGTGCCAAAACTTCTCTGACTTGTTGATCACTTGAAGTTGGGGTTCGATGCGGCGACGGAGACCAAGGAGCTGCTGCCGTACCCGGTTGATGAGCAGACGGGAATGGAGATACACCAGGAGGCGGCCAACCATGCTGTCGAATGTCCGCGGATGTATGTCGACGAGCCAAATTGGGCCCTGGCGGCGACGAGACAGATGAAAGAGGGTGAGGCATCGGCTGTTGTGGGGGAATGACCGTCGGGACCTGCGGGCGGTTGTAGGTTGGGGAAGAATTAGCTGCACCGATTGAACCATATCGACGAGGCGATACAGTTAGATGTGAAGGGACAGGAGGCCGAATCATGTTGGGCCTGGCCGTATCCATCATCGAAGGTCGACGACTGTCTTCCTGCGGCATTTGTCGCGGAGATAGAGGTGGCCCCGGATCGACTGATACAGTAGGGACATAGGGTTGTCGGATAGATAGGTACGGATCAGGGGGGTGTTCCAGAGCTCGCACGCTATCGAGGTGTTTTTCTAGTTCTGCCTGCATGCTGGACACTAAGGATTGTGAGAAACATTCTAAGATCCGGAGGTTCGTCCATTGTGTACTAGTACTCACCATCCCGGTATAGCAAGCTTTCACGGTCCGGAATCACACCTTGAAGAAAGCGTGAGATTGAGTGTGTCCACTTTTACATAGGTGATCAGCGATATCTGACTTATGAGGGATAGAATGTAGCCACAAGAGAAGTAAAACCTACATGATAGCATCTGCTCAAGCTCTCTGCCATAGCTAGGCATCTTGCATTGAGTGCCACATTGCCTTCTTCGGCGCGACTCAGGCGGTTGTGCATGTCATACATTGTATGCTCTAAATTCATCAAGCGAGCTTCGGTGGCATCAGCGACCGGCTCAGCTGGCGTACCAGGCTGGGAGGCGACGGCTTTATGACCCGGAAACGAGTCGCGATGAATCAACGCATGCCGCGAAGCTCGCCTCTTAATCTCTCGTAATCCAATAAGATCACCACGTTTGAAATTGCCATTACCGTGTTTGAATTCCCAAAGTGCCGAGTCTGGTGATCCGGTATGGAAGACATCGCTAACTAAGGCCCTTTATATGAGCAACAGACAAGGCATACAATTCGGTTCCCAGGCGTATAGACATACCTTTATGAAAACCATACATGTTCAATTGCCTCACGAAGGACGAGATATTGGTATGTTTGAAGTATTGGCTAGTAGACAATTAGCAAATAGCCAAGGGACCTGAAACCGTTGAAATACGAACGCAAGAACTTTAGAAAATTCGGAAGTAGGCGACATGACGAAACTGTCATTGGTGCTGGACCATGATATTAAATGCTGGATACTAGGGTCCTCTAGCATGCTGTTAGGCACTATTAGCAACAATCCTCTTGAATAGTTGTCTCTAACGAAGCATTGGGGACAACCACAAGCCAGAAGAGGCCAGAAGACGTACTTATACAGCTTATGAATAAATGCAGTTTGCACAACTTTGGGTTGCTGTGCTGCTGCTGCAGCTCCGATAGCCTGGTTGGGTGCTGCATGATTGTGCGCGTGTCCAGTTTCATTCGAGCCATTGGAAGTGGTTATAGTGTTTGCACCCGCTCGATTAGGGTCGGAACTGTTGGAGACCGAGGGTCCAGCGCCCGCTGCCGCTGCTGAAGCAGGCGTAGTGACCTCCATAGGGTCGCCCATGGGTTGATTGGAAGATGGGATGGAGGAAGAGAGGAGAGGAAGCTTTCGTGTCTTGCCTGGCGCATCTGCTGCACCAGGAAATATGGTATTTCTAGACGTGGGATCGGCGAGACCGCTCATCTCGCGAGGCGGGCGGGGGAAAAGGGCTCCGGCCAAGGGCCGCAATAGCAAGATAAGAACAAGATCGCGACTATCTCTGCGGAAATCGGGGGGAGGGCAGATAGCTAATCGTTGGTGTAAATACCGGAGAACGAGAATATCGGCAGTTGGTCGCTCGTGAACGATAGACGAACGTGGGAAGGCAGATGGTTATCACGGAGTCTGGGCCAAGAAGGCGCTGGTCAACACTTAAAGGGTCTCCGCTTCCCGAGTCATTGCGAGTTTGTTCTTCGATATATTCGTGACAATGTTGAAAGCTTCTGGTTTCCCAATTAGTACTCCTAATTGTCAAATGTTTCTCTCCTTTTTTTTATCCTGTCTCTCCCCTTTTCACCCCCTTTTCTCACAATTTGATTGGCTGCCCTATTTCCTTTTCCTTTCCTTTCAGTCTTGCTTTTCCTTTCCCCCCTGCTTTTTTCGTTTATTTTCTATTTTTTTTGTTTTCTTTTTTTCTCTTTTTTATTTTTATTTATTTATTTTTTTTTTGGAGGGAGGAGGGTGGGGGTACTTGCTGTCACTAAATAGTAGAGACTAGAGATACGGCCAAGCTCTGCGGTGAGGGGGAAAGAATGAAGAATTCAATCATACAAATGTGGTGAAAAATCTCGCGGTGGTATAAAGATCGGATCTGCAGGGAACTGCTAGTCGTTAAATAGCAGCAACTTCGTTTTCTCTCATGGGCTGGGGTTTTGTCCTTCGGGCCCAGCAACTCGGAAAATGACCAACGGGAGCTGCCGATTGATTCAATAAATTGTCTTTGTCCCTTTGTTGCAGTTTTGCAAGTCAATGAATATATTATATTAATAATTTTCGGATTGAGTGAAAAGATAAAGGAAACTTAGTTGAAGTTGAAGGGGGAGTCCCAAAGAGGAAGAGAAGAGGAAAAGAAAAAGAAAAGAGAGCAGAGGCCATTAATGACTGAAGAAGCATGCATGGATCACGGGAAGGTCTGGAACCATGCACGGGAGCCGCAGCTGTAGGCACTACTACTCTACTAGGAGAATCACCCTGGAGCCACGTAGTCTGCTTATTATCAATATTTTATACTTCTCCACAATACAACAACAACCCCATTAAACATAATGGATCCTAGAGTACAGGATATTCTCACCCGATTCAAGGATTTAAACTCCCCTTCTGCTCGTCGAGCTGTGTAAGCGAACGAAAAGAGAAACAGAAAAAAGACGAGAAAAGAAAAGAAATTGTCTTACCTCTATCTATTCTTGTATATATAGCTGATCATGGACACTATATATTTAGGTACTATCATCTCTTAGAGCAGATGCATCCTCATGAATGGCGTGATGTACGTGATCGAATGACTCAGGTTTCCTTTCAGAAAGATATTTTGGGCAACCTGCCTATGGAGATTGCAGTGCAGATTGCCAAGTATTTTGATTTGGCAGAATTCCATTTGTTTCGGAGAGTATTTACCACCATCCCCTTTCACCCCAAACAAAACCTGACATGACTTGATAGGTCTCCAAACGATGGAATCATCTGCTTTCTTCCACGCTATTTCGTGGTGCTGTGTTCCATCGGTACACCGGACACATTTGTAGCTCCATTGCGACAGAATCCCCCGATGCATTCACACAGTATGCCAAACAACGTGTCCGCTTAGAACGCGGACAACCAGTCTCTCAAATCTATAATTCCCCGTGTTTGCCACTACCAAGTCCAACCGGCTCAGCTGGTCTTGACTTTTCGAGTGGAAGGTATGCGTGGATCGAAGACGCCGTAGTTCATGTCCATAGCCTCCACTCAAGTACGACGCGGAGCTTCTGCACAGAAAACCGAGATTCGTTTACTACGCTGCGTGTCTCTGAATCTATTGTTGCAGGGATTACACTACACGGGTAAGTGTAGATGCATCCGCCTTGTACTTCATTCTTGACATTCACAGCTTCATGCTCACCTGGAATTAAGATTCTGTCATGTCTGGTGTCTTAAATCCAGCGATTCAGCACATTTCCGTCTGCCGTCACTACAGTGGAAGTACTTTGTTGTCCGTGGGGTGAACGTCGCCATGGCATTCAGCGGCATGACCAGCGAGAAAGACTTCATCATACACTGGCATTTCGACTCCCGTGTGGCTCGCACGTTCAATATTGCCAACAAGTTAGCATATATTGATGTGAATCCTTATACAGGTACTCTGATCACTGTCCACCTCGAGGAAAACGTGGGGTCCAATATTTCTGCGCATACCCGTTTCTGTCCCGCCGTATTTGCTCAATTACAAGTCATCAAATATCCACTTAAGGACTTTTCTGGTGGTGCTCGGCCCTCATCTTACACCATCACACTGCCCTCGATCGCAGTCCCAACCTCGCTTGTGGAAATAGATGCCAATTTGTCCTTCGAGATTGGAAATACGATGGGTATATTATCGGTCCGACCAGAGGGCTGTCTTGCAGAAACGGCTCATGGTATCGTCGCTATTATTTACAACCCAGAAACCGACAAGGTTAACGTAAACATCGTGTGCTCAGAGAATTCGCCATTCATGCCTTTATGCATGACATCTATCGGCGACAACATTCTTTACTATATCAAAAATGACAATGGTAAACCTAAGATCTGGATTTCCAATCCAGACGCTGCTATCCCTCACCGGCCTGCCAAATGCATGAACCCTCAGTTACCAAGAGAGGCATCCAATAGGGTCTGTTCGTATGGGACTAATTTCACTCTCAGAGGGGATGGCGACTTCATTTTGATGATCGATCAGAACAGGCTGAAAGTGTGGTGTTTTGATGACAACATATATCTACCCGGCGCGGTTCCACTAGAAAGAACCTGAACCATCGTAAAATATTTTTAGTGCTGAATAACGGGCGCGCGATTTGCTCTTCAGTTTCCAAGGCACAGCCCTTGCCCCTAGGCCTCGTTCTCAGATAGGAGGCCTTGGTACAAAACTACGTATGTTCGGTCTTGTCTATAAGGCTGGCGGTATGTATTAGAGATTCTATACTCAGAAAGGGCGTGTTAAGCGGAATAGTTCGAGAATACAAGAACAAAGGAAATGGACGATATACAGGAACATCAATGAATGCTCTATTAAAATGCCTCCCACGACTCTCCTGGGTTTGTCTGAAATCATTCTTCACTAGCCGGCTTTCTTATTGCCTATCCAGCGGCCCATCCACTGTGGAGAAAAACTCTCACTTAGCATGAAAACTTGATGAGAACGATCGCCAAACCATCTCGACTTGCCCTGGTCAAAGGACCACATACACTGATAATACACCTTCCCCAACAGGAACTGGCAGGAAGCAAATTCAGAGAAAAATAGAGAGTACCCACAAGCGAAAGAAGATCATTGAAGGAGTCTTAACGTGGCACGAAGCTTAGATACCAAGTGTGAACTCCACACCGACGTCGATTTCGCGGGCCATCTTGACAACCTTGGAGAATTGGACAGATTTCTCAGCAGCATTCTGGAGATCCTCAATAGAAAAGATCTTCAGACCAGACTCGTTAAGCTACAAAAATGTTAGTATATCTAGAAAAGAAGAAATAAAAATAGCACGTAAATGCGTGTTTTCATACCAGCTTGTGGGCCTGCTCCATGTTGGTACCCTGTAAACGAGCAACGATAGGAGTGCGTAGTCCCATTTCGTTCACAACATTGATCAAGCCCTGAGCGATGGCATCACAGCGAACAATACCGCCAAAGATGTTAACAAAGATGGCCGACACCTTAGGATCGCTGGTGATAAGCTCGAAAGCAGATTTGATGGCGGCAGGGGTAGCACCACCACCAACATCAAGGAAGTTGGCAGGGTTACCACCGTTAAGCTTGATAATATCCATGGTGGCCATGGCAAGACCAGCGCCGTTCACTAAATCTGTGGTTAGCATAGCCGAGAGGAGTGATCCATGATCAGTTCTTACCTAAGCAGCCGATGTCACCATCAAGCTTGATGAAATTCAATCCATGCCTATCACGTCGTTAGTACATACATCAAAGCTCATGTTTGTATTATTAGATATGACATACTCAGCAGCCTTGACCTCATCAGGATCTTCCTGAGTGGTATCTCTCCACGAGAACACTTCCTGTTGTCTGAATTCTGCATTCTCATCGAAACCCAATTTAGCATCCATAGCCATTACCTGGTGGTCAGAGGTCTCTGACAGAGGATTGATCTCGATTTGGGTAGCATCCTTATCCATGAAGACCTTGTAAAGCTTCTGAATCGTGTCCTTGGCCTCCGGGATGCACTGCTCGGAGAAACCGAGCTCAGTAGCAATCTTGCCCGCAATTTCATTAGTGACGCCGGTCTTGATGTCAATGGGGGTTGTGATAATAGCTTCGGGGTTCTCCTTGGCAACAGCCTCGATGTCCATACCACCCTGTGAAGAGGCGACAATGACGGGACTCTGTGACTGACGGTCCATGAGAACAGCCAGGTAGAACTCACGGCGAGCAAACTTGCGCTCGCAGATATACACAGCATTGCAAAGACGGCCGGCTGCTCCGGTCTGCTTCGTAATGAGTTTGTGCCCAATCATTTGACCAGCGAACATCTTGGCTTCAGTAGGCCTGGAGGATTATCCCGCGTCAGAACAACAACCGGTACACCCAAACAAAAAGCCAGACTCACGAGTAGATAACACGCACACCGCCCTTGAGGCCATTGTCGAAACTACCCTTACCACGGCCACCAGCAAGAACTTGAGCCTTGATGACCATGTCATCATTGCCTAACACCTTGCATCTTAGCAAACCACGATCTATGCTGGCTGGGGAATAAAATCGTACCGAGGGACTTGGCAACGGCTTCCGCTTCCTCTGCAGAGTGAGCAACCTCTCCCTTGGGCATTCCTACGCCATACTGAGTATCCGATCAGTTACTTCTGCGGGACAGAAAATTCAAGGTATCCAGTAAATCCGTACCGACTTGAGGAGCTTCGCGGACAGATGTTCGTGAATCGACAAGTTTCTCTGTTGCTGGCCAAGACGAGATTGAACGGAAGTCTCCTATACATAATCCCAATGTCAATTGATGATTATTATAAAACTCATTTCTGAGAATCTCACCGTCGCAGCTCTGAAAGCTGCCGCGACTGGTCTGCTGCGGGCGAGCTTGAACATGGTGAAAAAGAATTAAAAAGAGGGGAGAGGGTTCAAAAAGAGCTCGTCGAAGGGGCGCAAAGGGAAGGGAAGACTAGTGAGGTCTTGAAGAGTGGCGGTTTGCCCGGTAGTGTTGGGGAGTTGATGTGAGAACAGCTTTCTTTTTCGCGGCCGCACTCGGGATACTGACGGTCTTTTGCCTTGAGTATGGATCAGGGTCACCTGATAAGCCAACCAGCGTGCATCTCGGGATGACTAATTGGCTCGGGACGCGAATATCACGGAACGATACGTAACTAATATCTTTTCTACTATTCGGGCACTGAGTGTAGCAGGTTTGATCTTACCTAGGTTTAACTGATGGAGGACTACGGGTAATTTCTCTGAAAGATATAAGAGAGCTATAAATGTGCTAGACCCTATCCCTATCGAAACATTCATATTCTCCGTGTCAACGTTATTTGCATTTGCTAACCGGCAAATAATTCAAACGGCTGTAACGCCTACTATTTCTGGTACTTGTTTGTCGCGCTATTTGGGATAGATATACGAATTAGTACCGTACAAGGCTCCTTTGCATGACTTTTTTTCGGTCTGCTGCTGCCGGGGAACAGGGTCTCCGACTTGGATACTATTTTGGTGTCGAATATGTAGGTGGAAGCGAATCATGTCAAGAAAAGGAAAGAAGAAAAAAGATCTTGATTTTCATTTTCCACGCAACTCCCTCAACTTATAGAGTTTGAACATTCGCGCCAATGCGTAGTGGAAAATGCCAGTCCAAGCCCAACCTCCAGAGAGGAACCAAATAATCCAGCTCTTGTTGCCTTCCCATATCCAGCTCTTGCGGCCTTGAGCCCATGGCCATAACCAACGCCATGGTGCCGAGCCATACAAAATCTGTGCAACAACGCTCCTTGCGTATGCGGTGTGTGGCATTGCACCGTCCTGGCTGTGCGTCACTCGACGGTTATACTCATCCTCAATCGGAGCATACAAGGAATTAGATGCCAAGGTACGTTTCACACGAGCAATACGAGATTGCACACCCCCAGTAATAATTGTTGTCACATTCACACTGTCTAAGTTAATGCCAACTATAGGGTTTAGAAGAGGGGGGCTGATCACGCACCCAAAAGGAGCTAGTTCTACCCTGAGAGTGTCACTGAATGAATGTAACGCAGCTTTTGAGGCATTGTACACCGATCCAAAAACGTATGGGATAATCTTGATGCAATTAATGCCATTTGTGACCAAGGTAGGTATTTCGTAGACTTACACCGGCGATAGAACCAATCTGAACGATAGTACCCCGAGCTTTCTTGAGTAGGGGCAGAAATGTTTGGCAGATGTTGATAACTGAGAATAAGTTCGTCTCAAAGGTCGCACGAGCCTCGGCGAGGTCTACCTCCATGGCAGGAACAGTATAGTCTGTGATTCATGAGCCATTCCTTTTCTCTTATACTACAGCGTAGTTCAGGATATAGATCTTAAACAGACGTACTTCGTCCCCTAGAGATCCGCATCAGCCCTCTGTCCACTTTGCAGTCGATATTAACTCACGCATTATTGACCAAATAATCCAGTCCTTTGCCGCCAAGCCTTTCTCGTACTTCTACATAGCATGACTGAACGCTCTCTGGGTCATCTACGATAAGGCTCAATGTTTCAATACCGAGAGCCGCCAAATTTTCAAGTGCTCCAGCATCTCTCGCTGTCGCGAACACGCGTAAACCTTGCCGATAGAATTCGAGCGCGAGCGCATTTCCTATCCCACCAGGGGAGCAACTGTATAATAAGCCATGTGAGCATCAAGAACGTTGGTACTGCACCGCTAGTATAAAATGTACTGTTCACACTGCACCACTTAATCAACCTGGGGGTTCCCTGCTGTAATAATCTTACCCTGTAATTAGCACAGACCTTCGCTTATTGTCTATTGCCATTGCTCCCTAATAGAAGTAGCAGTTTAGGGTATAGAGAATGAATATTTGTTAATCATTACACAGTGCTCTAGAGAAAGAGAAGGGTGTTCATACTTATAACTTTAGTACCTCGGCAATTTGACCTGGGTAATCTGTCTGTGAAAGTGTGGATTAACGATACCTCTCCTAGTTAGTACTTCAACGGATTAGTGACTCGGTGACCTAGTCCATAACGTACTTTACCACCTGCCGCCCGATACCGCCTACCGCCCGATTTCCCAACACCAACACCACGTTGAAAATGAGGCTTTAAGAGCCACATACAATTAGAACTATACAGAGATCTTTTAAAGTAATATAATTGAACTCCTAATACGCCTATATAACTGTTTGTTTTTTCTAGTTCCGAAAGCGCTGTGGTAGGCAGATTTGCCTTCGACGATTTATGGTGGGAGGGGCCTAGGCGCTGGGGTAGTAATAACTTCTTGATTCTTTGATTTTGAGGTTGCTGGGGGCTTCTTCTTGCCTATTCTGGCTGTTTTGAAGTCATTTTGAAGCTGTACAGATACTTCCTTAGCCAGGCGCTCCTCCTTTTGGTTTTTCTTTTTCTCTGTCTCCAGGAGACAAGCTTCTCGTACAGAGGCTCTTATATCTTTCTGCTCTTATAATTTTCTTTATTTCCCTTCTTTTACCTGTTGGCGGTGTGGCTTTTCTTTCTCTTTTGGGGCCTTAGTAAGCTATACTTGCGAGTCTTCTCCTGGTCAAGCTACTGAACTTGATAGACCTTGCTTGGAGAGTAAAAGATCGCACTATCACTCTTAGAGGCCTAGATTTCAAACTGTAGAGATTTACCCCGCTGGCACCGCTTTTTCTTATTCTTAAATGTCTATCTAAGGCCTGTATTCTCCATTTTAAGCAGGATATTCTCTGTAGAGAGATAGTATATAGTCTGGCTTAACTTATTAATATTTTTATCTTTAATACTAGCAAAGATCTTTCTAATAAGCCACTTGTTCTTTCTCTAATCTTCTGCTTATAAAACAGATCTAGAAGAGTCACTAGAAGAGGGCTGTTAGTTCTCTATCTCCCTAATATAGGTCAATATAATCTCAGGATTAAAGGGCTATAAGCTAACTGATCTCTATATACTTTCAATATTTCTTGTAGATAGGGCTTTCTTCCATGCAGGCTAAAATAGCCTGAAGAAGTCCCGCTTTATAATTGAGCTTAGGCCCTGGTGTTCTTACAGATAAGCCTCTAAACTGTTGCTATAAGCAATTGTAAGTGACCTAAAGATACTGATACTAGCGATTGTAAGAAATAAGTAGAATAAGATAGATAAGTAGCTATAAGAATTCTATTGGCTTCATAATAGTTTTGTTACAGATCGAATAGCGATTCGGCCTGATGACTGTATAGGATACCCTGACCCAGGTGCATAGACAATCGGCCACCGATGAGGAATATCAGGCCACACGACAGATTGGGTTCAAGGGGATTCTGAATCCTTTAGGCATGGTGCCTTTAAATATAAATTAGCGAATCGTTAGCAGTAGTAGGAAATCAAGAATCAGTCTCCTGTCTGAATAGTATCTACTGCCTGCCTTTGACCTCTCTCTTTCTTTTAGCCTACGTACCCTTACCTAGTTGACAGGTCCTCTAGATATACCGCGCCTGGGAAATCAACTCCGGAGTTGATCATAGTGGATCTTTTTATCTAGTGGAAACCTACGTATCGAATTGATAATCCCAGGAGTAATCCTTTACATTTTCTTAGTAAATTTTCTCAGTATCTTATATATACAGTAAAGATCTCTTGCTGATTGCTTATTTAGGTAATCCAAAAGCTCTCTAGTTAGCTATTAAGCAATTGCTGCCTTTTATATTGTTGCTTCCTTAGCTACTGAACTCCGCGGTGATACCTTAAGAGAGTTATTTAGTTAACACCAAATTGATTTGCAATTTCAGTATAGGTAAAGGATTCTCCTAGATTTAAGAAGTCGATTACTTCTATCGCTGCTTTCAGAGAATCCATATTGAGTGAGTTATGGAGGTTTAAAAATCTACGATTGTTTAGTCGGTGAGGAGATATTTTGGGCGGCAGGTGGTAAAGTACGGTAACGGGATTGGCCTTCCTCCTCGGGATTAGCGCTATTACTTCAGTCATGTGCATGCCATCTCCCTTTTGTGTAGAATACATACCTTAGGGTACATCGATAAGTATTCTCTGCTGGATCTGTTATATTGTATGGTCACTTGAAGTATTAGAAGTAAATCAATGCTCATTAATTTGATACCTTAGTTAGTATGCAGTCACAGCATTGCTTCCCGGAATTGTGCTATCTGTGTTCGCACTGTACAGTACACTCACTACTTATTGCGCTCAATATCGTAGGTATAATCGTCAACTAGGGGCTATTTTAAGCGTATGGAGCGAGTGTTGCGATCTCGATTCAATGAAGCCTTTGAGCTGCGTATGGGAGAATGAACCACTCATCAACAGCCTATACAATACATACTCAATTCCGTAATGTGGTATATGCATTCTAAAGTTTGGGGATCAAAAGTGGCACACATACTCTCATGGCTTTTCCCATTGGCACTACAGCTGCATATGTAGTGGCTCGAAGACTATATCTTAAAATTTAGTAATAAAGACCGGAGACGCTAGAAGCTCAAGCATTAGAGCCGTGAATCTCCAAAACCCCCCCCCTTCCTCTCACACCTCTTCTCTTTTTCCTTTTCCCCTCTCGCTCTCTCTCTGTCTCTCTCTATACTTAGAAAGCGAGTGTAGGATATGATTTGCCTGTACTAGATGGCTACAGCATCATTCTCAACAAGTTCTCGATTCGAGTAGAGCGATGATCTACTTTCCCCACCCACCAAAGAACATCGTGCCGATACCCGAGAAAGCCAAGCGGATTTGCTCTTCCTGACACATTACTCCGTGATTTCTCTCTTGCGACTAGGGGTGCGGTGGCAAAGATTTCAGTTAAAGGCATCTACTTTCTCGTTATCTATAACCATTTAACCTGAGGATCTACATATATGGCTTAGGATCGCTCTCTCGCCCATGCCCCTGGTCTAGGTTGTCGTGGACAGGTATACTAACTACTTAAAGTCGGCTAACTTACCACCTATTACTGAGTACCCAGCAATGCTTGTTTCGATTGTTGTGGCTAACACAGTGCATGCCAAGCAGAATCTATCGAAAAATCTTCTTCATTTATTGTCAAGGTTGCCTTCCCTTCATACGGGAATTGCACACACTGGCAGTCATCTCCATACACATCGCGGAGCTGTACTCCGCACAGGACTTCTAATCGTGCGTTTTTCTATACTAAAAAAAAAAAGAAGAAGAAGAAGGGAGAACGATCACGAATTGAAATTCCCGCCTGGGACATCCTACCCATAAGGGACGTCTTGCTTCTTCACTCGAGCCTCCTTCTATGCCACTAGCGCTTTCTCTATCCACTGTGTGAAGTAGAGGTTCACTTTGGCAGCCTAAAGGCACAACGAAGCGTATCATCCTAAGTTGAGGAGAGGTAGCGGTGAGGAGGAAAGAGGAAGGAAGGCCACTATATCCAAGCTATAATTGCAGAAAGGAGATCTGACCTTTGTTCTGGGAATGACGCTGAAGTTCGAACTTTCACGTCCTAGACATATGCGAAAACCGGGAGATGATGGCTACCGTACCCCCACGATCGAAGATGCTGAGGATTATGTGTCGGCGCAAAGGGATGAAAACTCGCTATATCCATCTGGCATCTGGGAGCCCCAGGCTCATTCCTCAGCGCTAGAATCGCCGCATAGTTCCTCATATCACAAAGCTGAAGGAGATGGCATCACAGATGTAGGTCGTGTGCTTCATCGCCAAAACGGGCCCGACAATTCAACAGTAGTCCTCAGCTGGAAGCAACGGATACGTCACTTTACTTGGGCGTACTTCACGTTGACAATGGCAACCGGCGGGATTGCTAACGTCCTGTATACCAGTAAGTTCTGAGGTGCCTCTGATCTATGAGTCGTAGTTGTGCTTACCACAAATCAGTACCTTATAGATTCCGAGGGCTGCAGACAATTGGTATTATCTTCTTCCTGTTCAACATTGTTCTATATGCCACCATCTGGAGTCTGTTGGCCATGCGGTTTTACCTCTACCCATATACATTCAAAGCTTCCTTCTTGCATCCAACAGAGTCACTGTTTTTCCCAGCCTCTGTGGTTTCATTTGGTACAATCCTAATAAATGTCTCGCAGTACGGGCCAGACAACACAGGACCTTGGCTTGCACGTGCCGTTGAGATTTTATTTTGGATCGACGCATGCCTTGCTATTATCTTCTCTGCCGGTATCTATCTTCTGCTGTGAGTCTTGTCACCCTCTGCTAAAATACTGGTAAGGTATGCTGTTTATTCTGACGTCGAAATAGATGGTCTACACAAACTTTCACCATTGCCCAAATGACACCAATCTGGATATTTCCCGCATACCCTTTGCTGATCATCGGTCCCCATGCCGGTATATTGAGTTCGAAGCTTGAATCGTCTCGCTTATTACCCATTATAATTGGTGGCACAACTATTCAGGGAGTTGGTTTCCTGGTCTCCCTAATGGTGTATTCTGCCTTTATATATCGATTGATGTCACAAAAACTTCCCAGAGAGAACGTCCGACCCGGTATGTTTGTCTCTATTGGTCCTAGTGCTTTCACGGTTGCTGGGGCTGTGAATATGGCCGCGAACGCTGAGAGGTGTTTTCCTGGTGATTTCATGGGCAACGGGCCTTTAGCCGCATATGTGTTTCGAGTTGTTGTCAATTTTTCTGCCTTGTGGCTATGGGGGTACGACTTCACCACAGTTCTCGCTCCTGTCTTTTGGCCTTTGGCTGATTCACGCATAGCTTAGCGATCTTCTTCTTTTTCATAGCGAGCTTCGCTCACTGGTCAACTATAGGGCCAGGTCGAATGGTCTTTACCATGGGGTGGTTTTCATTTGTCTTTCCGAATACTGCACTAATCACAGCGACATTTGCTATTGGCCATGCATTCTCCTGCAAGCCAATTCAGGTTGTCGGATGTGCTATGGTCATTCCCCTTCTGCTAATGTACATATTTGTCTGCTATATGATGATCCGTGCCATCGTGTTACGTCATATCCTGTGGCCTCAGAAAGGTGAAGATAAAGATGAGGGTGGATTTGAGATCAATCAGATCAAGCCGGAATCTTCAGGCGATCATAGCCCTGCATGAGATTGCGCACTCGAGTCCGCAAAGATGATGACGGTATATGTTTACGATTTAGCCGCATTCCTACCTTAGCACCGAATTTTCCTTCTTCGTCTTTGAAACCAACGTAGGAAAGAAGCCCTTGTTGTACTAGCCAGCCCTTCATGTGTAGTACATAAGACGCTACGTCAAGCACGTACATCATGAGCGTGGCATGTAACCACGACTACCTGGTACCTGTGTTGGTAGCCGCATCTCATCCGATACTCAAGGGTACTACTACAGTCTAGTGCTTGTAGGTACTTTTACTTCACTAATTATCTCGATGGTTTGACTCGATACGTTGAGGTGATCGATTGAGTTCAAGAGTGTCAAGTCAACTACCTACATAAAATATGAACTTGCCCCGGATCTCCCCACCCAACATGGAAGGTGGTAACGCGTACCTAGATATGGATTGGAGGAAGTTGAACTGAACTAATCCACAACAGCAATAGACTAACCGAAAAGGGCCACTTATGTTAATTCTGATAGGCTCTTTTCACTCCCACTAGCCGTATATAGTAAGGTTGTTGTAGCGCCCAGGTGGGCTGTGGACCCTTTTTTAATGTTCCATGCTTTCCTATCGCCAGGCGTGGGATGCGGGAACTTAAATAAGAAAAAAAAAAATTGTAACGCAGAATGAATTTTTTTCCTTCCCTTTTATCTACCCCCCTAGTGTGGCATAGACATAACTTGAAGCACTAATTTATTTAAAACACTTCCATAATTGCATATCAGACGTATATCTGTTCCACCAATACATTTGATACAAAGCAAACATCGCCAATATGTCGCAAAAGGTTTATGTCACCTATAACCAGGTATGGACTTTTGGTTTTTGAGTTTGACTGGCCATTTGTGTGGCTGCCTCAGCCTCCTATATCCTGATGCCATGCTTGCATATGTCAATCATGTATCCGAGTCGATAGCTCTAGGATGGCAAGCAGTCATTTTTTCGCTACGTCAACATCCTGTCGATCTTTCATAGGACAATTTGCTAATACGTTAAACCGACTAGGTTCACAAGCTATGCCAATCTTCGGCTGATAACATCCTGAATAACTTCCACCCCAATCTTATGATTGCTATCGGCGGCGGTGGATATGTCCCTGCCCGTATTCTCCGGTATGCTCGATGACTTGCCGGTACCAAAAGCATTTGCCTAAACTGACACTCAAACAGGTCTTTCCTCAAACGTGCCGGCGAACCCAACATCCCCATTCAAGCCATTGGTCTGTCACTCTACGAGGATCTCGGCCGTGGTGATCCCGAGGAGGTTCCTGGGACTAAGGTGACTCGGACACAATGGTTGGACCTCAGTTCTCTGGAGATGGCCAATCTTATTGGCAAGAACATACTTATTGTCGATGAGGTCGACGACACCCGGACCACTTTGGAGTATGCGGTTCGCGAACTTCAGAAAGACGTTGAGGAGGCACAGAAGCAGCTTGGACGAGAGGGCGAAAGGACGAATTTCTTTGTTTTTGTGCTTCATGTAAGTTATTCTTGGAGCATCAGCATCCTGTACCACGCTATTTGCCAGACTCAACGCTAAATCTGCCAACAGAACAAGAACAAAGCTAAGAAGGGAGTGCTGCCTGCGGATATGATGGATTCTGGCCGCTATCATGCCGCTGTCACAACTGAAGATGTTTGGATCTGTTATCCGTGGGAAGCAAAGTACGTGATTATGCTAATGATGAAGACCAGTCCTCGACTTCTGGTAGCTGACATAGTTAACAGGGATATTGACGAACATGACGCCTTGGCTAAGGAGAACCCTCTCTTCTAAAACTTTTCCTTTAATCTCTTATATGCATTTGCTTAGTGCCCGTGCATTTTCGCTTTCATTTGCTTGCATATAGCCCTTTATTTATGACCAGAAGCTGGCTGGGCATGTCACGATACAAACGGTGTTTTTGACGATGATTGATAGAAATGGAATGAAATAAATAAAATATATCAGGACCGCTCGATACACCAAACGGCGCAACTTCTTAGTTGAAGAAAAGGCGGTGCTTACGATACAAGACGACAGAACATGTTTCTCTCCTTTCGAAAATCTATGTTCCCTAATTCGGGGACTCCCTTCCCATAATTACCCATCCTTTCCAATGTTTTCCTTACAACAATTTATTGATCTAATGGCTAGGCCTTTGGCCTTTCTGATATAAGCCTTGTATACCAGAGCGTAACAACGTGTATGCTGTTGGATTTGACCAACTGGAACCTGCGGTATTAGGTAGGGTCACAGTAAAATTGATATCTTATACATGTGCGTATTAGCTATTCTATAACTACTAGAACCCCATAAGCGAAAGCTACTGAGGCGCCTTATTAGAGGCAACCCAGTAGCATAGTGAAGAGGAGGGAAGTCGGCATCTCTAAAACCGGACCAATCGCTCAAGGCGTTTCAGTCGACGTCGACGTTTTGTTTGCGCAACTCCGTCTTGGCCTGCTCAATCTCTTTCTGCAATTCCTGGTGTGCCTCAGGGACATCGTTGAATGTCAAGATAGCTACACCTAGCCGGCCAAGTAGGTAGCATCCGAAAGATATTAGGGCATAGAAGGGAAGCTGGTGGAATTGCGCTAGTGTTAGTGGCATGGAGAAATATCAACCTGTAATGCTCGAAGAGGACAACGTACGACAGGAATGATCTCTTTCTGAACGGTTTCGTTGAGGGGCACGAGGCCCAAGTATAGGACGAGATATAGCTGTATAGAGGTAAAAGAAGATACGTATTAGTGACAGCAACCAACAAAAGGGTTGCAGTCTTTGACATACCGAAGAGACGAGTAGGAGAACGGAGAGAGTTTGCTGAGCGCGTGTCATTGTGAACAAGGGTTATAATGCGGGATACTGAAGGGAGATGGTAGAATACACCAGCGATAATGTATTAAAGTATTAGAATAACGAAAGAAGGGAGAGAGAAAGCCGTGTAATATATATTAGGTCATGCTCAAGAGGAAGGATAGGAAGGTGTAGGTAGTACTGCCTCAACGATACCGGATGCGCGCCCCTTGGCTGTTGGGTTCTCCGTACTTACTAGTACTAGTCGTAGGTAGGTACGTACATACATACTAACTAGTACTATGGTTCCACAGTCAATGCAGTATTGTATGGAGACCTCTGAGTTCACAACCTTAATGCTAGCTGTTCAGTGCCCAGAAGTTTCTTTTAAGACGAGAAAGTGAGAGCTTGTATGATTACCTTGAATAAGTATGGAAGTACCTATCTAGAAGCCTTTGCTCAATACGGTACCTCAAATTGTACGGACGGATGAGTTCCAAATTAATACGGGGTATTGTACTGTACATTGCATACCCGGTGTACTAGAATTTATTCCACAGCTCTAGTGCGTACTGGACTTCGTAAGCTGCCTTGGGCCGACCAAGTTTATCTATTCCTAATTTCCTAGAAACAATATCTCTTTTTTGAGGACATCTTTCCCTTAACCGCACATCCCATGGGCCTGGGAATTTCTCATACACGACGCAATATTATTCTACTACGTAACCCGGTTAGCTTTAAAGCAAGGCTAATTGGCTAGTTTTTGTCCGTTATTTTCCAGGCTTATTATGGAAGCATAGCCATACATATCCCGAACAGGAAAATTCATTATCGAGGCAGGTTCAGGTACCCGCAACTACTATACGCCACTTGGATTATTATACTTCCTGGATCTCTAATTGTGGCGACATGAATGGAGAAATGACCTCAAGAGGGGAGGAGACTGCCACCGACAAGCCCATGTATCCAAACCACGGTCAAAGTGGCCCGTCCATCACCCAAATCCAAGGAAAAGACCGGATGGAATGTCTACCTCTGAGTCAGGTCATATCTGAATTGGCCCCCAAGCCTCCAGCACTAGACCCACGGGCATCCAAGTCTCTGTCCCTTGAAGAGCAAGAAATTCTGTTTAATAACCTTCAAGATATTCTCAAGGCTGCCGAGACTAGATATCAAGACAGCTCCATGATTGAGGCTAACAAAGCAAACTTTCCTTTTAAGCAACTCGACGCCGCTTTTGAAGGCCTTCAAGATATCCTGCTTAAGCTCTGGGAGTGCAGATCGGACTATTTAGTGCAAGCTGCAGAGGCTCTGGCAAATGGAAGTAGAAACCGTAAGTGGATACGATATAATTACCCATCGACCTCATTGTTTATACATTCGCAGCACTGTGGCGACTTCCATATGGACAGAGTGGTGTACTAGCCTTCTTCCTCCAAATTATTGCCTCAAAGGAAGATGTCAGCACAGGTCTATTCCTTCATGCTTTGCGGTTAATTGGAAACTCGTGTGCCGACACTGGTAAGCCTGACCCATTCTTATTCAGAGCATAGATTTTACTTAACATTGACTTCGTTTCAAGATGAGAATAGGACAATTGTTGTGAAAGACAATTACACTTCCGCGATCATTCAACATCTTTTAAACCCCGAACTGATAGGGGTAGTAGTACCTGTTATATACAATATATGCGTTGATTTTGGTAAGAGACACTGCCTCTGCCTGCACTTAGTTACTAACCATCCATAGAGCCTGCCCAATCCCAGCTGGCTGCGAACAAAATAGTATACATTCTCCTGAGACTATTAAAGGAGGACACGTTCCAGGGCAATGAAGCATTGCTTGACTTTATTTTTGAGCTCATAGAATTGGCTGCGGAGCAAGGTATGATGCCGCCCTTTATCTTATTTGCCTATTTCTAACAGGCGGCACGTGCAGAGCAAGGGGTAGAGTCTTCACCTGACGAAACTATCTCACTTCTTATTGGTCTTGCCCTTGACAAGGAGATTGCTCATACTGTGTCCCGGTTTTCTGGTATAACAACTTGCTCAGTGGCGTATCTTGGCAATAAGCGATTCCAGGAAATTTGCATAACCAGATACATTGTAGCCGACGTATTGACGGTGCTTACCAGGTCATTGACTTTTGAGGCTGAGAGCTCCTCTAGCGACGACATTCAAGCATTGGCACAACTGCGGTTGAAGACTAACCAGACACTAGCAGACTTGTCTAGCTTGCCATTATTCGCCGAATATTACCCCATTGGCTCATCTCTTTCACAGGTATTGATAGGTTGGTTACATAGAACAGAGGATCATCTCCAGATATGTTCCTGTGTCATGTTAGGTAACTTGGCTCGTTCGGATGATGTATGCCAAGTGATGGTCCGAGACTTGTGTATGCACCAAGATTTGATATCGGTCATTAAGAGTGATGCTAGGGGAGCCGTCCTTCATGCTGCGCTAGGGTTCCTAAAGAACCTAGCAATTGCTAGAGACAATAGATCGCAGCTGGGAAGGGCTGGTATCATTCCTGCAGTCTCCCGCCTCTGGGCATACGAGGCGGTACCACAAGTACAATTCGCGGCAACCAGCATCGTACGCCAAGTCATCATTTCTTCGGTCGAAAATATTTCTCATCTACTAGAGGATCTCCCAAGGGGTGAAGACCGTAGAACTTATCTTTCCCATCTGCTTTCGCTGTTTGAGAAAACGGACTCCACTCCTATCAGGACAGAGGTTGGACGCATTGTAGCATCTATATGTCGTACTCTTATCCCGAAATCTCGCGAACGGGATCAAGAGGCAGAAGCCATCCTCAGGCGTCTCTTTAGCATGCACAAGGGAATTGCGTTCCCAATAGGTGCTATGATCTCCCAGACACAGTGGCCTGTTGTTCGGAGTGAAGGTTGGTTTGCTCTCGCTCTGATGGCATCTAGTCAACCCGGTTCGGTGGCAGTTGTGTACTGTCTTGAAGAGATGGGTCTGCTCCCAACTCTTGAGCAAAGTCTAAGTGCAGAATTGCTTAATTCAACGGACGAAGCGGGAAAATTGCAATTGACTAAGGATCGTGACAACATAATTGTCCTCATGCAAGAACTGTTGAAACGGGGCGTACGTTCATCATTCCTTTCTGGATGGCGCTTCGAAATAACACTAATCCCCCATCGCAGTCCATCCAACTTTCGGAGTCGGCTAAAGATACGTTACAAGGCCTGATGGATAGCCAGGTGCCGCGGCACTTGGAGAGCACCAGAAAACATTGAATATGCACTCAAACATCACCTCGCATCGCACTATCATTCAAAACCTCATAGGATGTTCCTTGGGCTAGTCCTCTCCATCAAGCCTCACGGAATAAGAAACAGCAATCCCGGGAGCGTGAGTAGAACATCTACGTCTTGATGTATTAGTGAAACGCGGAATAAGATAACGGAATTCTTCTTCCTAACTAAAAAGGAGTAGAAGCGAGTAAAAGCACAGGTCACAAATTTTCTAGACAACCCACCTCCTTAGCGTATGCTCGATACCGACAAAGTATATCAGTAGAATCCAGACCGTCAAGACTTGCATCAGCAGAGTAATGCGCAGCCAGCCCTTTCCCATCAATTATGACGTCGCGGCTGCTGCCCTGTACTTCTTGCGCTGCTTTCATAGCTAGCTGGTCTACATCTTGTTCAATGATGGAATCAATAACTCTAGGGTCACCTGCCTCAAGACAAAGGAAGTTGAGGCCAACACTCTCTGTGGGATTGACCCACATTGGAAACTTATAGCGATATAGATCGCCGGATTCAAGATGTTGTAGAAATGAATAGTGTTGCTGTGCGTGGACGGTCCAGTCGTCTAGCCCAGGTCCATTGTCATCGTACATGGATGTCGCAATAGGCGTTCGATCGCCGTTCTCTTCAGTCAATGGGAGCCAGCGATGGCTTTTAGAGGGGGGAGAATATCCTTTGTATATCTTGAAGTCGGCAGGGCCTTCCCAGGGCGGAAGATTTACCACTCGCCAATCCTGGGTTTGGTCGGAGGAAGGGAAAACCTCCGGGAGATAGGGAAGGGCGATGCCAGGGTGGCTATGGAGGGTTTGGAGAGCGGCTTGATTAATGACATTTGCTGAAACTATTAAGGAACCAGGGTGATCAAGCTTTGTTTTAACAATCGTAGGGATTGTATGATCCTCCAGGAAGATGATATCGCCATCTATTTTGATCAACATCACATTCTTGTCCGTGCCCCCCCACTGCACATAATCCGCAGTCTCCGAGATTCGATAGCGAGGAGTGCGTTCCACAACAGAAGTGAGCCATTCTAAGCTTTCCGTGTCGTTCATCTGCGGGATAAATATTACCAGGTCAAGGAATCCCTGATCATCGACGAGATTTCTCTTTGGTTTTAAGTAAATGGAAGAATTAGCATATTGCCATAAAATCTCAAGGAAAGAAACAGTGTCGGGACCTACACGCAGATAACAATCTAGGATCTCCGTTCGCTCATGGCTTCGAAAGGGTACCAGAGCAATGATCTTGAGATCTTTTGGCTTCTCGAATGATCTCAAGTTTTTGGAGTACGCATGAAATGGCACTCTTTGAATGAACAGATAGAGAAGACCCAACTCGAAGGGTGAATGCGTTAAGGGGAAACACATGCAGATGAAGAGTAGAACCATGCATAGACAACTAACAACACACCAAGTCGATGTAGTTATGTATTGAGAGCGATGCGATTTTGTATCGCTTCTAGTGTCAAGGCGACCCATGACAGAATTTCATTATCCCGAATTTGAACAGCCGACCAACCCGTTGTCCAGGGGTCTCCAGTGGATATATACGGAGGAATATCCATCGTTCATGACATTTCCGTTTTCGGAGAAAGACATCTGACGGGATTGGGTTGGGATTGGTATGTACTGTCTAACTAAAAATAGATTTTCAATCAAATCGGGGAGACGTGAACCGACAGTGAATTTAGTGGAATACTGGAATTTATTGATCAAAATGGGTTTCAATTGCGTTCTTTAAATAAAGATGTGATGTTATTTATGACGTCGCCGACACACGTGAAACGGGTTTCCCCAACTATTAAAATGTCCGACCGCGCGCGACCCAAACTTCGTCACCCTTCTTCCTGGAGCCATATCCTTGCCTCCCAAATGAATCCGCCAACGATAGTTCATTTGAATTACGCTTGAGAACATGAGGGCGGCCGTCCTCTTCGGCCGTTTCTGTTCCAGCCGTGGTGGAACTCCACAGCTATTGTCCCGCTTCATTTTGCCGTCTCGACTGTCGTCATGCCGGCAAGGGCTTGGATGGAGGTCCCGGAAGCGGATACAAACACCAGGAACTTTATTGCTCTCTTCCCTAACCCCAGGCGTCTTCTTGAAGTTGGCCCAGGAAGGTGATGGGAATGAAATGACTGGTGAGATGCAGATGCTAGAAGTTTCACGCCAAGAAATCCGAAAGAGCGTCACGGACGATGCGCGGGGCTTCTCGAGACTTCAACAATCCCTTTTCGTCTTTTGGTATTACTACGTATATGATCCAATAGCTACGGGCTTTCGATTTGCCCATCTGGTGGTCGTCTTCTTGCCCGTCATCCTCACTGTCCCAGCCGTATGGTTTGGGAAGCGCATCAAAGCGCGCAGCGATGTGCGGAGGGGGAGGCTGTGGTGGTATACTTTCCTGGTCAGGTCGATGGAACGTGCAGGGCCGGCCTTCATTAAGGTAGAGCACTGCCCCATACCCGCCAACTGGAAGTCAAAATCATATGCAGTGCGCATACTGATATCTGACGTGGTTTTCTAACAGCTCGGACAATGGGCGGCCTCACGTACTGATATCTTCCCCCCTGAATTGTGCAATATTATGTCGTCTCTCCATTCGAATGCCCCTGCACATCCATTGCAGGAAACTAAGAAAACCATATGCAGGGCCTTCAACGGGCTATCGTTTGAGGAAATTTTTGAGGAGTTCTATGAAGAGCCTTTGGGGGTGGGAGCCATTGCGCAAGTTTACAAGGCAAGACTTAAACCGAACTTGGCGACATTCGAGGATCAAGAATCCACACTAGAACCACAGAGCTTACGAGGAAAAGTCCGAAAGAATGTTGATGTTTTGATGAAAAGTACGCCTCAGCGAGTTCCTTCTTCCTATGTAGCCGTCAAAGTGCTGCACCCTAAAGTCGAGGGTGTGATCCGAAGGGATTTGAAGATCATGTCTTTCTTCGCTTCATTTATCAATGCTATCCCTACTATGCACTGGTTATCCTTACCAGACGAAGTCCATCAATTTGGGGAGATGATGAAGCTCCAATTAGACCTCCGCATTGAGGCGAGTAACCTTGTCCTGTTCCGTGAAAAATTTAGAGCGCGCACTACCGCTTGGTTTCCATACCCCTACATGGATTACACAACCCGTGAGGTGCTTGTGGAAGAGTTCGCACAGGGCATCCCTCTGTCAACCTTTCTTGACGTCGGAGGAGGTGTCTATCAGCAAGAAATTGCAAATGAGGGCCTTGACGCTTTTCTCCACATGCTACTGATCGACAACTTTATCCATGCGGATTTGCATCCAGGTAATATTATGGTTCGGTTTTACCAACCGAGCGAGCTGGGCCTTACCCTTCGCAAACATACTCGGGCGTCCGATGCGCCAACCGTGACAGAGGTCGATGTAACGGAGACTGTACTGGCACGACTACGACCACATGTCCATAATCCAAAAGATTGGGAGAGGGCACTTGAGCAGTTAAATGCGGAAGGCTATCGCCCGCAACTTATATTCATCGATACTGGTTTAGTAACCCAGCTTAATGAGACTAATCGGAGAAACTTCCTTGACCTTTTTCGTGCGGTCGCAGAATTTGATGGGTATAGAGCAGGTCAACTTATGGTTGAACGTTGCCGTCAGCCAGAGCAGGTTATTAACCCGGACATTTTCGCACTGAAAATGCAGCATCTAGTCCTTAGCGTGAAGTCACGAACCTTCGCGCTTGGAAATATTAGTATTGGAGATGTGCTGAGTGAGGTACTATCCATGGTTCGGGGCTACCACGTTCGGCTTGAAGGAGACTTTGTTAACGTTGTCATCTCGATCCTTCTCCTCGAAGGTATCGGACGGAGCCTTGACCCAAACCTGGACCTCTTCAAAAGGTGAGTAGATAAAATTCCTTAATTCCGAGCCCGGAAACATTTGGCACCTTGATTAGCTAGATTAAACGATCATTAATACCTTGCTTTAGTGCTCTCCCCATTCTGCGGAAGCTCGGATCCAAAACCACTTTCTTAAAGTCTGTCCGATCGGGCGACACTTCCATGCTTCGCGTCTGGGTTGGACTTGAAGCGCGTGGATTGCTGCAGGCCAGTATCGAGACCGTCGAACTCTGCGTCAAGTCTGATATGTTGTCTCCGAATATATAGGAAGGGAACAGGGAGGGATTGCTAACTCAAGCTTCAGTCAGAATGCTCTGGGCCGGCACTTGGGAGAATAGAGCTGACTCATGGATAACATGGTTTCGGAACTGCAAGAAAAAATTTCATCGATATGCTACCGGGGAATTGCTTTGGCTCTTATGTACAGTGTATACACATATTAAAGCTTAATCAATAGTAGACCATGGAGACATATTTTCTCAATTGCGCTATAATATTGTCTTATATAGAACACATGGCTACAGCCGTTGATATACGGAATAACAGCTCAGTTAGTAAGAGGCCACTCTGGCAAGAATGGAAGGAATAACAGGCTTCCTGTTAACAGTACTTTTTATTCGTTGAACTACCTAATATAGGCTGCCTTATTAGATATGATATTGCGATTTAGGCGGTGTTACCTAAAGGAATGCTATGTATAGTTCTGCCTGTTATCGAAGAGCGTCAAAGTATTATAGGGAGTTAACTTACGCTCTTCCTGTACGTCTAGATCGGGGTTAAAGAGTAATATGGAGTCATTGACCATACCATCAGCATATACAGTAGTGACGAACAAATTTTACAGAGCCAAGTTGACCGTGACAACCGTATCACTAGATATTATAATGTGTTAAAGCCATATATGTTCTTCTGAAGGCACTGTTGGATGGATACTCTGGGAGACACTGGGATTGAGCCGAAAGAAACATTCAATGAAATGACCGGGTTACCTTCAAGGAAAAATGCGTTGTTCTCCAGTCGCCGTCCGATTCAGCTTGCCCATGTGGGCCTAAACCAATAGCCCAGCTTGAAATACCGCGCGACGTTATCTGAGTGGAATATTTTGACGCTCCCTGAAAGCCAGGATGACCTAAACTATACCTTTGCTCTCCCCCCGTGCTCGGCCCCAGTCAGAGCTTGCTACATTGAGACTGACACTTGCCAAACATATGACATTAGCTATACTGACAGTGCTGCCTAGTATATCACTAGGTGGTAAGGCGAGGGAAGCAAGGAAATCATTGCCTCTATAAGAAGTTGAGTATGAGCACATACCGTAAAATTTTATGCTAAACAGCGATCACGATTCAAACATACGAAAAATAACTAAGGGGTCGGTTGTATTCGGGTACCCTATGTCGCATCCGAAGGCAGGCGCTCACTCTTCATTGCGCTTAAAAAAAATATCATTTCTAGTCTATTAATTCTTAAAATAGTATTTATATCCTCGGTGAGCCTGGGTCTTCGCATCTAGCGAAAGAGAAGTCCTGCATCATGCAGGCGAGAAGAGAGGAAAGACAATGATTAAGAACTATCTCTTCATTTTAAGACGCTACCATCCTCCCAGGAGATTATGCTAGGAGAACCTAAGAAAAAAAAAAAAAAAAAAAAAGACGGCACAAATTTTCCCCAATAATAAACAATTGTAGGCGTCATTTAGTTCGTCGCGATCAACACCTACCCGTTAGACCGCGTAAGACTATGTGGAACTAGTAGACGCCCGCGCCTTTTTCAAACATACATGTGAGTGGAGAATTTGTGTCGTTGAAGAATAATATGACGAGTTGTGCTGTTAGTTTCCGCCGTTCTCTCGAATTGCAGCACCAGTAGCTCGCCACCAAACGTCGCCCCCCCATCTCATCAATCGTTCGATAGCAGCAGTAGGTGTGTCTAGAGCAGGTCTAATATCCAAATAGAAGACCGGCTCTCCTGTAGGCTCTGGAGGCCCTGAATAATAATCGATTACATAACGAACTTCTTTCGGGCCAGACGGCGTTTGTCGCAACACAAACCAGTCATGTCGGTCGAATGGTGGAGCTGTACTAGGATATGTTAGCAATACAGTTCGATGGCATGCCAAGCACAGAGGGGGGAGCAACCGGGGTACTAACCCGAACTTTGCTGGGTATAGCCAACCCAAAGTTTGTAGTATTTGCGCCTTCGGTGTAGGCTCCTGCGGCCGACCCTGGAACCTGAGCAGGCGTGGTTGGTTCTCATGTCCACTGGCGCCCATCATCTCTTCTCTGACTGCATCTAAGGCGATATTTTCCTCACCACGTCGGCATTTTTCCCAGCCTGCCTTTAGACCTTCTGAAAATAAGCGCTCCCATCCAACAATTTCCTGCCAAGCACCTTCATTTAGAAAGTTGTGCACTGCGACCATAGCCTCGACTGCATCCTGTGGGGTATCCGTGTGACCTTTACGCAACATGGCATTATACATTTGCTGGGGAGAGGGATATTCCCAGTTGCTCTGTGTATCTCCTCGGGGTATGGAGGAGGCTTCACGCTCTACCGATAGATCGATGGTTTGGTCTGGTGCTCGTTCCTGAGAGATGGAGGAGAACATATAGTTGAGAGGATTCAGTACAGAGAATGTTGACTTGTTTTCATGTCGAGCCGGCAATGCGGTGTTTGGAGTCTTCGACTTCGGCGGTACATAGAAAGGGGAGTCTTTAGACCGGACTGGACAGGCGCTAGGAGGCTCAGGAGCGGACGATGGCGACAAGAGAGAGGAATTGCTTGTATTCATTGGACATCCGGGCTGTGAGGCGTCATTAGAGGCCTACTAGGGACATGTATACTTGAAAACACAGCTACTAACAGGAGGAGTGGCGTCTGAGGGTGCCGATGGGTTCAGAGACACGGACGTTGTCGGCTTTGACGGGGACTCAGCCCAGAACCAACCCATTTTGAGAGAAATATCAGAAGGAAATTGAGAAGATGTGAAGGAGGATCCACTTATTTGGAGGGAAAGCCCTATGTATATAGATGATAACGGATCGGGTTAGCTAAGAGAAGGGGTCAAAAAGAAAAAAGAGGAAGGGCGCAATGTTTCAAAGGGTTCAAAAAGGCTTCATGATAAATGAGTAACTTTTTTCTCTGGCAAATCGGAATTCTGCCAGGCTAATTTTCCCACCGCCTTAAACCGTATCAGTCTTACTAAAGGACTATGATTATTAATATCTACAATAGCAGTACTAAATAAGAAAAATTGGAGGAGTATAGTTGGCCGGCTAAGTGTAATGTCTATATAGTACTGTCCATACACTCAAAAAATACCACTTTTCGATTATCACGCACGGCTTTCTATTACTGCCACGCCCTTTTCTCCTTCTAAATTACCCCAGATAATCTAAATCAGCTTGATTACGTAGTCGACAATGGTAGGTGCTATTAATAATGACAAAATTGGTAGGAAGATTATTATCGTATATATGTATATTCATGCAGATCCTGCTGGAAGACGTTGAAACATTTGCCTTAGTCATACCGAAGCCTCCAGAGTGATGGATTACCACTATTAACGAATAGCCCTCGATAAGTAGAGCCTGGTGCTTAGAATCTTCAGCCCTAATCTTGGTTGACCAAAATGTACAAGTGTAAAGGCGTTCGCGAAATCTATATACAGTTGTTGCTCGCCGAACAGCCTCGCGCCGCCATCGGTCCAACGTTGTACACCTTATAGCGCTAATCACCGAGCGAGCTGTACCAGAACGAGAATAAAGTAACCCCCACTTTGTGCTTCCAATGTGCATGGCTGATCAAGTCATGGCTTCATCCCAGACAGATGTCCAGCCCACCTCGTTGGTACTAGGAAGGTAGAAATAATCGATCAAGACGGTGGACACCTGCCTCCAGGTGCGCCACCCACAAACCAGGGCAATGCCGGATAGACGCTCAATGAACCATGGGCGTTCAATCTGCCCAGCCGAGCCCTGAGCGCCAATGAAAAGCGCCCACACCAACAAACCGTGATTCTCTTTAAATACCGGTGACCGAGTAGAATCAGCTATAGCCTGCTTCAAATGTCTTGTGAGCGCACGGCCCAACCCAGACGATGGGGGCGATACGACTAGGAAATGATTTAAGTAACAAATAGAAGCAATTCTGGTGACCGCCTCTATAGGATGAAGGTATGGCAGGGTCTCGGGAAACGATTTGCTTCGCATGTTGGATTCTGAGTAGACGTAACTAAGGAGCTGATGCTCAACTTCATGATTAAGATTGCGGAAAAATACGTGATCATCTGTGCAAAGTACAGCAGGGTTCTCGTTGCAAGCCTGGCTGTAGAGTACTAGATCACGCATAACAAGCAGAATATTTAGCAAGGGAGAGCTGAGATGAGGATTAGAAAAAAATGCGATGCCCAGTCTTTGCAAATTTGACGTGTTTGGGGGCGCTATACGTTTCTGAATGCTGGTAGACACCGGTTGCAAGCCCCAAACCAAAGGCAAAACTGGCTGGGTCATGAGTCCCGATGCAGCCTTTGCATCAGTCCTAGATCACACGTTAACAAGAATCGGCCAGAATCAGTGTCGCACATACGCGAGAATGGCAGCCAACATTGAGGACTGATGAATACCCTTGTCTGCAACCCCTCCTCGTAACTCCACCATGCGTTTCAAGCCTCTGAGGTGCATACGGGCTTCATCAAACAACCCAACTATCAGCTGGCAAAGGTTAGAAGGTCTTAACATTGTCATTTCTCAGTGAGTTGGCCAACGTCATTGACATGGAAAGACCAAGGTAAGGTAAATGGACATCCATACCGCACTCGTAAGAAGGTTAATAATTGTGCCAAATGCTTCGTTGCTTAACGATAGAATAGGATTCCGCAATTTGATATTCATCTCACGAATGCACTTGGCTTTCATGATGTAGTAGTCTGCTTTGTGCAAAAACCGGTAGGAGGTTTCTGAAGCATATTGGTGGTCTGGATGATGTCCAGCCAAAACAGCTCGGTGGGCAGCACACATGCTCATCAAGCCAAAGAAACTGCCCGGGTCTGTAAATGAAGATTGGACTGCCATTTCCATTTTAGCCCGCTCATTAAGAGCGTATTCTGTCGGGAAAGTCATCGGCACAAAAACAGTCCCCCCTAGTCAAGATTTACTGGGTTAGTCGGAAGTTCAGCACGTAGGAATAACGCGCCTGATTAATCGGCCGAATATATTACTTAAAGTAAACTTCGTAAGATCCAGGGCACTGATCAATGGATCACTAGAGACAGACACTAATGGGCTACTCACAGTAAAATACCAGCCGACTAATCGTAATAGGAACATCACCGGCACCTGGCAATGAACTGAATGGGTCGAGAAGCCACGAGGAAGGAAAGGGAAGTGGAATCGAAATAGAGCTTGTTGATGCTGAGTGGCTAATGAGCCGCCTCTCTGGCTGCTGCCGCCGTTTCTCTTTGAACTTGACAACCTCACAAGCTGGCCCCCTTCCCGTGAGCAGATTTGACTCTGAGGATGAAATAGTAGACCTTATGGGTAACACGCGCTCCGATGGCGAGTCTTCGGGATTTGGTTGGGCAGCCGCTTTACCTGCAAGCCCTTCACGTCTAGAGACACGCTTTAGTCCAGCAAGTCGCTCGCGCCTACGTACATCACGCATGACATGAGAGCGAATGGCCCTGCGAGCATTGGCGTCTTTAATTCGTTTGGAACTCAAATCGTCGTCATGGTCAATAAATGTGAATGAAGGTCGATCCGGTGGCGTAATGGTTGCTGGCTTCGGTCCTAGAAAGATGCAATCAACATTCCCGAAATAGAAGTACAAAGGGCATTTAAGTAGCATGGTGGTTGGCATTAAAATGGGACAGCAGATATAAGTAAAAAGGAGATAGCAAGCTTCACATTCTAGTGAGAGTGAGATACACGACAACAAGACAAGGGGCAAAAAAAGAAGAAAAAAGAAAGAGAGAAAGAGGTGAAGCGCAAGTTGGATAGAAGTACAAAATAAAGGGCGACTGTCTCATCTGAAATCAGACAAGATTAACACCAATGCTAATAATCAAAGGAGCACGTATATAATGTAAGCGACGCGTAACCTGAATAATCAAGAAATTGGAATCAGGAAGGATAGCGACAAACTGTGGTGATGACGGCGACGATGAGGGTAATTGGACAATACAAACCCAGACGAACCTGAATGGGAGTAAAAGGCGGAAATGGTTCTTGCGGTAGAGTCCATAGCCACCACTTTCTCGGACCGAGACATAGATATCGGATGGCTCGGTGTCTTGAGACTCACTACTGAAAAGGCGGGCAAGGGGGAGTGAGACGAGTTACCACGTTCCCGGGGGGGTAGAGGGACATAACCGTACCCCACCGGGCAGAGCTCGAGTTAAGCTAGACTATGAAGAAGGGGGTACCAATAAAGACATAGAAGTTCTTTGAGACATTGAATTGAGATGATATTTCACCGCAGAAAGATTGGAGGGACAAGGAAAGAATGGGGAAATTAGAGGTGGGTGGGGAGAGGATGAACAACACTAACCTTTTAGGAGACATGCTAAAGTATGTACATACAGTACCATGTAATATCAGCGACAGAGATAATTCTACCTACTACTACCACCTATCGAACATACTGTATGATCCTTGAAATGGTAATCATGTGTAGATGAATAACCTAGTAAAACGACTCCATCCCTCTGTAAAACAAATACTGTACAGTGAAGTTTGTTCAATGGGGCAGTGGTCTTGAATTGCCGAGCATACTGACGATTAAATACTACACTCCCGACAACTTGAAATCTCCCAAAACCACTACCAAACGCCATTCCGTCTCCAGACGCCTTTCGGTCTCTCTAGACCAAATCAACACCGTAAAGCACGAGTAAAAAGTTGCAGCAACCACTTCAGAAAGAGCGCGACAAAGTAGCAGGTCAGGGGGGAGAAGAGAGAGAGAGAAAGTACGCACACGTACACATAGAGCGGGCGGAGCGGGAAAGGGTCCTAGGAGTGAGATAACCAAGGAGGAAGAGGAGGGAGAGGTGTAGCTTCTTGAAAAAGGGTACCGCGGACTGACTGCGTACTGAATGTTTCCTGAAGGTGCATAGAACAGGAATCAAAACACACACTCAATGTCAACCTTGAACATCATTAAGCAGTCTCGTGACAAGTGCATATCCAAGTACTAGGGCGAGACAAACCCATACTCGGTTTCGTCGAACCCAGCTTTGGCCAGCTTCTCGTGCAACATGACCACCTTCTACCACAGCCCCGAGGCCAGGTGCACTTCCGTTCGGGCGTCTACGTAGTGCACTGGTCTCTGGAGAACATCTTGTAGCCGTAGTGTTGGGGTCAGGTATGAGTTGGCCAGTGTTCGTATCGATGCGATTGTCCCTCATCCATTTCCAGTTCTCTTGATCCAACTCTGGCCATTCTGTGCGGAACTTCAGCCCGCCATCCCCTGCTTTGACGTTATTGATTCCCCTGGCAGTAGGTGTCACTCCAGGAGTAGAAGTGACGTGAGATCCCCCGCCGGTAGAGTTCCACCACCTTGATCGCGCCGCTAGGACTCTTCGTTCCGCTTCTGAAGCGCTGACGCTCCCTGTCGTCATCTCTTCGCTAGTCATGAAGGAAAGCAGCCCGATAAGAATCGTTGAAACCTCCCAGGCTGGGTTGAAAGATTTTGGATGAAAGTCACTGATGCTGAGACATAGTCGAGCAGACGGTTGAAATCGACCGCTTGGGGTATGCATGCGGATGGCCGGTGGAGCAAATGGGTATTCTGGAGGGAAAATCAGAGTGCCCCAATATTGTCCGTTTTCGTACGGTGTGCCAGGGGGACCAGTGAGGATGTAGTGCCATCTATATCCTGCCTTTAGTGTTGATTCCTAAAACAGAGGTAGTTTTAGCTTCAGATCAACGACTTACTCAAGGATATTAGACTCTGATGGATGAGCAATTATATAGGGCGGTGGATTCTTTTGTATGTTCTGATATTCACGAGTAAGCTGCATAATGATTAGTAGCATTCAACATACCCTTTTGAGCTACCAGACTCACCCGTTTGAAGGCCGCTTTCGTCGCCATCTTATCACAACAATTAAAGTGCTGGCTCGAGCACAAGTTTCGAGCGCGGGGGTTCAGGGGAGGCTCCCGCGTAGTGGGCTAACGTAGGTAGAACGATGCAGTTCGTAATAAGTGTGGTGTTCGTTCATGCAAGAAAGTGGACTATAAAAAGCTACTGCGTTGTCGATGGAGTCAAGTCCAAGGAGCACCATCGGTCACGTGCACACCCGTTGGCTTCATCCTTTCAACTCCGGCAGAATCGTAGATATCCGAGAAAGGCTTCCAAAGGTGTCTTTGGCCATTGTAGCCGCAGCAATGTCTTCCCCACTTTCTGCCGAAGATGAAGACGTACGCTAAATCCCCGAGAATTGTCTAGGACTTGCTTTTTCTTTTGTGTCAAATCTAACCACTTTCCCTTGTCTTGCTTCTCAGATCTTCGAGCGTCTTCAGCAGCGTGCCGATCCGAAAGTGCTCGAAGAGCAACAGCAGGCCGTGAATGAACGGATCCACGCAATCTACCAAAAGGCGCAGACCCGTCTCGGAGAACTGGTATGACTTTAGTCCCTCATTTTTTCCACCCTATTCTTCTGTTTTCCTTTCTCCTTCTCTTATAATTGTTGCCTGGAGGCAAAGCACGGCCGAGCCTAGTATAAAAAGTACTGATCGTTTGATGATACCAGATTGACCAGAATTCCACTCTCCCATGTGTTATCTCGTCCGTTCAGATCCTCAACGCACATAACACGCGTAGAAGCTTTCTTGAACGGATGTTCAACCCTCTCCTAAGCTCCAACCAGAAGAGGCCCTATACACTTTCCGAAGTCTTACAGGAAGTCTCAGCACGTGCCGACAAACTAAGTAGATTCGGTTTGTAAATCATTATTATTTCTGCTACTATATACCTGGTCTGACGGGATTACAGATATATTCCAGCAGCCGGTATCTGTGTATTTGGATCAATCACCGGAAAGAAACGCACAAACAGGGCTACCGAATCTTGATGTGTATGTTTCAGTCAAAGAAAAGTCCCGCGTCCTGCTAAAGACAGGAACTGATCTCGGTAACACGGAGGGGTCCGCCTATGGCAATCTGCTCTGGCGAAACGTCTTTGGAGGTGCGGAAAGTTTAAATTTGAATGCGTCCCTGGGTACTAGAACGAGGTCAGCCTATCAGGCTACATTTGAAACACCCATCCTTAGTGATCCGGACTTCCGTCTGGAGTTTGGCGGAATCGCCAGCTCGACACAAAAGTCTTGGGCAAGTCATGAGGAGGTCTTGAAAGGAGGCTGGGGCAAGCTCCGATGGATAAGCCAATCCGGTCATAACCATGAAATTGGGTACAATGGCTTTTGGCGACAGACGACCGGTTTGGCAGAGAATGCATCTCCAACAATCCGAGCAGACGCAGGGGATAGTGTGAAGAGTAGCTTCTTTCATTCCTGGTCAAAAGACCGCAGGAACAACCCACTTCTTCCATCTCGTGGCTACTATGCTAAAGCTTTTAATGAACTAGCCGGTTGGGGCCCGCTAAAGGGAGATGTGTCGTTCTGGAAATCCGAAATTGAAGCACAAAGCGCAATTTCAATCCCAGTGCTTGGTATCAAAGGCGATAGTGGTATCAGCTTCACCACCGGATTTCGTGCTGGTCTGCTCTATCCTCTTGGATTGGATGTCGATGGCAGACCCCAACTTTCTCGAACTAGTGACCGCTTCCTTCTTGGCGGCCCCACAGATGTTCGTGGTTTTCGCCTCTGCGGCCTTGGACCTCACGATGGGCCTGATGCCGTGGGAGGCGATGTGTATGCTGCTGGAAGTGCAAACTTGCTTCTTCCACTCCCCCGGGTTGGTGCGGAGCGGCCCTTGCGACTGCAGGCGTTTGTGAATGGTGGCCGGTTGTTACCTCTCCGCACCGCACAGAAGAGCTCGCCAACTACTGGCTCAGAAGTGAAAGATGCTATGGTTTCTACACTTTCCGAGCTCGGTAATGGAATGCCTAGTCTCTCAGCAGGAGTTGGACTCGTCTACGCTCATCCAGCAGCCAGGTTTGAGTTAAACTTTTCTTTACCGCTGGTGCTGAGGAAGGGCGAAGAAGGTCGAAAAGGCTTGCAGCTCGGGATTGGCATTAACTTCTTGTAGAAAATCTTGAGTCTTGAGGCAATTAATACGGAGTATAGAAAGTCTGAACTGTGGTATTATTGATTGTAATCACTGTGTTTGGTATGAATAATCTAAACTCAATTCGGTAAATTTCCCTTGCGGCTCTTGGCACTACCGACAACTGTCAACTTCACCTCTTTTGTCTCATCACCCTACAGCTTTCTACTCCATGTTGCTTCGTCGTTGTCTGAATATATTGATACCGCAAATATTACGCTGACGCCCGTCACTTTTGTACGCTCTTCTAAAACCCCTTAATCCAAACGACTTCTGCTTGCATTGCTCGGCCGCAATGGCCCAGTATTACCCGCAACAGCAACCCTACGGATCCCAGGCTTCTGCACAGAACCTTCAGTTCTATCCTTCTTCGTACGGGTCCGTGTCCGGGCATACTACCCCCTCTCAAGCCTCCTATGGTGGATTTAGTGCAGGTCCCAACCCGGCGGTCCAGGCGTATCCTGTTGGAGTAGGTAGTGGATATGGCGGCTTTGGATCTCCAGCTGCTGGTGTTAGTGGGAGAATGGGCGAACAGGGCGGTTTGAGGACAGGATGGCTTGCTGCATTTGGCACAGAGGGATATGAGGGGGAGCCACCATTGCTGGAGGAGTTGGGGGTAAATTTCGAACATATCAGGACTAAGGTGTGTTCCCCTTCCGATGCTTCAATATCTAGGCATTGAACTGAAGCAGCTTACATCTTGTAGACATTAACCGTGCTCAATCCTTTTGCCCGGATCGATCAACATCTCATGGATGACAGCGATCTCTATGGAGCACTTCTTTACATCGTCCTCTACGGAACATTCCTCCTCTTCTCCGGTAAAGTCTTTTACGGCTATATCTACGGGGTCGCAGTTTTCGGAACTGTTGCTTTACATTTGATTCTTAGCCTTATGTCTCCGGCCCTTGATACCACTCACGCGCCCAATGCTACCGACCCGGCAAACTACGATCCTCATCACAAACCCTCGTATTCCGAGTCCTCGGCCGCTGGCCATTTCTCGGCAACCCTGACGTTCCCTCGCTCCGCCAGTGTACTAGGGTATTGCTTCCTGCCGCTTGTGCTCACTAGCCTCGTTGGGATAATGATCCCTATGGACACTATGTTTGGTTACCTGTTGACCACAGCTGCCGTAGGGTGGTGTACATACAGCTCCTCGGGAATGTTCTGTGCTGTTGCGCGGATGCGGGGGATGAGAGGCCTGGTAGCGTATCCATTGGCGCTGTTTTATGTTGTTTTTGGAATCATGGGGATCTTCTCTTCTCGCGGCAGTGGGACCTTAGCTGCAAAGACAGGTGCAGCTTGATACTAATGGTCTCCACAAATCCAAAATCTTTGTCTATCTTGAGAGAATACCCCGTGTCATAGGGCCCCGATATCGGATAGATAACATAGGATCTTTGTCTCATTATATTAACACGTATGAATGTCATGAATTAACGGCCTCTATTTTCTTGACTACAGGAATCCTGTCAGTCTGGCAGCGAGTAGTCAACCGAACAGTTGTTAAAGAGATGGCCATGAAAACTAACCAATGAAAACGGATCCTTGCTACAGTAGGTACAGATAATAGGGATCGCAATCTTTACATTCTGCCTCGGGCTGAGCACGAATGACGTAGAGATTAGATTTTCCTTCGGAACCGATGTCTGCAAAGCTCCAGCATTAGAATACTAGTGATCATCTATTAATTCAGGTACCATCACAGGTTATTGGCTCTCTCGCCTTTCCTAGGCGCCCAATTATCTAACCATTCCCGTGCCTTGCCAAGGTCTCCTCCACTAGCTTCAACGGATGCAACACACCATGGTAGATCATAATCCTTGCCACCAGCCATCTTACCTTCAGCTGCCAGCATATCCGCGAGCATGCGCCGCTGTTGGCTCATTTGGTCGGTGCAAAAGTAGAAGGGAGCTATGTTTGAAATACCACTCTGCAGACAGATAGCATCAATCAGGGGTCGGACTGTGGCTATAATGTTTGCTACACTCATAGAACTGAGCGGAGTATTATTTTCGGGCATCGAAGAAGGTTGTCTCGCCTGCCTGCCATTCTTGCAATACTCATTTTGACACCAGGGCTTCCCACACCCTTTCATCATTTGTGAGACATATCGACGTTCGATGCGACGGCGGAGTGCTTTCCATTCTGGATCGTATGTATCCACGTATAGTGGCCCGAAGCAGATACTACAGAGACCGAGGGTGTGGGCACTTGGCATGGCCGCACTTTGTACGCTGCGTCCATCAAGCGTACGACCACAGTTTCTATTCAGGCAGATACGGGGTATAGGTCGGGACAAGCGATCCAGGTCGTGATGGCGCAGGTGAGTCTTCATGTCGCGCAGTCGAACGATCTTGTTACACAAATGGCATTCCGTCGTCCTGCTACCATCAACCAGTTCATGCGGAGTGAGCCCAGAGACCAAGACGTCTGGATCATGCATGTCGGGATCTGCCTCGCCTTTCTGTGGAACTACAAGATGGCAAAATTGGCATAGGATCTGCTTTCCTGGACAGTCGGTCACTCGGTGATGAGCGAGTCGCGGGAGGCCCTCCATCTCGATCCCACAGGCGCGGCATGAGCATTGGCCATGGAAGATACTGTCATGCTTGCGTTTACTTGAAACATCATTTCCATAAGATGAGTCATGAGAGCAATGCCAATGGTTCTGCCATTCTAATGACCGTATTTGAAATATATTGTGGCACTGAGGGCAAAGTACATTGTTCCGAAGGCAGAAGTTCTCGTGTAGCACGAGCGTTCGCTGAGGCACCCACTGTTGGCAGTTACCACACCGCACATCACCCGGGCCTCCAGACGCCAGTGATTCCTCCGAGGCTCCATCGTGAGCATCCGGTTGATTATCCGCAATATGCAGGCTGTATTGCAGTGGTAGCTGTTGGCTGTGTGGACACTCTTCGTAGGCTTCAAGGTCGACAAATGAATGAACCGATATATAGAGAGCCTCTGCTTCGTCTAGCTCTACATTTGTGGATCCAAGGCAGATTTGCTTTAATGAGCGGGTAGAAAGGTCGCCCAAGACATGCTGATCTTCTCTAGGCCGACTTCTCTGACGTGCGGTGAGGGGACTAACGAAAAGGCAGACGTCCGCATCACGTCTACTTTCGAGTGTAATGGAGATAGGAGCTCCGTGATCCCACTTGCGAAGTTCGTAGTCGACATACTCTCCTGGGACTACCTGGCCATTTACTTTGTCTCCAAAGTTAAGCACTCCGCCAATTGACGAGCCTCCTTTGGTTCCAGGGGCACGGGATGTCTTGTCCAGCCGCCTTCGTAACGTCTCTCTTGCTTGCTCTTCAGTCAATGCCACAATGTCAACCTCCAAGTCTGTATCAATAATACAGATGCCGTCACCTTCCGGCTCTACTTTATCCATCAAGAAGCTAAATGACTCGTGTTCCCCCCCTGACACTAGTAAGACCTCTCCGGTAGTTAATGTGGTAAAGTTATCTCGCAAATATCGTTCAAGCAGAGCCTTCCAATCCTCCGGATCATAACCGGCCTCGAGAGGACGAAGGCGAACATAGGTTCCTTTGGGCAACTGTCTCGCATGGACGGAGACTGTAGGAGCTGGGTTCGGGGCTAAAACAGCGGACTGCGGTGCCGCAGCACCACTTACTGTTGCTGAGGGCCCTGGAAACTCCGAATAACTACTTGTCTGCGGTGATGATTGGTTGTCTTCGATCCCCAAAGCCTTTCTCAAGAAAGGACTAAGACCAACTTCGCTCTCTTCGGCGGAAAATTCTCGGATCCCGGCGTATACTGCACGGCCATTCTGGGGATTGACGATGCGGAAGGTTAGAGGATAGGGTAGCTTGTGTTGACGCTCTAGAGCTTGTTCGCGTGCCCGAGACTCAGCTGCAAAGGTTCTTGGATTAAATGGATCAAAGGTTGCAGTATGTGAGCGAGAAGGGCCCTGCGGAGATACTTCCTGAAGCGGGGCAGCTGCGAGGAGCTGCTCAAGGGCGGACTGCGGCAAAGTGATTTTATCTCCGGGCAACTTAGGCGTATGTTGAAGAGCAGCGACCGTGAACGACGACGACCAACGCAAGGAATCCGACTCCCGAGACATGGCTCTGGAGAAAACTATAGCAAAATCTATGAGGTAAGAGAGGCGGGATGTTGAGGAACATCTTAGATAGGCGAGGGACTCTTGGTAGCGGTAGTCCAGAGTAACTAACAGTATAGACAAACTTTCTGATTAATGGAAATAGAAGCACCACGCTGATTCTCGAAATTGCTCCTCACCGCCCCTCAGCATTTGTCATCTACACAATTAACTACTCACTAGTTATGGACATCTTTTCTCGGCGTCCCTCCCCCTTGTGGTCCTTTTCTTTCTTTATCTTTTTCTTCCTTTCTTTTGCATTTATCCAGTTAAAGGTAGAGGCTCAAGGATTAGTACTGGTACTGTCTTTAGTAGCTCCCCCTTGTTTACCAACATCAACGCTTTTCGCTCCTCATACTTTTATTTGTACTGGTTAAACGTATTGGGTGAGTGGCAATGTGGCATTGAAGCAAGCTCGCTATTTCAGGTCGAGAAAGGATGACATTGTCAAAAAGAAAGAAAGAAAAGAAAAGAAGATTATTAGGATTGGAAGGAAAACGGGGCTCTTAACGTATGGTAAAAGTCATGAATAGTCATAAAGCAAGAATCCTGAGCAAAGTCTAAGAGTCCATTTGGTTCTCTATAGCTCTAATAGAGCTACCTCAACCGATGGCGCGCACTAGTATTACACCAGTCACACTGGATTGACATGCGTTAGTCCTTATGGCTCTACATCATACCAGGTGGGCTTGACAGCATACCATCGTCGGAGAGCAACCTTCATTATGATCAACACAGTACTCTCCTCGGCAATTCTGGCATGTCCTTTGGCACTCGGTTTTGCAGGAAGCGCACTGAATAGCTCATTAGATTGACACGAGATAGAAATAATTTGGTATCTACATAAGACACTTACTGTCGGGCCACACTCCCAGCAGTCTCTGCTCACCCCATGTCCAAGTCTCTGCAACATTCAAGTCAACTGTGGGTTCTCATTTCGACAGAATTAAGTACTGAATGAGGGGCATACCCTTCGCGCGTGTGAGGAACCAATATCCTGGTTGTTGCGTGGACCTCTGACGGCAGTTTGATGCGGTGACAGGTTAGTTCTCTCCCGTTCAGGGCTCGGCAGGCAATTCGCGCAGAACCATTTGTTGCACCGATGGCACCAGCGATCATTCAGGCACTCCGCGCAGCGGGCCACCAGGATAGGGTGCACATTGGGTATAAGCTCTGGGCGTTTCGCCGCCGCTATACATGATGAATGTAAAGGGGGTGGTGTAAGCAGAGGAAACTGCTCATTGGGAGATTGACCCCAAACTGCCGGGCCTTCTGGCGAAGTATGGCAGCCATCGCACCCACTAGGGCCTAAAGCGACTGTAGCAATTGCTGGCCCGAGAAGTTGGCCTTCAGGCTGACGCCTATTTTGGTAATGGCCCGACAGTGTGTGGAGATTAACATTATGCCGGGGTCCGCGGCACAAGACTGCGTCAAAAGAGATGATACCCTCACATTTCTGGATCGTCTCGGCCCAGCCTTCCTCGATCGACCGAGGGATAAGTTTCCCAGACGGGCGGTACCACGCATTTTGACGATGCAGTAGGCTATCATGAGCGTCAACAGAGGGGGGTAACTCCTTTTCCGTCACTAGAGCATTGTTGAAGGACGGGTGGGCACACCTGGAACTCCACCAGTCACGGTACCTTATAGTTCTGGGCTGGCTCACCGGGGTGAAATAATATATGCCTTTCACTCGAGGAGTTCCTTTGGGACGTGAAGGCCGAACAGCATGCTGAAGTACTTGCATTAGTTTGCGCTCATTTAACTGGCGACACTCTCTTATAGACAGTATGTTGATATTGAACTGGTCTATAAGTTCTGCAACTAGATCTGCGGGAACAGGAAGACCATCCAAGATCAAAGTTCGTACATCTTGAAGGATAGAGCCCTGGTCCAGGCTAGTGAAGATTCTTTTAAGAGGAGCCGAATAGTATTCATCCTCCGTTCGGGGCTCCTCCAAGCGTTCACTACTGTCAATTTGAGCCTCCAAGGCTCCCGGTGCATGCCTGAGAGGCCAGGCTCCATGGAATTGAGTCAAGTCAAGATACCGGAAAATATACGGCGTTTCCATGATCACGGTTCGAACAAAGCGCGATGTTGAGGCAAGGGCAAGCAGTGATGGGGCCGAGAGGTATGGAGCCATGTGATCGAGAATCAAACTATTTGAGAGAATGTCCACAAGGGAAGCCTTTTTAGGCGGGATCAGAGTAGTAATACTTTCAACCTTTGTCTCCAACTCCTCACTATCATTTTCCCCTGCCTGAACCTCTTGAATGATAGGAACTAGGCCCACTTCCTTTGGAGACAGCCGGCGGGAACCATAGTAAAAATCCGAAGCCCGGGTAATGAGATTTTGACGATAGGCTGTAATCGCTCCGACCGCAAGTTCGTCTCCCGGTATCAATATGGGTGCGGTATCAGGTTGGATCTCTTTAAGAGCAGCTCTGGCCTTGGCCAGCTCCGTCTCTAAGAGATCGATCGTTGACTGAAGGACAGCCGGCATAGCTCTGATATTACCAGGGTCGATTGCAGTGATTAGAGTCGACCATAACTCTCCTTGGGCCATGATTCAAGACAGGAGTAGAGGATCAAAGGACCAGGGGAAGAGACTGAGAATAAGATAAACAAGGGGAGATGGTGCGGGAGAGATGGCTGGCAGAAATTCTTAAATATCTAAGTCATTCAATAAGACAGCGTGTAACGATACGACGGGTGACTGAAAGGGTAAGCCGGATAAATAGGTGGGTTGAATGAGGAATTAAACTACACCAAAGTACGGCGTAAACAGATCCTCTCAAAAGTAGAAACGCTAAACAGGTGGAATGGGGACAGAAATCACTAAAAAAGCAAGTCCGAGCATCGGGGGGGGGGAAGCCGAACAGGATGATAGGATTCTAGAAGCCAAATAGAACAATCTTAACCCCTGTCGATGGAGTTGCTATTGTATGCCTGGTAGTAGAAAGAGGGATAGAGCGGAGTGAAAGCAAAAAGTTGAGGGTATATGAGTCAAGAAGATTCTCCCCTTTAACGAATGACTGGAGTTGAATGTTGTATGATGATCGTTTTCAACTGATTCCCCTTGGGATAGGTAGACTTGTCAGTCCAGTTACTACTGATCAGCTAATATAACAGGCAGGGGTGGGGAATCGATAAATTCGTAAAGAGGAAGAGATGAGTTCATCCAATAACACTGCAGTCGGCTCCAGGGCAGGGGACAAGATACTACTAGTATTACTAGTGTACAATATAGATAGGACAGAAGCTGAGGTAGGTACGCCGTGCCCCCAACTACACTACACCGATTTAATCAAGCGGCAAAATAGTGCTCCGGAAAGACGTCTGCCCCCAGGCGCCGACCTGGCCTCCCTCTCTGTAAGGGGATTTCGATAATACCATTGAATCTGGTAATGCTGTAGTATGTACCCTTGATTGGTAGATGAGATATACACGTACGGCTTGAGTCCTCACAGATGTCGGGTAACTAACTATCTTTGAAGGATATGGTACAGGAAAAGACCTTTCTTCTCGACGGGAGTCCCCACAGAAGGTCATCAGATCTAAGCTGCCCCACTTGAGCCGAGACCCTTGAATGGAACACGGAGAGTACTGTAAAAGAATAATCGGTTGATCCGGACCTTACAGAGTAATTGATCTACTTGGGGGAGTCACGCGGACATCATACTTCTTCCTTTCTGCCGCGCCTCCCGACACGTCAACCTCATCCTTTTCTTTGTGTTTTTTTTTTCGTTTTGTTCTTTTTCATTTTCTTGGCTTTATTTATCTACTATATACTCCGTACTACTTAGTACTATCTGTCTAGTATTACATACTAACTACCTTAATTTAACAACCACTCAGACATATACGTACCTCTATGTATGTATGTATATTATTCAAGTGTAAAATTATATTTTCTTTCTCTTTTCAATTAAAACTCAATCATATTAACGTTGTATTACACATAGCGTATGACGATGGCATAAGCACAAATGATATCTACTGTACTATACATACTGCCAAGGCTATACCTATCAAGCAAACTTGAATAGTGAGAATAGTGAACCTACTATGGATACAACTTTGTATTGAAAACTCTAACTAGGGTTCTAAGGAAGAAGAAAGGATGTCGTAGGTGATATTCCTTGCAGATCCCCTACCTTAATATGATTTACGGTCTGCCTCCCTAGGTGAGCTTTTCTAATATACGACTACCATCGTCGTTGTGCCAAGTCTCCCATGCCCGCCAAGATTAGTCCGAGTGACCACTTTTTATGAGGCACGTAAGTATAGGCATGTAGGCAAGAGGCCTAGTATCGAATATTAAACAATCAGAAAGCAAGTCCATGAAAGCTTCCAGGTTCAAACTCTCTCCATGTGCCAGCTGTCTAAATAGTAGCTTCTTTACTGCCCAACCGAGCAAAGGAGGCTATAAGGGCTTCTTGACAAAGACTAGGTGATGACGAGAGGTTGTTTATACGCCCACCGTGTCTTAATCTAGGGTGCTTTCGTATTGTCATTGCTACTGCCAAAGAGGCGGGTTCCCATATGGATCTTTAGCAATGTAGGGAGGTTCCTCATTCCATATTGCAAACTCATCCGGCAATTGCTAGTACTGAGAAGGGCTCAGCTATGTAAGAGCCCAGGAAATTACATAGAGCGGCCAACAGCCGGGGATATTAATGAAGCTCCTTTCCCCTTTCCAACATCCAAAGTAGTAGCTGGGTTGATTTTAGTAGGTTGATGGTATATAATAGAACCAGGATAGAAGGGATAGTAGCAGTTAATAAATAGTGTTACATGCTAACGACTAGTGTGGGAGACTGAGGTCCATTTCAAGCCATATCCATCCTCCAGTCACGTCATGTTTACTTGAAGAGCTTGGAAACAGCAACCTCCTTGTCATCGTGCTTATTCAGAATCTTGGCCGTAGCCAGATCAAAGTCTTCTTGCGTAACATGCACCCGCCGCTCCCGAAGAGCGTACATGCCCGCCTCAGTGCACACACCCTTCAACTCCGCTCCAGAACATCCATTCATCTTTTCCGCAATCTTTGTTAGGTTGATACCGCGCGTAAGATTCATTGAGCGTGAGTGGATTCGCAAAATATCGGCGCGAGCTTCGACCCTGTTCACGATAGGAAAAGACGATTAGCAATTTGCACACGCACACGGACGACCAGTCGCTCAGCCAAAAGCAGACAAAAGAAGGGAATGATCCTTACGATGGTGGAGGGAATTCAATCTTCCTATCAATTCGTCCCGGACGTAATAGGGCCGGATCCAAAATATCTAGTCTGTTTGTGGCCATGATTATCTTGATATTCTTCGTAGGCTCAAAACCGTCCAGCTGGTTGAGTAACTCCAACATCGTACGCTGCACCTCTGAATCACCAGAGCCTGCTGAGTCTATGCGACTGGACCCAATACTGTCAATCTCGTCCATGAATATGATGCTCGGAGCGTGCTCTCGAGCCATGACGAACAGTTCGCGCACCATACGGCTACCTTCGCCAATGTATTTCTGCACTAATTCCGACCCGCTGACCCTGATGAATCGGCAATCTGTATGGTGAGCAACTGCTCGAGCAAGCAGGGTCTTGCCAGTTCCCGGTGGCCCGTACAGAAGGACACCTTTAGGTTGCGCGATACCAAGGGATTCAAACAGCTCCGGGTGTTTCAGGCCAAGTTCAATTACCTCCTTGATTTCTTTGATTTGCTGATCAAGGCCACCAATCATGTCGTACGTGCTATCGGGAACCTTCTCGACCATCATAAGAGATACAAGTGGATCAACAGACGAAGGAAGCATCTTCTCCAGTTTGTAAGAGTCAGAAAGCAGGGCAACTCGTTTTCCTACGGTCAGTTTGCTGATGTCGACACCATCTGCGATATCCACCACTAGACATCCGCCAGAGTTAGCTACCGATGACAAGTTTCGAAGTAAAGATCGGAGGTTCCTAATCTCACCATATTTCCCTTCTGGATGTACTTTGACGAGCACCTTTTTGGTGCTCATCACCTTCACCACCTCACCGACGTAAGAGCCAGGCTGTTGAAGTAGACCCAACTCCTCTCGGAGTAACCGCACCCTCGAGTTATAATCATTGCGTTGTGCTTCCAGTCTCCGTAAGACTGCTTGGCCTTGAATGATCTCGAGCTTCATGCTCTCGATTTTATTACGATAGTAATTATCGAGTGCCATAGTGAAGATCGAAGAATGAAGCCTCTCTGGTATGGTACGAGCCTCGTTCCACAAAGCTGAACGCTCTAGAAATTAAGTATCAAATCTTTTTATTGGCGTAGTGAGGAGTGCACAGAACATATAGGAAATGAGCCACGAGAGAAAAGATTGAAAAGTACGCTGGATGGTTATGCGGAGGGATGAAGAGAACGGTGAGGTGGTGTGGTGGGAAGTAGTACTTCGCTGATATCAGCAGCCAACTTGAGGTACTAGCCACTGGTCATCCGTCAGCCACTGTTTAATGCCTAAGGCTATAAACCTGGGTCATACTACCTAGTACTAGTAAGGTATTAGTACTCGGTAACTAACGTATTTCCCGGGTTATCCGGCCACCCTACGCGTTTTGTACGCGCCTCAAATTTGAAAGCAATTCAAGAACCAGTCATACCACCAAAAAATGCCTAAATCATCAAAATCTCTAGCGGAACAAGAAGGCAGGATCCTGCTGACTATATCAGCTATTAAAAATGAACAACTCGACAGTATTCAGAAGGCTAAAAGTTTATAATGTGTCTTGTTCTATATAACTGATCGCTTAAAAGGAAGTATTTTTTAAGCCTCAAGTGCGCTCAGAGAATTATAAATTAACTATCTCTGAAGAAGAATCGCTTATACAGTAAACTATATCGCTAGATTAATGTAAAGCAAGTGCTTGGCCTGCTTATATACAAGAAATAACCAATCTTCTGCTTGCTAAACATAATCCTACTATTAGTTCTATTTCTATAAGCAAAAACTGGGTTTCAATATTTATTAGGCCCAGGCCTGAGCTGAAAACGCGCCTTATACACAGATATAACTATCAGCATACTAAAGCTGAAGATCCTAAGATTCCGTGTACCTGGTTCCAGCAGGTAAACAAGGTTATTCAGCAGTATAACTGTATTACATCAAATAATATCTATAATTTTAATAAAATAGGATTTACAAAAGATCTAGTAGCTACTACTAAGATAGTTACTAACTTACTAGATCCGATACGCAAGGAAAATCTTTTTTTTATATAGCCAGTGAACCGGGAATGGATTATCTCTATAGAATATATAAGTTCTAATAAATAGGCTCTATCTCCCTATATTGTTTTTAAAGGCAAAGTGCATATAGAGTGTTAGGCGCACCTTACAGCGCCTGATATAGTAGCACGTGTGGTCACGTGCTCCCCCCCCTGCGGTAAAATCCTTACCGCACCCCAATAGCTTCAGAAACCAGTGATCGACCTCTGTACATGGTAGTAGATTGTTCAATGGAAACCTAGTCCTCTGCTCCTGCCACCTGCGGCATCGTAGCACGCTATTCCCCTATTACCTGCGCCTCTCCGAGCTGCAATTAACATAGCGGCCTAGTATAAGAATCAAGATATCTTATCTAATTGAAAAATTGAAATAAGTTCTAATAGTTAGACAAGCAATAAATTTAGCCTATACTGATTATAGAACCATTTTAGTACCTGCTACTACAGTCTACAGACAGATCTATAAGATAATATCGCCTACTTATTCTTAATAGCCATAATAGTTATCTTATGCCTCAATTTAATCAGATTTGGCTCAGAGAATGATATTATACCAATCTACATGCCTGCTCACACTTCACATAAGCTTCAATCGCTTGATATTACCCGTTTTTCACCTCTAAAAAAGTGTACTGAAAATCAGTTACATCTAAAATGCACAGTGGAATTAATTATATTAATAAAGATAATTTTTTATTAGCCTATTCCAAGGCCTATATACAGGCCTTCACTAGCAGCAATATCTATAGCGCTTATTAAGTAACTGGATTAGTTTCTTTTAATCCTGAGCAGGTTCTTGCTTAAATTACTGTGCAGCTTAAAATCCCCACACCTCCAGGCAGCAGACTAAGCAGTTAAGGCAGCTCAGTAGGCTGACCGTTGGGACGGGATAATCCCAAGGATTCCGGGATGGGATGGGATGGGATGGGAAACGGGATGCCAAGAGGGAAAATGGGACGGGGTGGGAAATTCCCGTCCCGTCCCATCCCTATGGTCAGCCTACAGCTCAGCGCCTAAAATATCTTATACTATGAAATAGCTACATAAATTGGAATCTATATTTAAAAAGCTGTTAAGAAATTGATATAGAAGTCCTGATTCACCTATTAAATTGAATTTAAATCGGATTTTAAAAGATGCTGAACAGGCGCTGAGGTAACTATTTTAAAGCATTAAATTAAGAAATACCAGGCTGCTCATGAAAAGCAGCTTAAAAAGCAAAAGCGCTCTAAAAAGCAGCTTCAAATAGAATCCGGTATATCAGTTCAGAAAACAAGGGCGCTTATAGAAAGCAGAAAAATGCAGATGAAGCCATACAGGCAGATGGGGCTTTACCTGCTGAATCAGCTCCTAGACGCGCCCACCAAGGTGTTCTGGTTGCAATGTACAGGGCCATAAGATTACAACCTGCCCAAATCGATAGAACTACTCATTATTCTATAGAAATGCAATTATATGGTGTTTTGTATGGCTTCAATTTTAGAAGGGCGGCCGGGTGGCCGGATGACCCGGGAAATACGTTATTAATTCTGGATGTGCCTCAGTAATAACCAAATAACTATAACTACCTGTGGCTAGAGGATATACGTTGCTTTGATTGGTGTCTGTGGGTCCTGGGTAAGTATCTATGGTTGGACCATCGATCATTCCATTCTTGCCTTAGTTACAGAGTGGTACGTTTTGTAAGAATCAAGGTATAGATAGGTACAGTACTACTTGGGCTGTCTAAAGCACATCATCTTAACATTGATTGATCAAGAGAGACAATCCTCTTACTCCCTCATTATTTGAACGAGGCCTTAGACCTCTATTTTGAAGTCTCAGCTGACTTGCGGGGATGAGATTCTCGTCTTATCTCATGATCGAGACTAGCTTCATAGAGCTTGGGGAGTTTCCTCTTCGTCCCTCCCCCCGTCGTCCATTTATCCTCGTGCTCCATCCGTGGTGGCCTGCCTCCAAAAAAAATTTTCAGTGCTGATTGCAATATGTAAATCGGCCACCTTCTTTCTTTTCTTCTAAGCTTTCTCTCGTCCTCGTCTCTTTCACCGACGTGTTTCGTGACCTGTTTTCTTTTCTCCCTTCTAACAACAGGCTTTATTCCCACCACTCCGTTTGACCTTTCCCCGGCCTCTTATTTATTACTTTTATTACTGTGGAAAGTCTTGTTAGGTCCTCTAAAATTAAGGAACAAAACAATAGAAAACGTCATCATGTCTAGCGGTCAAGGAGACAGTAACCCTCCTTGTTCCTCGCAATCCGATACCCCTTCGCGGTTGACGTCGAATGTGAGCAATGATCATATGCCGTCTGGAACTGTTCGCCAGTCAAGGGTTATGGGCCAACAAAGAAGAACCTATGGTGTGTCCATACATTGGTCAGATGGATTACTGATGTAGATCACTTACAAGTCTCTTGTAGGTGCATTAGAGCCTTCAGAGAGGGCATGCTTTGAATCACGCACGGATGAAAGTCAGGCGGAGAGCTCGAGCCGCATACCCCCATCCCAATCACCATCAACGGCAACTATGCAATCGGATAAACCAAGGAAGCCATCTGTGACACGTCGCATGTCCTCCAAGCGAGCGATACCCCATAAGGGTCAAGAGTTCTCCACCGACGATGATGTCCAAGAAGTTGAGGAAGACATCGCTATGCAACACACCACAAACCCTCAGCATTCACCAAGAATACGTCCCTTACAAAGGCAAAGCTCGAGCATAAGGCGAAGAATCAATGCTCGTATCAGTCCACTCACACGAGCAGACCCTGAGAACAATGAGGACGAAAATACTGTTCTACCTGAGTCTAGCTTGGAAGGCGCAGGAAATAGCATCTCTGCCCAGCGCTCCGAAAGCGGGAGCCAAAATGGCAACAGTAACGACGAGGACATGAGTGATGCGGAAAGTTTTACTTTGAAGGACCGACAACAAGCTATCAATGAAACACATCCCTTTGGAATAAGGCTATGGAAACCTGCATTATACAAGAAGAGTCGTTCAGTTGAGAAAACTGCCGAAGGTGACATTCATTCATCGCCTGGCGGTCGAGTGGGTACTATGCTGTTCCTGACAAACTTGCTGTGGACAGTATTCTTCGGTTGGTGGCTCGCTCTAGCTGCGCTTATTGGATCAATCGCCTGTTTCATCTTCGCGTATTCTCCAAGTGCTGTGGAATATGGGAAGGTCTTTTCCGGCCTCTCGTGGTACTTAATATACCCGTTCGGATCGTTTGTCCGCCTTGACACCGATGAAAACTATGCAGAGGAAGACGAAGGTGAAGGCCGCAGCATTAGTGAATATGAACAATGGCAGAACGGTGACCTAGAGCATGGAAGGCTGTTCTTCGGCCCTCGCCGCGGCCGGTCTCTTGTGGGGAGAAGAAGAAATAGCATCGATTCGGCCAGTGAACAAGATAGTCTGCTGGGACGGACACAAAGAGGTAGTTCACGCGACAGTCCTCTGGGTCACCATAAACGGCGTTTGTTTGGCCGTGGCGAGTGGACCCTAGGACGTGTCGTATTCTTTGTCTTCTTCTATTTCCTTGTAGGGCCTTTGATGCTCTTGGTATCTCTGCTCTGCTGGCTGCTCGTCTTCTGGATTCCAATGGGGCGCGTGACCATTATCCTGTTTGACCATCTTCGTCGCCATCCTCTCGCTTTATCCTACCATTCCGATACCTCATATACACGGCTGAGCCCAACCTCCTCTTCATCTATTCTTTTATGCACCTATCGTGCCGCCGGATTACGATACTGGAAATACACGGTTGGCGGCACAAACATTTTCTTGATCAACCTCCTCGGTGTTGTATTATTCGTGATTTTTGACTACTTCCTTTTGGATAAAACTCTGGGCGTTCAGAGTTCCTTGACTCATCCAGGCTTGATTTTTACCTTGGCGCTTGTTTCCATCATACCCCTTGCTTATTTCATTGGACAGGCCGTTGCATCCATCTCTGCACAATCATCAATGGGTATGGGTGCTGCTGTTAATGCTTTCTTCTCCACTGTGGTGGAAGTCTACCTATACTGTGTTGCTTTAACTGAGGGTAAAGGCCGGCTTGTTGAAGGTAGTATCATTGGTAGTATCTTCGCAGGAATTCTGTTCCTTCCTGGGTTATCCATGTGTTTTGGCGCTATAAAGCGCAAAACACAGCGGTTCAATGTTAAATCAGCCGGCGTCACATCTACGATGCTAATGTTCGCTGTGATTGCCGCCTTCGGACCCACGCTATTCTATCAAATTTATGGCAGCGTAAGTTTCCCCCCAAGTTGTTAATTCAGGTTCTATTCCTCACCTACCGTCTAGCATGAGTTAAACTGCCGTGCCTGCTCCAACACTATAGATGCGGGTGGTAGTGACTGCCGCCGCTGTTACTTCTCTCAAGTCCCAGCTGTCAACGATAGCTTCTTCCGAAAGGCTGTCCAACCTTATTCGTGGTTTGCGGCTCTATTTTTGTTTCTCTCCTACATCATTGGTTTATGGTTTACGCTTAGAACTCATGCTGCCCTCATATGGGCTACAGAAATCGAAGAGAAGAAAGCCGCGGCAGCAGTTCAGGAGCACAATATTTATGAGCCGAGGCACCTCCTATTCCCTAGTGGGCCATCGGCGACTATTAGGGGAAACGCCGACCCTGGTCCAAAGGGCTCCGTCCGAGATTCACAATTGTACAAACGTATTTTAGGGCAGTCCCTAAAGCACATTGGCTTGTCTGATATTTCAACCGAATCTGGTACAGACCAACCGGAGTCCAGTTCAGCGCGTGACAAGAACACACCGTACATTGTTCCTCCACATGGAGATAGTGATGAGGGTCGCTCAGGGTTTGGCCACTTCGGGGGCCTGTCTAGTGAAGAGAATGAGAATTTGGTGCGCCAGGTAACAGAAGTTGCAGCAACAGCAGCGGCTATTGCTACCCGCGATGCAGCTAGAGCCCGGAAGTTATCTGTCCAGCGGACCCCATCACGGCCTAGTAACAAAGGGTTCATAGACCCAGCCAAAGCGATAGGCGATGAAAATGATGACACTGGACTCGAGCACGGCCAAATTAGTGGCGGACACGATGCCCCCAACTGGAGCAAAGCCAGGAGCTCAATCATCCTTTTAGGAGCTACTATATTCTATGCAATCATTGCTGAAATTCTGGTGAACACAGTAGATGTGGTGCTGGAAAGTGTTGACATTGACGAAAAGTTCCTTGGGATCACACTCTTTGCCTTAGTCCCTAACACGACTGAGTTCTTGGTATGTCTCATCACTGGACAGCCCCTAAACTATTACCGAATATCACTCACACCCAGTACTGCAGAATGCTATCTCCTTCGCCATGAATGGTAACATAGCCTTGTCCATGGAAATCGGTTCTGCATACGCCCTGCAGGTTTGCCTTTTGCAGATTCCAGCCCTAGTTTTATTCAGTGCTATCTACGAACGGTTGATTGATCCCACAGAACTCCTGACCCACACATTCAAGTATGTTTAAAATGACCCTAGGACTCGATGAAACGAGAAATACTGATGGGAAAAACCTTATTTGTTTTTAGCCTTATCTTCCCCCAATGGGACATGGTTTCGGTAATCCTCTGCGTTTTCCTCCTATCATACGTCTACGGAGAAGGGAAGAGCAACTACTTCAAGGGGTCTATCCTCGTCCTCACGTACCTTGTTGTTGTGATTGGTTTCTACTTGTCTGGCTACAGCAACATGGACACCATGGGTGTCGATCGCCTCGACACATTGGCGCTTGGCAACCCTCGAACATTCCACACTGTCGGTAGGTCGAGGAGTGGCGCCGCCTATTAATTGTTGATTCACGAACTAGATAGATTGTGCCCCTTTGCACGGTGGGCGCTGCACATATCCACTTTATTTATATTTGGCGCGTGAAACTTTGTACAGTATTTCCTTTTACATGGGATATGTCCTGCGTTTATATCAACCATCGCAAGGACCCAAATGACTTCAAGTCAATCACATCAGATCAACAATCAGCTACATGTCGAAATACCTGAAAACACATTATCGCACCCGCTCTATTTGAACTGTACCCCGGAAAACCCTAACACCATAACAATACCTTGTCCAAATTCATTTAAATCCACATTGCACTATATCCAATTAGATAGATTGCAGTCCGTTTCTCAAGGTAGGAGCTGAATCTAATAGTCGCTATCGAAAAGCCAAAAAGTAATGCAATACGATAAAGTGGCCGAAGAACTGTGGTTAGCTTCAAGGTGACTTCCATGAGCTCACAGCGTTGTCAACAAGACCTCGGTACTCCTGTTGCTTGTAACACTGCTCTAGGAAGACTTTGTACTTGACATCAAGTAAAGCCTTCTCGGTTGCATTATCTGTCGGGACGATCTTCTTCCCTGGTTTACTCATCCGATCCATGATCTCCCACAAATCCTCCGTTTTGCCTTCAGCATCAGCACTGGCAGCCTTAGCACCTAGCATGGCTGCACCATGACAGACGGCAGCGTGGATGTACCGGGGGATGAGGACAGGCATACCACATGCTGAAGCGATGAGCTTGACTAAGATCTCATTCTGACATTGAGATCCGGACATGAAGATGGAGGTAATGCTATGGCCAGCCTCATTCATAGTCTCGACGATGTGCCGTGTCTGAAGAGCAATGAATTCAAGTGTTGCGTAGTAATAAATGGCGAGCCCATCCACAGATTTGTTACTTGTAAGGCCAACCACGGAGCCTGTCATTCCCGAGTCTGCAATCGGCGACCGATTACCCCACAGATCGCCGTAAAAGAAGAAATGGCGTGCCAGATAAGCCACACTCGGGGCTTTCTGTTCGTGGGCGATTTCTTTCAAATGCTCGTTCAGATATTCGTAAATATTGGCATTATACGATTCAGCGATCGACACCGCCTGGTTAAACGCCGGGTGGGTCTCAATCACGTATTTGAGCAGCTCCCCCGTCGCAGACTGTCCTCCTTCGGACATCCAATACCCCGGTTGAATGGTATCACGATACGGTCCCCAGACCCCAGGGACAAACACAGGGTTCGGGGACATGGCAAGATGGCAGGTTGAGGTACCCGCGACAGCTGCCAGACGTGAAAAGGCTTGCGTCTTATCATTTTTGGCAACGTCTGAGCTCAGCTGCTCGGACCCGAGATCAACTTTGGCACCAACAGTACCAATCCAGCCTGCATAGGCATCGATGACCCCACTGCCAATGGCAATTCCGGAGGGTAAGCCCAATTCGGAGGCTGCCTTTTCGCAAAGGGTTCCAACCAGTTCGCCTGCACTTAGGTAATCGCCAGTCTAAGGCAGTCAGCGGTCAACGTTCATAAGATTGTGGAAAACGCGAAACAAAGAAAAAGGCTCACCACCCCGTCAACACCTCCCATACGCTTAAAGTTTTCCCGAGTGAGGTCCCCAAGGCCAATTTCAGCCAAGAAATCTTCCTGCCAGCCTTTGACACTCCCATCCACTCCGACAGGAACATATCCCTGTTTACAAACAACGCTGCAGTAGCTTCTCTTCTCATTGCCAGTTGCGATGTGCGTCAGTGCATCTGCCAGATCATAAAACTTGCACTGGTCGAACAGTTTCTTAGGCATGTGATTTTTCAGCCACAGAACCTTGGGAATCTCCATTTCAATGGACATCTTCCCGCCGACATAGCGGAGAAGGTTATGATTGGTAGCATTCACCTTTTCCGTCTCCTCTACCGGACGATGATCCAGCCAAAGGATCACATTACGATCCGAATCAAAATCCGGTCCTGTCACAGATACAGGTTCGTCCGTAACATTAGAGAACACTGCTAGGGAGCATGTTGCATCAAAGCCAATCCCTCGTACGGTCTCTGGATCGATGTTGTGCTGGCTAATGGCACGCTGGACGGCCACACATATACACCTCCATATATCATTTGTAGATTGTTCCTATCAACGACCATCAGCCGATAAGCCGACACGGGTAGTAAAGGCATGGTAAAGAGATGAAAAGTAGACCTTACATAGTAACCCTGTTGTGGCTGCCAGAGGCCAATGTTCTCCGATGCCAATCCAACAATATCTCCTTTACTATCGATAATGCAAGCACGGGCACTGCCAGTACCAACATCAATGCCAATGTAATGGTCTACGTGGAAGTGAAAGTCATCCCGGCTATCTCTCGATGCCTGTCTGGAACCCTGTCGCGATGGTCGACGGTAGGGCAAAGAAGGGGCTATCGATGCCATTGGGGGAGAAGCAAATGGTTTGAACCGATGGTCAAAAAGAAAGAGATCTTGGCTAAGAATGTTAGATAGGGCTAATGCAAAAGATGGCAAATGATTGTCCAGCTCACCAGACGAGTGACAATGAACCACTGGGTGCCTGAACAGCTTACCGGTCGTATGTACTAGGTGGAGTTAAGGAGAAACACTGATAGACCAATCCGGGCTAAAATATGAGACGTGAGCGTGAAACTAGAGAGGATAAAAAAAAGAAGAAGGAAAAAGGTCTTTCTTCTTTGGCTTTCTTTTTTGGTGGGGGAGGATAAGTGGATGGGAAGAGAAGGTCCATAATAGTAGTAGTGGAGAGACAGCCATAACATCCATCCAGTGTGGGGGATTTTACCAGGGCTTTTGTGGGGGGCCAATCAAGTTTGGGACTCGGTCTGGTACGACATTGTTGGGTTTCCAGACGGAAGTTCCACGCTACTTAGGACGCAGTGACTAGGTAGGTACCTAACCTAATACTACTCCGTACTAAGTAACTAACTACTACTAATCCCGAACCACACCTGGTACCTAGGATATACATCAATTTGCTTTATATAGCAGCTACGCAAATTGGAGACGAATGTAATAGTATATACTATATAGATGCAAGACCTAACAGCAGGACTACATATTTTCGAATCTTACTCTACGGTCAATTGTAAAACGCACAGGTATTCGTGTTATGGGTGGAAATACTACTGAGTAGACCATACCTATGTACTTTGTACATACTGTAGGTGCATTAGTATATAACTGAGTCTCCATTGCATTGGATCTGTGGAAGAGTAACGGCGTGCCTACCAGGCCCTACCTACCAGGTAAATACATCTTTGGGTATCGAGACATATATAATACACACAGTACAGTACAGTACATACTCCGCACGTTGGGGGGGAGTGAGAGGGTTAAGTTGTTCTTTATAGGTATTATTTGTATTGTATTGAAATAAATATATATTCATCACAAGATCTCCCATTCAACTCCCTTCTTCCCCAATGGCATAACTATTGTCTGTACTTCTACTGTGCAACCATCTACCCCTTCACCATGCGCCCACTTTCAATTATTATCCCGATACTTTCTGCCGTCACCTACACCCAGGCTACTACTCCACCCGCTTCCCAACCGATCTCTACAGACATTCTCTACTGGCCGATAACATCCGCCGAACCCTCAATTTTCGCCCGCATCTCCTACGACCCAAGCTCTTTAGAGGTCAATGTGGCCTCTTATTCGCCTCCAACTACAGTACAAAATGATTCGCGAAGCCCAGTGCGTATCGGCCTGTATACCTCCAATGGGATAGACCCAAAGCAATGGACAGGGACTCTCACGTCCTGGACTGTCATCGCAAAAAGTGATGGGCCAAAGCCAATACTCCAGCTTTATCTCGATTCTTCCAATAAAGTATATCACGCCGCCTTAACATCGTCAACATCATCATCATTACTCGAGTCTGCCACTGCATCAACTTCAACTAGCCCCAACGTAAAGCTTGTCCATGTCGAAGCGGGGCCTCGACCACATCTCAATCGCCCCGTTGCGGTTGGTCCAGATGGCATCAAACCCGAAGAAATCGTCGAGAAGACATTCTTCCAAAAGTAAGCGCTTTGGTGTCTATCTCTTTCTGTTCCTTCAACGTGGGATTAACTGACATGTCTGGCGTTTATCAGATATTGGTGGGTTTTCCTCATAATCACATTTCTGGCTATGTCTGGTAGCGGGGAAGAATAAATCCTTGCCCGCCTCTCTCATTGTTAATTTATAATCATCCTAAGAAGCATCCGCCAAGAGAGAGGGGGGAGAGGGGAGGGTTAGGCCAGAATTGTCAGAGAACGACACCATTGCATGTAACATCTAACAACCGTACTGAGGAAAGAGCTCAATGGCCGCTACAAATCAATCGTGACTCGGTATTTGAACCTATCTAGAGGGCGTCCGCATTTTCATGACCTGGCCCGAGATGGAGTTGTGCTCCCTAGGCAGTCTTTAATAAATCTCCGGTACTAGGGAGGATAGCAAAGGAAGGGGTAACAAAGGAAAAGGGGAATATTCCTGCATCCTAGAGGTAGAAATTTTTGCACTGGTGATGTTCATCTGAATGGGTACCATTAAGACCCACCTGAAAAAGGGCGTTTTCTCTGGTCTGCAGCAATATTAGTCCTAGTTGCGCGTAGATATCATCTTAGTATTTAATTTGTGTGGGTGATTAGATATCCGAATAAAACACATAAGTGCATCTACAGTATTTGTATGTTTCCTTCAGCTCATGGAAGCACATCTTATGGAATTTTCTTTCTAACCTAACTGAGTCGAGGATATATATTCTCACAACCCCGATGATTGTTCACTTTGCTTAGAGATGGCATAACCTTTCACGAGGACTGTAGAGGGTGGAATGCTGAAACATCACAGTTACTTTCATACTATACTATCTAGTAACATTAACTTTCGGAGTATATAGAGAATACACTACGAAGTGTGGCACTTCCGAGTAGCCTTCTGTAAGCTCATTCTAAAGTTGAGGTTTCTACGAGAAGGACGGTGGAAATAACTAATAGTATGTAATGTAATGTACATAAAAATTATTGCATGAGGATGTATGCATAGGTACATCAAAAAACATAAAAAAGAAAAAAGGGAAAAAGGGAAAAAGGGAAAATAAAGTCAAGAAAGAAAGATCAGGCAACCATACGTGCTGTTCGGCGTCTACCTGAATTGTCTGATGGGCTTTCAAACGGATCCCGCACTAGATCCAGATAGACCAGGTCTACTTTATCACCTACCTGGTACACTACATTTCCACAACATAACCCTTCCCCACAAGGAAACTCATTTTTGGTAACGTCTTAGATATATTAGTCTGCTTTCACTGGAAGACGTAAGAGACCTACATCCCTTGATAATCAAGCTTTCATATGTTCCGATTTCTACTAGCAAGCTTCAAACGAATCAGCTACCTGGGGCCTGATAAAACGAGTCCTTGAAATCGGTGCAATGCTCCTAAATCTGCCCACAGAACTAATACAGGTCATTCTCCAACATTCTACAACGCCGGCCTTCTTGCAGGCAGCTTTTTCTTGTCGCACACTCTATGCCATTGCTTCCGAATGTCGGGAGCTTGTCTTGTACCACCTGCATCGAACCCCTGGGCTGAACGAGGGTCTTCTATGTTTCGATTCAAAGCAATTGTTCCAGGTGCTTCAGAGACGCGCATCCCAGCAACTGTACGGTGCGCAGTTCACTGCAAATTGCACTCACTTCAATTTCGGGACATCAGCCCTAGATGTTAAAGCGTCATCGCTGGCCCCCTCTGATCACCAAAGCCTTGCACTTGTCCTCAAGGGCCAGGAGGACGTTCAGCTTTTCTGCTTTGAAAATGGACAACTTCGGCTTAAAGCTTGCTTGAAACCACCCTGGCTCCAGTCAGGAGTAGTCGAGGTTTTGAAAACAGCCTTTGGTGCAGACGATGGCCTCTATGTCCTCCAACGCTTCACGCCTGCGGTCGAGCAGGGTAGTCTGGACTCGGAGCATCCTTTTATCAAGCAGGCATTACAATCACGTGCTAGAGGGCAGATCTATCTCGTTCGTTATTCCCTCGGATCTCGCCATGACCCTGTTCGCATTTGTACGTTTCCGGACCATGCTGAGTATGTACCTTTGGCTCTTGCCGCTGCCCATCGAGATACTTTTGCAATTTCCTGGCATAATTCTGGCGGAGCCTACGAGGTGGTTCTTTACAATGCACAAAACGCATCTAGCAGCCACAGTCCGTCAAATGTGGTCGGTTCGTTGCCCAACTCTGTTCCTATTAATTTATATTAGGAGAGATAGCTGCTGACCAAGCTCAGACTTCAACTACGATTCTTGTGTCCTTGTAGATCGGGCTGGACCGCTTCCGGGCGATGATGTGTATCTTCGTGCAAGACTGGCCGGGTCCCGTTTCAATAATGAGAGAGGACCTATCGCAGACCTCGCATTTAACGATAGATCAACCCAATTACTCTATTACCACCGAGCTCAACCCATTTACGGGTCATTCCAAAGGATAAATATGACTTCTTTTCCAGTCCAGCCTCCACTATATGAAAACTCATCCCTAGTACAATTCTCAGGTTCTCTGAGTCTTCTCTTCTCAATCGCAATTCCCTTTTATGGGACCCATGAAACGCGAGTGGAAGAGAACGGTCATTCCAGGTGTCACTGGAAATACCTTGCCTTCGGAATAGCCACTCATCGAACAGAGGACTGGACCATCGCCTGTTTGCTGAAATCCGAAGCGGTCTGCTCATCTGAGCGTTGCGGACATGCCTTGAACCTTGAGCGCGGGCGGCGATTTCCTGACTGGACGGTAGTTGCACGACTTTGGGGTTTCCAGGATTCGACAAATTCCCTTGGCTGCAAGGTTGCTGCTTCGAAGCGTGGAACACGGATCGCTGTCGCTAATTGGAATGTCTTGTATATTTGGGCATTGCAGCCAAGTGCACTCATCGAGCAAAATGCAAACGGCTATTATCCGCCCCTACTGCAGTCCTCAGGTTCGGGTATGACTGAACTGCGTCCAATCGTCCTCCCACTAGATGCTGTCTGCTTCAAACTAAAGTTCACTGATGCGGAAGACGAACTGTTAGCTGTCACAGACCGAGGGTTGATGTACTGGGATCTCAGCCCGTCAGGCAGAGGGCAAAGAATTACAGAGCAACTAGCCACGTAGATTCGTGATTCGAGATCATATAATCACTAGGCACAAAAAGACACAAACAAGTGGCTACTCCTTTAACGTATTCAATAAATGCTCAATGCTATGATAGACTAGAGATTCTGTCGAGAAGGATAAAAGAGCAAGTCGAGGCGAAATGCTCCACTAAACACCAGGAAATGCGTCTAAGTATACACACCATATATCAAGAGGGAGTAGACAAGTATATATGCTCAAGAAAAAGGCAAAAATGACAGAACCGTGCCGACAAGCCAAGGCTCTATTCGACTTCGAGTCTAGCGACCAGCTTTATAACTGCCCCAAGCGTTCATCCTCCGTCCGAGAAACAAACCACTCCAGAACGCTCTCGTAACACAGGACAAACTGACTAAGATTTTGGACCATACTAGGTCTTTGCGTACGGAAGTCAGCTACGGTTTTTGCAATGAGATCCAGGTTTTCATCGAGTATGCAATCGCGGTAAGAAGTTCCAACCGGTTCGGAGTTCTGCAGACGTGTTGTAAAGTCTGCCGGTCCCCGCTTTAGCATGTCCAGCACGCTATCAACGGTACAGAAGGTCCCTGTACGGCCACATCCCGCACTGCAGTGGACCAAAACTGGCCGCTGTTCGGTTGCCCCTACGTCACGACTGGGAGTCGCACTTCTGACTTTATCACACTGTTCAATCAACCTCAGGAGATGAGCCGGCTGTGAGGTGGTGCCAAAGTCTGGCCAATATGGATATTGCAACTGCGTAACTTCACGCAGTGGTTGGAATGGGAAAGCGGAATGCGATAAAGCAAAGTGTCGCACTATAATGTATGGCTTGCCGGAATCTCCGCTTGATTCAAACGGAGGACCAGTGGGGTTAGAGACAACATGCTGCGAATCCAGTGAATCCATATAGATTTGTTTCTGGGAGAAGTTGTTGACCTGAATTGGCCCATACTTTCCAGACTCCCAATATGGGTGGCATTTTATTTGGCCTCTTTCAACCTCTGCAGTTAGAGAAACGACGAGCCTGACATCTTGTTCCCAAATCACACGCCAGAAATCCTAGAAAGTTGTGAGCCAAACCAGTTATAAGAGGACAAGCTTTATATGAAGACTTGAAGACTGGATGCTGGGAAGTCGATGTAACTCACATTGAACGTATCAGGCACAGGAGCCTGGGTAGCTATGTAGCATTTATTGCTATGCTCTGCTTTCATGTAATTTGCGTTCACGTAATCACAGCCACCGGGTGGCACATCCTGCAACTTTACTCTGGAATGATCGAATGGATAAATGTCGTTATATCTATTTTTGGTGCCCTTTTCGATGCCTGCAACACGGTATTTCTCTGGAAAATCCCCAATTGAATTGCCGGACGATTTATCATAAGTCAAAGCTTGTTTCATGCGTTCTAGTTCCTTCTTCTCAAGATCTAGGAATTTCTCTGAAACGTCACGACCTTGGTCTGCAAAATCCGTCGCTTTACGCAGCCAAGAGGGCAGTGACTGTCGCGTTGACTCTGTCAAATTCTTGGGTAACTGGAGCGGAATCTGCCCGACACCACCGAGGAGATCCATGTGCTGCCGGATGTTCCCAAAGAATGGAATCGTAGGCTGCGAAGTATCAGGCAAAGCACAGCCTCCAGCAATCGGAGCAGCGGATGGCAGGTCGATGTGCATTGAAGTTGGCTTTTTTGACGATCTTACAGGCGGAGGCTGCCGTTGGACGAGGGAAGGAAATCGGTTCGAAAAAGAGCTGAAGCCACCTTGAAGAATCAGTGCCTCGCCATCCCATCCCTCGGCTATGAACTTCTTCAGTACGTTGGCTAGAGCCCCCGCGTCTTTCATGTCGGAAGTACCTGCATCATAGACAATGATATAACGGCAATGTCTCCATCTCGCAAAGTTCAACTTGTCGATCTCGTTTGTAAAAGTGTTCGCCAACTTCTGTGTATCAAATGAAGGACGCTTCAATAGAGTTGTTGGTATACAAAGGTTCAACGATCCTTTGATACTTCCTTTTGCAAAGTGCGCATACGGCCGCACATCCAACAGCATAACATCATTTGGCGATGACTCGAGTAGCTCGGCACAACGCAAAACTACAATCGTACGGCTATTCCCAGAGGCTTCATTTATAGATGAAGGACTAGGACCAGACCGATCAGAAACCATATCCCTTTTTGGCAGACCGCGGTTTAAAGAGAGTTTATAAATTGCGGACGCCCGGCGTTCGTCAACGGCTGAACCAGATCCTGTGTAATCATCGAGCAGTGTCTTCATGGGCAACAATTGTTGTTTCGGGCTGGGAACTGAAGATTCAGCATATGAAAGAATTTCTCCGGCCTTTTTGGTATTGCTAGGCTTCTCTAGACTAATAGAGAAGTAGTTAGGGCCCGAACGCTCTGGGACCGTATTGAGAGGGCTAAGGCTGGAGTTGAGTGGAGACTGATGAGAATCACGCAACGAGAAGAGAGTTGCCGAAGCAGGATGGCTTGCAAGTTGTAGGTTTGGTGGCTCCTGGGGCCACGGAGAGGTAGGTGATCTAGGACCTGTCATAGCAGACATAGTTTCCTTCACAATATACGACGCTTTTACCCTTGCTTTCCGTTTGAATACGCCCGGGTACTTCAGTTAGTTGAAAAGCCTGCTTGCCATCTCGAGGCTGTTCAGAGATTCCAAAAGGGGATATCCGGCAGCCGAGCACTTTCCTGGGACTTCTCCAGACGACTGACCAGTCTGAAACCGATGCACCGCAGTAATCCGACCGCTATCACATTTAACCACCCGTAGTCAAGTGTTGTTGATGCCTGACGGCGAAAAAGCGAACTGAACGGCGTAAAGAGTCTATGCACAAGGTTTGATAGCCTCAAGGAGGTCCAGCAAGGAGATTTGATGGTGAGAACGGCGTAGAATATGCTGGACGGTTTCGCAGAAAATCAGATCAAGAGTGGTGGAAACCTTCAGTACTTAGAAGGGCATTCGATGCTTATGGGATAAAGAAAATAATCCGGGTCTGACAGGATCCTTAAAGATAAGGCGAAGAAAATTGGGTATTGGAGGGGGATGAAGTTCTGGCCACAGCGGCGGTCGTCTCACATAAGGGGTCTTAAAATGATCGCACTCTCAACTTTCCGCCAGAGTTCCTGAGCCAATCGAAGACCCAAGAAGAAAAAGTGGGGGAAAGGAGGGGGAGACAGATACCAATCACTGATCCACTGCCATCATAGAGCACGAAGGGGGGAAACGGGGTCAATAAGCGAGAAATTTCAGGTAGGGCGAATGAATGTGAGGAAAATGGAGGAACTAAAGTCGTTCTCTGGGTATGACGTTATCTGGTGGAGAGAAAGAGGGTCGGGAAGCGGCGAAAGTGTGCAGAACTCTAGGAGGTCTGGATCGTCAAAGGAGGTAAAAAAAAAGGCGGTGGCAATTCATAGTGACTTAGATATCGAACGTTCAACCAGAATTGGTTCCACGAAGGTATCATGCTTTTTGCACGTCTTTTCTTTCTCACAACCCTGTATGTCTTTGAAAGGTAGATAGTAGGTAAAATAAGCTTATTGAGTTAGGTAGTGATCAAGTTCCCACTTACCTAGATCTCTGCTAGTTTATAGAAATCGATATAAATTTTAGTTTAACCTATGTGGTAATACCCTCTTGGTTTTATTTACGTTGTGATTAGTACTCTGGCTACTGTGATCCTTTTTAAATATTGTATGGTAAATAGTTAACCAAAAATTTACCAACATGTATATTGGAGAGAGAACAAGGGTAAAAAAGACGACACACTGTAGGTAGGACTCTTGGGAAAGAAAGAAACAGTAGTCGCGAATGCTATCGCAAAACGAAGAAATGCCGGCAAATAAAAATATATAAAAGAGTTCCACTGCTTGGGCAAGTAGATTCACAATTTCCCATCGGGTTCGCCCTTAAATCTTTGTACTCGTTTTTGCTCCCAGTTGTCCAAATCCTTGGCCATAAGCCTCTGTAGAGATTCATTAACGCCATAGCCTATGAGTCGTTTACCAATCCAATAGGCCTAACTTACGTAGTACTCCTCCCTTTCATCTCCAATGATTCTCCTCCGGGGATTCCTTTTAATCCCCTCTTCTCCGTCTGATCCTCTCAGACCTAAATTCATTGCTTCCTCTTGACTTAATTGCTGCACCTTGCGATCGTATCGTTCATATCTCAAAGCAGCAGCAGGGGTCAAAGCAAATGATCCGGCGACTATGATCATTACAAATGGAAGTCCAAAGAGAATAAACGGATGCTTGGGTAATCTAGCACGATAGGCCTCGCCGATCCGTTCTCCAAGAGAAGACGAAGCTGTTGTTGCACGACGAAATGTTTTGCTTTGGAATACAGGCATTGCTGGAGCCAGTATGATATTGTAATAGCATATAGGAACAAAAGAAAAGTGAGCAGTGTACTATAATTTCTTAATCAAGCTTAGATTGTGTTATTCGAAGGACTACGATGGCCGAAGGGCTTTTTTTACTTCCCTTTAATTCTTTAATGAGCCTAAGGCAGATTCTGTGGATCCCGCGCATTCGGTGAAATAGAAGTTCCGACATAGCTGATTTTGGAAATGGAGGCCGCAACAAAGCTGTTTCCTAAATATCGATTGCGGAGAAAGTGAAAACCCTACCACTTGTTTATGATTGCCTACCTTTTACTATAAATTGTGAGTACTGGCATTCAGTCACAATGTTTTCTAAATACCGACTTACTCACTGATCACTAGAATAGGAGTTACCTACGGTGACCTAAGCTATAGGGACTATAGGAGGGTCTTTCTTCGCTTTCTTCGTGTCTAAGGAATAAGTAGGCTGTTGCCCAATGGCTTCCGCAAATTCAAACTCCTTATTCGGAGGGGGGACCATTGGAGCTGCCACGCAACCATCGAACCTTCTTCCGACAAATAATCCAACAAATGGTTTTGGAACTACTTCCGCCACGCAGGGACTTCCGGCCGGATCAATATTCAGCGCACAGCCGCAAGCCCAGCAACAGTTCATTCCATCTTCGAATTTTGGACAAAATCAGACGCAGACTGGTGCAACTCAACCTTCTCAGCCCTCTAATCAATCGACACAGCCTGCGTTCTTTAACAGCTTATTGGAGCGTGGTAAAAAGAGACCACTTTCTGCAACAGGAGGAAGCAACAATTACGAAGAGCTACCTAGTCTTCAATTGGGTCTCGATGATATCCGAAGGAAAGCAAGGGAGCTTGGCAACGGGGCGACGAAAGATTCCCAACGTGTATTAACTAGCAAAGCGTGCGTAATATTCTCATGCTGGATGCTTTCCTCATAGGGTTACGCTCTTACTGACTTTTTTCCCGCCCCAACAGCCACTATCTTCTTGCTGCATCGGGTGTTTCGCCAGGACATGCTTTGCGGCATCTCAAAGCTTTAGATCCTCAAGCCTCGGTATCAGGTCCTCCAAAAGAAGAGGAGACCTTTGACCCTGACAATCAAAAGTTTTTGCGAAACATACAACAACGTGGTCGCCAGGCAATGATCGCTGAAAGCCTGACTCGTATTCATAGAGACTTCGACGTATTTTTGGAGACAAGACTCGACCTAAATTGGGAGGAACAACGTCAGAGAATCTTTCAGCACTTCGGTCTGGCACAGAAAGATGACGCTATTAGTGATGGGAGAGGATCATTCGGGCGTTCCACAAAACAATCGAAGCAATTTGGTGCAACTCCCAGTCATCATACTGGCCCGGGCGTGTCCCATAGAAGTGTCTTTGGGCGCTCCGGTCTGGAAAAATCAGTAATCGGTGTACCCGGCGCTGGAACGGTGAGCCACAAACTCTTCGAAGACCCAACTGAACGAAGCGATTCCTCCAGTACCCAATCTTCGGATCTTCATTTTCTACGGGAAAAGATGGGTCGGTATGCGGACAAGGTTCAATTGCTGAACTCTGCTCGACTTCAAGCACGCACTTTCCCTATTCTTCACGAATTTTCCAATGTTGAAAGCCATATCAGTGGCGATGTAAGTTGTATAAATTGAAATACATATCCTAGTCAGCTAATGGCACTAAGGTTCCCCGACAACTCTTCGACGCTTACCATGCGCTGATAAGCATTGTCAAAGAAACCCCAAATGCCATAAATACGTCAGATCCTGGAGCGTTGAAAGAACGGCAATTCTTTGAAGATTATTTAGAGGAAGCGCCGAATTCACGACGAGCTGTAAACCTGAGGAGGCGAGTTGTTGAGGGGTCTAGGACGTTTCTCGAGAATCTGTTCTATGACGAAGTTGAAAGCGTGATCGCCAAAAATCCTCGAGAGGCGCAGCTGGGTGGCATACCGACCGTGATCAATAAAGTTCGCGCTTATATTCGACTTAGGGCGGCAAGGAAAGACCTCGCTCCCGACGGGACAGAGCTGCAAATGGTTGGCCAGGATTACTGCTGGATCCTCATTTTTTATCTCCTCCGGTGTGGCTTCATTACTGAGGCAGCGGAATATGTTAGCCAAGATCCTGGATTCCGCTCATTAGATCATAAATTCGTGACCTATATGACGACTTATGCACAAGACAGACGGTTACCAAGGGACCTGCAGCACAAGATTAACGGCGAATACCAGCAGCGATCACGCAACGCCCCTGACAATACTGTCGACCCTTATCGAATGGCTTGTTACAAGATAATCGGACGCTGTGACCTTAGTCGCAGACGCTTGGAGGGAGTAAACCAAAGCGTTGAAGACTGGATGTGGTTGCAATTCAGCCTAGCTAGAGAAGATGACCGTGCTGAAGAGGTTGCAGGGGATGTTTTTGGGCTTGAGGACATCCAGACTGACATTGCAGAGATTGGGCAGCGAGTCTTTGGGAAGGGCCAAGAGGGACCTGGCGGTTATGGAACTTTCTTCCTACTACAAGTCTTGGGAGGGATGTTCGAACAAGCTGTCTCTTACCTTGGGTCTTACGCTCCCGTCAGCGCCGTGCACTTCGCTATCGCATTAGCCTACTATGGCCTTCTGCGCGTATCTGACTTCTACACTTCGGGCGAAGACATCCGTAAGTACTATTGGGCCCGGCGTCCTTTTCTCTCGCTCTTCCTCTTAATTCTTTGTTGGATTGATTTACTAACAGAAGCAGTATCCTTCACGGTGAAGCAGTATCCGCAGATAAATTTTGGATATCTCATCATACATTACACAAGGGAGTTCCGCACTGGGCTTGTTGAGGCAGCAATTGATTACTTTTCCTTGCTTTGCCTCAACGCTGACCTTCCAGGCGCCTTGGGCAAATCGCAAGCCTCTGTGTGTCATGAAGCATTGCGCGAATATATCCTAGAGACTCGGGAGTTTGCCAAGTTGCTGGGCGACGTACGATCTGACGGAACTAGAATCAAAGGGCTCATTGAACAGCGAATTAACTTGATCAAGTTGGTGGATCAGGACGAGTTCTTGAGAACGATAACTATACAAGCAGCTGCCGTGGCTGATGACAAGGGGTTGATCACTGATGCAGTCCTCTTGTACCATCTTGCTGAAGATTATGATCGCGTGATTGATATTATTAACAGAGCACTGTCTGATTCTGTAGCTGTTGAACTGGGAGGCCCTACCTTGAAGCTGCAGCCGTTACAGCCACGGACAAAACTTCAAAAAGGTGTTCAAGTTTCAGAAAATGAAGATCCTAGGGAATCTGGTAGTAGCCTCAGCTTGACGGCGGTGGAAGATCCGGTAGCTCTGGCGAGAAACATTATAAGCATTTACAATAAGAATGCTCTGTACTACCAGCGAATACGCCCGGTTAATCGCGACACATGTGGTTTGTTACTTCAGATGATGGAGGCCAAAGCCGAGGTTGAAGCAGGAAAATGGACTCCAGCTCTGGATGTGAGTATAATCTTGTCGGCTCCCCTTGTCCTATATTTAACTGTCTCTGACAACCATTGTTACAGGCTATCAACGCCTTGAATATCCTCCCTCTCCGCGCTAAAGGCTCGGTTCCCTATATCCGAAGTGCAGCCCAAGCGTTCTCATCATTCCCCACAATGATATCTCGCAATATCGGACATGTCGTAATGTGGAGCATCACATGCATTGGGCATGAGAGAGAACGATTGAGCTCTGGGACATATGAAAATGAAATTAGGCAGCGTTTGGCTGATGAATTACTGGTCATGGCTAAAGATCTTATGATCTTTTCCGGTATGGTCAAGTATAAGTTGCCACCCAGAGTGTATGAGACGCTGGCTCGTTCTGGCGCAGATATCGGGGCATATTAGGTAGCCGATAATCACGCTTGATGGTTTCAACCCATTTTTCTACGTGTGGGCCATGGCCCAATAGGTTACAGCTTTTCATTAGTACCAAAATATAGAGTTGATTGTAGTGTGCTGCGGCTGAAGTCTTATTGTGAGAAGATGAGTGGGCGGACATTTTCCGCACCGCGTAAAGTTTGCGCCAAGGATTTATCCCTCGGCGGATAGGGAACGAACACCTGCATCTGACCGTTCAACATGAGAAGGTTGGGAGTCTTCAACCTTAATATATTAAGTGCCAAATCTATATATATATATCGATCACTAGCCCCATTACCGGTCCATGTATCTATGCCATCATGAATTAAATGGATTGTGAATGGACGCGGGGCTCTCCAGCCGAGATCTTGTACATGCATGCATCTCAGAGCTGTCTTGACTAGAAATCGATGTCTAGGCACCCGACATGGGCCATGACCATTCAGACATGTTGAACACGAGTGCGAAGCCATTATCCTACGATCCTGACACTCCCTTGCATAATGGGTCTACGGTACTGGTAACACCTATGTTGGAGGCAGTACCAGAGAAAGCGATGGAGGGGAGCAATCATCACCACACCGCACACGATTCTGACAGGCGAACGAACTTACTAGAATCCGAAAATAGCCCAAGGCCCCATGTTACTCTAAATCTCCAGGAATTTGAGGGAAACGACAATGATTGTCCGGGACCTCAGGGTAAGAAAGACAACCGTGCCATTACTGCCAACTCAGAGGATTCGAGTACTTCCACTAGCTACAATCTTATTAACAACCCACCAAACCTTGCAAGAATACGACAAGTAATGTTTGAATGCAAAGACCCAATCGAGATTAGCCTCGAGGAATTCGAAACATACTGGCCCTACATCGATAATGTGTGGGTTAAACAAAGATCTAACTCTAGCAAAGAAGGACACTGTACTACAGATTACTATATGTGTCGTCTACGGCGCCCAACGCATCGTACATCGGAGACTCGACCTCTACCGGAGGGTAAGCGCCCTCGTAAAAAGAGGGTACGTGAGGGTGGTATCTGCAACTTTCAGATCAAGGTTGTCCGCTTTGAAGGTGCTTATTCAACGGTGACTATCGCAAGAACACCTGGGAGTAGCTCTATGCACTCGCATGACCTTGATTATATCGACAAAGTGAAGCGAAATTCGGGGCTTATGGAGTTTGCACGGAAGGAGGCCATTAAGGGGTACTTGCCTTCGTCTATCTACACAAAGTTTCAGGAGGAACCTCAAAAGCTTATCGAAGCAGGGGGGAAGTTCTGCACTGTTACGGACGTTCGTAATGTCTCCGCAAAATGGAGAATACAGAACCCAGAAGTTAATCTCATGCCTCATGATGGGTATGAATATCAGAAGGGACATGGTATCGTGCGGGCGAGGGCTGTTGATGGTAACAGCAAAAACCCAGCTAAACCGACACCGCCGAAGGCACACCAGGATTCTCCTCTACCGCCAGATACTCTGTTGTTTCCTCATTTCCCTCTGGATTTTCTCGAGCCTTATCTCCCAAGGTACGACGAAAGGCGGCAGTTTCCACACGTCACTTTGTCGTATGCATCCTCCATGGATTCCAAGATATCACTGCTTCCGGGGATGCAGACAGTCCTATCTGGGCCGGAGGCAAAGCTAATGACACATTACCTAAGGTCACGCCATGATGCTATCCTAATAGGGGTCGGGACTGTACTCGCGGATAACCCAGGGTTGAATTGTCGATTAGAAGGTGCAGGCGGTTTCGGCGGCCTTGGAAGGATGTGGCAACCACGGCCGGTTATAATTGATCCGACAGGGCGGTGGCCCGTCCATCCCGAATGCAGGATGCTGCGAACAGCAGTTGAAGGAAAGGGTAAGGCACCATGGGTGATTGTGTCACCAGGAGCCCAAATCAACCCCCAGGAATTGATGATGCTGAAAGGGTACGGGGGAGACTTTCTCCGGATTGTGGAATACAATCACAACTGGCGGTTGCGCTGGGAAGCTATTCTACGTGCCCTGGCGTCTGAAGGAGTTAAAAGTGTCATGATTGAAGGCGGTGGGACTGTTTTGAGCGAGCTGCTGAACCCCGAGTATACGGATTTCATTGACTCTATCATTGTAACCGTCGCTCCAACTTATCTGGGCAGTGGCGGGGTACCAGTAAGCCCAGACTCAAAGCGTGATGAACAAGGAAAGCCCAATGCCGTCCTGAACCCGAGGGATGTGAAATGGATGCCACTGGGACAAAACGTCATAATGTGTGGGAGAATTCGTACTGTAACCCCTGTCCGGGCCGATGGGTCCAACGCTCACAGCCCAGAGTCTTGAGCCAGACACCTTTGGGTTTATCCAAAGAAAAAATTTGCCTCGGAGACGATACGGCAACTACCCTGGGAGCGTCTAGGGTACATGTACATACCTAGATGGTGCTAACTAAAGCAGATTGCCTCTGACAGCAGTCATGACCTATACCAATGACCAGTTAGTCTAAGGTCTCATGACCCATGTGCGTTCCAACTATTGTTGAAAGCTCACAATTAGTCCGTTGTATATATCAAGTCCCTTCATAACATAGATTATGTAGTAGTTCCCCAAGAACAATTATTCACCTCTTAAGTGCAAGAAGATACCTGCTGGATTAAAAATGTCAGGAGTAAATGTAATTGGGAGTAAGTTTATATATGATAACCATCCATTGGATGCCTATTGTCTAAGAGGCCAGGACCTGTCGGAGAATAAGTCACTGGCTACTATGCATGATTAATAAAATTTGAAGGTTTTCTTTCGTTCGCTTCTTTTTTAAAAGGAGACGAGAGTAGAAAAGAGAGAAAAGAAGAGACGTACGAAGTATTATGTGGAGAATATGTATCAGGTCAATGGAGACGTGTCGATGAGGATTATATCATGATGGAACAGCATGCTTAAACTCCTCTCTCAATGGCATATATTCACCTACTAGTAGTATGTCCCAAGTAACAGATAAATAGATTACAAGGAGACAACCCACCATTAGATACCACGAGAAACAATTGAATGATAAAGTGATGTGTGGTGACCTAAAAAAGGACTAGGTAAGATGGCCTCGGAATATCGACGACTCGGGTTTAGCGCATAAATAGACGGCATTTTTTCCCTTGAAATAACAAAAACAACAACAGTAAATTTAGTCCTGGTCCCGTCGCGTTTCTCTTATCCTCGAGGCTTCGCTCTTGCGTATACCCCACTCCCCTTCCCATTTATTTGTTGACCTCCTTCCCCATATCTTTTCGTGTTTCATAAAATCTCCTTCCCACCCCCTTTTGCCTCTTTTCTCGTCATCCGAAAGATGCCCCCTAAAAAGAGCGCCCCCAAGGCCTCCCAAAAGCCTTCGGGTACATCCAAAAGCACCACAACCACCAAGAAGACTACTGTAACAAAAGCCGCAGCCAAGGAACGGACCACAAAAGCCAGCGCAGCCAAGACCAAAGGCAGCGATGTGCGCACAAAGACTACCAGCAAAGTTGCGCGTACTGCACCCCCCAAACGCAAAGCTGAAGTTGTTGAGGAACCTGTTCGCGAAACAAAGAAAGCACGTGTTGTGGAACCTCGTGTCACAAAGCAAAAGCCCAAAGTGGTCATCAATCATGCACCGACGACTCGACTGAATGTCTACGTCTGTGGGGAAGGCAGCTCAGGCGAACTCGGTCTCGGACCGGAAAAGACTGCTGTTGATGTGAAGCGGCCGCGTCTTAATCCACACCTGCCAGCAGATAAAGTTGGAGTAGTGCAAGTCGCTGTGGGCGGTATGCACTGTGTTGCTCTTACTCATGATAACAGGATCCTTACCTGGGGTGTGAACGACCAAGGCGCGCTCGGGAGGGATACTACATGGGACGGAGGCTACAAGGAGATTGAGGAGAATAAGAGTGACGCGGGCTCAGATTCCGATTCCGATGATGAATTGGCACTCAATCCGCGCGAGTCAACACCAATTGCTATTCCTTCCAATTGTTTCCCCGAGAGAACCGTTTTTGTTGAAGTTGCTGCCGGGGATAGCTCGAGTTTTGCACTTACGGATGATGGGCAGGTATACGGCTGGGGCACATTCAGGGTAAGTCTTCTGCCCATTCGATTTGAGACTCGCTGACAGCGAACTTAGAGTAACGACGGCATTTTGGGATTCGATATGACGCATAAAATTCAGCCGATCCCAATTTTGATCCCTTCACTGAAGAAGATAAAGCATCTAGTCTGCGGTGATAACCATGTTCTTGCTTTGAATGATAAAGGCGCTGTATTCTCGTGGGGATCCGGTCAGCAGAATCAACTAGGTCGTCGCATTATTGAGCGGAACAGGTTAAACGGCCTCCAACCACGTGAGTTTGGTCTGCCTAAGAACATTGTCCATATTGGTAGCGGCGCCTTTCATTCCTTTGCTGTCCACGAATCTGGAAAGGTTTATGCGTGGGGCTTGAATAGTTTTGGTGAAACAGGCATTCCGGCTGGTGCAGGTGAAGATGAGGCTGCCATTGTGCACCCTACTCTCGTGGAATCGTTGTCAGGGAAGAAAATTTCTCAAGTTTGTGGGGGTGCTCACCATTCGATTGCGGTTTCTGACGGCGAGAAATGCCTTGTATGGGGTCGGTTAGATGGTTATCAAACAGGCTTGAAAATTGATACTCTGTCCGATGAAGCCGTTATTAAGGATGAACGCGGACGCCCCCGTATCTTGATTGAACCTACTCCTGTTCCAGGAATCAAAGCAAGCAGCGTGGCAGCTGGGTCTGATCATTCAATTGCTATTGATGCCGATGGCCGTCCCTGGTCCTGGGGCTTCTCCGCTACCTACCAGACAGGCCAAGGCACTTCGGATGATATCGAGGTCGCAACCATTGTTGAGAACACCGCGGTTCGTGGCAAAAAGCTAAACTGGGCTGGCGCCGGTGGCCAGTTCTCAGTCTTCACAGAACCAGTGAGCTTGTAAAATAGCTGACTGCTGTTTCCACCTCATGCCTTCACCAGGATTGGAGAGCACATTGTATGACTTTCTGTTCTCGCTCCTTTTCCATTTTTCCCTAGTATTCTCTTTTCGTCTTAATAAACTTGCGTAATAAGCAACATTCTACTCTTGTCAAAGTCTTGCATAGCAATCAAATTCACTCTATCCATTGCAGGAATTAAGCAAACATAGTAAGCTGTAACGCTGAGAATTGCGGTCTATCCTATGTAGCACTAGGTGTACCCTACGCTCCTTCGCGACCAATAGACAATATAAATCGAGATTTAATATTATTGGGTTTGTTTCTGTGTAGCTTTGGCTCTTTATTCGTTGCAGGATAGCCTAGCTCAGATTGCTGTCAGGATATTCAATTCTTCCATGGCCTCATGTTCATCACCGTCGATATTATTTAGTTCAAATAAAGTCGAGAGGGTTCTGGTGGTAGCATCTTCGTTCTGTTGTTCTCTCAAAAGGGTCTCTAATTCATCGTCGTTGTCAGGGACATCGTGGTTGATTGCATGATCATAGGCAGACATGGTCGGTTTCTGAGCCCGAACGGCTGTTCGTTCCGTCGATTGTGCCTGATCTTCTCTGTCATAACCAACGCTGTCTGCAGGAAATATGTTTGTATCATGACCCTCAGTTGTTGTCGTAGGCAAACCCGATTCATTAACTAGTGAAACTTGTGTAGTATCATCCACCCGAGCGCTTGGTTTTTCTTCTTCGATCCATTCCCTACGCATAATCTGTAGACGTTTGTGGTGACCGAGTTTTTCAATGATGGCTAGGCCATCAGCAAACTTTGCGCGAGGGAACAGGTCATCAAGCCATAATTGGTAGAAGTTTAATAAACGGGCCACATCGGAAAACTAGCAGCAATAGCATCAGCGGCTGAATGTATAACATGAGTAGTTGATAACTAGCAGACCTCATGTCCCTTTCCCTTGAGTCTCAATTTCTGTTTGGCTGTGCGGCGTAATCGAGGAATCCCAGCTTGAGACAATAGCCTTGTAGTGGAGTACAGTTAGATTATTTTAGGTTGCGTCTTTGACAAAGTGGTCTAACTCACCGAGTCTCGTCTAGTTTAGCGACAGGCTGTCGCTTTCTGGCGACCTTTACCTCTTCATCAAGCCCGAGACCTAACCTGGAAGCGTCTGGTACAGTGGAGGGCCTAGGTGCATTTGTGTTTGACGAAGACGGAACGTGTTGTAATATTTCATCCAGACCAATGTCATAGTCAAAGAGGTCGTTAACATTTTGGGGCGATGAGCCTTGTCGTATATCCGAATGTGCTTCCATTGCTGTATGTTGCAAGATAAAGGTAAGGTACGCGTCTCAGGCTCGAGTGAATTGCCTACTGATAAGATTAATACCTCCCATACATATGTATGGTCACCCGGCCCGTTCATAGTTACGTATTACCAAGGTTCTGTAAGACATAAACTCCACAGGTGTTAAGTAGTAATCAACTCTGCTTATTCGGCAGTTAGTGGCGACCGAACTGACTACTACAGTGGGGCAATTGAAATTTGGAACACCCGCTTAAGGTTTAGCGGCCAATTTAGGGACCGCCTACCAATCTAGGACTATTCTGCCAGGCGGAAACGCGCGCGCGGTTGCCTCAGTCGGGCTTATCATAGTAAAAAGGGTAGGCGGTAGTACGGGCGCACGGCCCCATCCTAAGGTGTGTTCTAAATTTCAAATACCAGTCACTGTAGTAGGTGGTTGCAGATTGCCTTAGCTTAGTCATTCAACCAATTATGACTAATCTAAAATTAGGAAGGTCTCCTTCTTGGCACTACCTCCAGTGTCCTCCGAGTTCACCCTCCGGAAGACACCTCTAACAGTACGATCACTGCTTTGGCCTCAACTTGGTCACAATGGCCACTGACACTAAGACGGTCCCCATTCCCCCAAAGCGGGCGAATACTGACTACCCGGTGCGAGAGTTCCCTTGACCTGAGGTGAATACACGATTGCTGACTACTGATTGCAGTTAATTGATTCCGATCCGTATGGTCCACTAAAATATCGAAATGTTATCTTCAAATGCTCACTTCTTCTAGGCACCTGAGACGAGTTTTTGGGTATGCGAGACCTTCTGATTATGCTATTGCCGGCGGGGCGGCTGCCGCCTCGCCACTAGCATTCTGGGCTATGGAAAGAGTCAGCCCGTCTCATGTTGGTAGAGGAGGCTTTGCCCCTGTGATGCGGCTAGCAACAGCCATTGGTCTTATTGGAGGTCTACATGTACTCTACCAAAGATCTTGCAGTATGCAAACCTCCGCGTTCAATAACGGTATATTGGCTAATGTCGGTATCAGATCGCTTTTACGGTTTCACCGAAAACTCGAGGGAAGTTGAGATGGATACCAGGGAAATGGTTGACAAGGTCAAGAAGGGTGAATCCTTATATGGCGCCTCGAAGGTGTCTACTTATTTGCAAGGAGTTGCGGCTAGGAACTCGCGGTATTCAGAGTTATTCATCCATGTTCTACCCTGGTTCAACATCGTAAACCACGATCAGGTTGGGCTCTTCCCCTTTTATGTCGGCCTTGGATTAACGTGCTAACTTACATGAAGCATGGTGTGGACACAGCCAAGTACTATCAGCAAGCCGAGCGGGAGCTTGAAGCTGAGCGTTTAGCGAAGGCTAGCTCTGCGTGAGCATTTGATTAGGAAATAGTTAAGTTGAATCATAACAGGCGAACTCTTGTATACTTATTCTCAGGCGCAATGTGCAAAGATGAAGAATATGGGGGCTACTTTCTTCCCTTTTGGCTTTGACATTCCTAAGCCTAATAGTTTATCTCGAAGTAGCACTGGCATTTCTCTTCTGATGACTTAGGTTGCCCTTGCGGATAGTTTTGCTTCTTAGGTCGTATGGCTGCGGCTTTCAATGTCATCGCCAAATCCTGTTTTGAGCTCTCTGTTTTTCTTGGGGCGAGGTTTCGGTGCTAGCCTAACGTCAGTGATTACTTTGAGCCTTCGATATGGACACACAGTCACTTGCCTTTCTCATTTTCTTGTACATAGAAGCGCCGAAGTAACATTACAGCCTCTTGACTAAACAATCCACTGTACACTGGATAAGGTGGGTCTATTGAGAAACTAGATGCGAGTCAGCCATTCCCGTTTATTCACGGTTTACAGAATGACCAACTCGGAGTGTAGTGATAGGATGCTTCCTGTGCCTCCAAAACGTTCGTTGCCACAGCCGAAATAAACAGCCTGTATGTGATACTGCCTCAAAGCTGACGCACACATAACACATGGCTCGACCGTGACATAGAGGTCTGTTAAACGAAGTAGTGACTTGGGGTAACTTCGGAGCATCTCCTCGATAGCAATGAACTCGGCATGCCTTGTACCCTAGTGATGATCAATTAGGTCATTCAGTTTATTACAGACAGCTTTAGCACAGTTGCAGGAAGCGCTATCCCATTATGGCTAGAAAGGAAAGCGAGGCGCGCGCTCCCCGGAGAGTATATGCCCCTATGCGCAGATGCGCTGTTATGAGGATTGGCCATACATACATTCATTGACCTATTCGTGTCATTCATTCCAGAACCGACTATTTTATTGTCATAGACTAAGACGCATCCCACCGGGGTTTCACCTGTCTCAAGAGCTCTTTCTCCCTAGCCAAAAGTAATCATGATTACCCTCCATAAAAAGGAAGAAATAAGGTGTGGGGCATGTAGAGGGGGCATCAATACCATCAATAAAGCTTGCTTCATAAAGTAAGCGTGTCTCGAGCTTTCCTGCTCCATAGCCGACAAACCACTACTCTTATCTTCAGGAGTCAAGACTGAAGCTCAATTAAGCTTTAAGCTTTCTGACCCAAATGGTTCCTGTACAAGAAACAGATGTTTTAGAAGTGAAACCTGCTGAAGGACAGACACGACCAATGTCATCAATGAACAATTATATGATTAGCGTTGTGAGGGAGGGTTAGAAGCTCTAGTTGACCAATTCATCATTTCTCGAGTTGTTCCGGGACGGTCATGAATAATTATATTACCGTATTTTTCAGTATTATAAATACACCCACCCATGTTTTGCTCGTAAGTCTCAGATTAGATATCAGGGAGCTCTCTCGATCATTCGCGCCAAAGTCCTGCATTTACCCCCGGTCACTAATGATCTGAAAAGATGATCAGACGTGCCCCAGATGGAAACTGATGACCTCAAGGCGTCTCAACATATAGCTCCAGGATATGGCAGCGGGAAACCGTCAACTACCTTGGCAGCACAGTTGGCACCGCGTCTCCCATCCCAAGGAAACCAGGCACATGATCTGAGCAAAGAGACCTTCTCCCTACTCCGTCGCGAGCTCGCTGGAGGGAAACACAGTCACCTTCATTTTGATGACAAGATTACAGATACTAGCAAACTAATTTGCATCGTGTTGAAAGCAGGGTTGGAGCCATGTACAAAAGATCCCAAACCTGACTCGCACGATCAGATCCTGGACTGTCTGGATATCATCTTGGTAGCAATTGAGAAAGCACCTCAGACACTTACGGAGTCCCCTGACCCAGATGTTCTGGGGGAAAGCACGCATGCTCCGTTATACGCCTGGTTAGTCGTGCGATTACTACAGTTGCTTGGTGTGTGGAATAGCGAAGATATCAGCGGGAAGACTAGCAGCATTTTCTTAAGCATAATATGCGTCCAGAATAGACATTCTAGACTGTGGCCTTCTTGCCATTCTACTGCTGGACTGCTACGAGCGTGCACAACGGGTATGTTAGGCACTGATATATGAGGATATTGGACTGATGAACCCAGAAATCTTACTATGCCTCGAGAACCTCGATATCTCTAGTCTGAGAACCGATTCCGGTGTTGATTTAATTTTGCCGAGCAAAGGGGGGACTCTTTTTGTAAATTTAGACAGACTCGGTCTTCCTCGCGGCCTTTTCGAGAAGTCATTCAAGCTCGCATCATTGCCGCAGGCTCTCAATACAGCTCTCCGCCTGCTCGATTCATTCAGAGTGAACAGAGACGATCACTCTTGCGTAACAAGCAAGGATTATACTGTCCAACAGAATGTAACCTGGCTTTTGAACGGATATCAACGCCTCTGGAACATCACATTTCACTGGCTCCAGTGCGCACAGCCAGATACTATAGAAAACAAATACAATGCATGTTTGCAGTTTGTGGCATGCATTCGGTCATGTTGCAATAAGGCTGTGTTTTCACCACCGGATATCGAACTGACGTACGGCTTGCTTCGAATTTTGGAGGACCTTTTCGCATTGGACAAGCTTGACCAATCTTCGGCTTTGCAGCGTGAGTTAGGCCAGCTTCTTGACACCTTCACTAACCGCTCCGAGTGTACCAGAGCGCTTATTAAGTGCATCCGAACTACCATATACCCAGCGCTTAGTGGTGTTTGTAAGATGCCATGTCGCTTCCAGACTTTTGAAATACAGCTCCAGGTAATCGCCCTAAATGTAATTACCAAATATTCTATAGTGCTCCTTGGGCTTATTGGATGGAAGGTTGCAATCCAGGGATTTCTTGAAAAGTTCTCCCGCATATGTCTAGAGTATGATGATACAGCTATTACTTTCACGTCTTCAAAAAACGTCGTGTCGAAAACACACCCCTGTTTCCGACAATTAGGACTTTCGAGCTCTACGGCCCAGAGTGATCAGACTATTCAGATTACAAAACGTCGCTGTATCCCTCGACTCAGCGAACAGTCGGGGCCGGGAGATATAGTTCTACAACTTATAGCGGCGTCATTCAAGTTGATAGGTTTCGGAAACCCTGGAGGCTTGGGTGATTTGTATACGGCTGTTTCGTAAGTTGGCATGACAAGCATAGCACTCAGATATCCAACTCACATCGTAGAAGAACTACCTTCGCCAGCCTTGATGAACAAGCAAAATGCGAATTTCTCAGCACTCTCGGAAAGATCCCATGTGCCATGGCTGGGAGGCTGGAGAGAATGGATAGTATAGCACCTAATGGTACTCTACTTTGTCATGTGTGTGACTACGAAAATGGTGCGGGATCAAGCATAGAATGTCCTGAAATCGATAAACTCTGCGAAATTTTGGCCTTCGTCATTCCTAGGCTTACGCGCACATCAAGCCTAAGGATCAATGCGATGATTACTCTCAAGAGGACACTACTGCATACAACGAACTCAACTTATTCGCAGCTTGCTTCCTCTGTTTTTGGCGAATTTTGTCTTCATTCCCTCCGGAGCTCCATCAGAGAACTGCGGATTGTTACTGGGTACGATTATCAGCTATTTTGAACATGCGGTGCTGACATATTTCAGGCACTCGATTATCGCTTTCATTTCCAGGAGTGTTGACAACGAAACGCGTCGCAGTAACTTCGTTGTCATTCTAGAATGGTTGAGAGGAATTTCAGAAAAGCAGGAGACGTCACTACACGAAACATGCATATTGACGCTCTGTCGCCTTGCAACGTATGCGTTAAGCTTCTCGGCGTTAATAGTCTATGAACTAACATTCGGGTATTGCAGGCTTTCAAATGATGAAGAGATGAACATCATTCTTATTCGCCTGATCGAATTTCTGGGACACCCGAATCCCTTCGTCTGTGGGGTGGCGTATACTGAAGTATGTAGTACAACACTAAAGCTCATCTATAATTATCACCTTTTTCTATGACAGGACACCGCTCTAACGAACCCCCGACATTCAGCTTTCGAAGCTTGCACAGCACCTCTCGGTCACTCCTGCAGGACTGTTCAGGCCTTTTTGGAGAACTCTTTCCGTGACAATAGTGAAGAACTTCCAATCACGTCCATACATGGCGGAACACCTCTGCGATCTGTTGGGAATGAAAGTAGACGATTTCCTCAGGTTGACTGAGGTGTATGTCTTACCTCATCTAGTGCTTACACGAAAGCGAGATATCATTGCCAGGGTTGGAGCGACTTACAAGGATGCCAAGACCCCCTTTGATCTTTGTTCAGAAAAAAATAACCTGGCAGCAATCCTGGCATTCCTTTTGAGCCAAGCTTCATCGAATCCAGAACATTTGGCCATGTCTGCTTTATCAGAGGTGGACCCTGCCTTCGAAGGCCGTACCTTAGCGGAGCTTGTACGGATTGAGCCGATTTTAATTGCGTGTCACTTATTCAAGGGTATTGGGGATTCTGTCGATGAGAAGAGAGTAATGGTAGGCGAGTCCCTGCCATCTGTCACTTAGATCTTCGGTGCTGATAAGAGAAGTTCCATCGCGCTCTTCAACTCCTAGCAGCCCTCGTCCCACGGAAGTCGGGACATATATCACGGAAAGCTAATTTGATCGGTTACTTCATTGAGGAGCATATCCTTGGTATAATTACAGAATTTGCCCATTCCATCAACGATTTTCAGATCAGGCAACCTTTAGTTGAAAAGAAAAGAAATATCGTAGCTATTGGAGAGATGGTTAGGGTCGCTAGAGGGCACGTGGGTAGCGCGATACCCCAGGTCAGTATATTAGGAAATGTTGTTTTTGAAACAATAAATACTAACAGAAGAAGATATGTGCTTGCCTGCGATCCGCCCTGGAAATTGAGGAATTGTGTAATCCTGCCTTCACAGTTTGGGCAGTATTGGTCAGCTCCTTGCACGACGAAGACATTGAACCACTTCTAGATCAGACTTTGTCCATTGTGATCAGATACTGGAACATGTTCACAGAGGATACACGAAAATGCGCCTATGAACTTGTTGAGAATATTTTGAGAAACCACAGTGAACTAGTACGAGACGTATTTCACACTATGCCGTCCCTGGCTTCCATTCCAGTGATGTCCAAATTTGAAGCCGAGCTTAGGGAATTACGGGCGAAAATGGATGTTCGAAGCCAATTTTTAGCATTTGCTCGACGCTGTCAAAGTGAGAATGCAGCTGTCGTCAACCAAGCTCTAACAGAGCTAGTGCCGTACCTCCTTGAACACGAGGAATTTCTTCATCGCACTGTCCTTAGCGAACAACCAGATCCAGTTGTTGCTCAGTTAACTCGGTCTTTGCTCGATTGCTGTGTGAAGTTCAACACTAGTTCAGACGCCATAACTCTTCTCTCAACTCGATGTATAGGCCTTATTGGCTGTTTGGACCCAAATAGGGTTGATTCGATTAAAGACAAGAAGGATATACTCGTTCTATCAAACTTTGATAGCATGGAAGAGACATTCGACTTCATACTCTTTTTCCTTCAACACGTGCTTGTTGAGGCATTCTTATCAGCATCTAATACTAGGGCTCAGGGATTTCTTGCCTATGCTATGCAAAATTTACTTAGATTTTGTGGTCTAGATTCAGCTGTCACCCAACGTTCTCGCAATGTTCAGGGAGACGAAAAATATCGACGTTGGTTGGAACTTCCTGAGGCGGTTCGCAACACTTTGACCCCTTTTCTCACATCCAAATACACGGTCACAGTTGGCGCTGTCAACTCGAGCTGCGCCTATCCATTATTCTCGGCTAATTTAACGCATGGTGAATGGTTACGAACTTTTGTACAGGACCTACTACAGAGAGGGAGTGGTGACAATGCGAGGCTTGTGTTCAGTGTATCTAGTCGCATTGTGAAAGGCCAGGACATATCTATAGCGTCTTTTCTTCTACCTTTTGCAGTGCTGAACCGTATAGTTGGTGGCACTCAGAAAGAAAAGGAAGATTTGCTGCACGAGCTGACAAGCGTTTTATCACACCCGCTTCCAGACACCACGAACCATCTCCATGAAGCTATCCTGCTGTGCAGTCAGGTAAGTGCACTGTACAAATTCAGGAGACGTCTACGGACGCCGGGCTAATCTTTCATCGCTGATTTGGTATAGAGCATTTTCGAGGTTCTCGACTACCTTTCGAGATGGCTACAAGGGAAAAAAAAGCAGCTCAATGTTCTTAGAAACCACAGTCACCATGCAAGTCGTTCTCACAGGGAGACATGTCCGGATCCACGTTTAGATACATATTTACCCCAAGCTAAGGCTGTCGAATCCCTTCTAGCTTCGATACCACCTGAGGTAATCTCTAAAAGGGCCGTTGAGTGCAAGTCGTTCTCAAGAGCACTTTTTCATTGGGAACAATATATTCGCCAGTCTCGGAACAAACAAATGGGGTTTCGCATTGAACCTCTGTATCAACGCCTCCAGGATATTTATAGCCAGATCGACGAGCCAGATGGTATTGAGGGCATATCGAATCACTTACATGCGCTCAACATTGATCAACAGGTCCTTGAACATCGCAAGGCAGGAAGATGGGCAACTGCGCAAAGTTGGTATGAGCTACAGCTCGAGAAGGAGCCTAATGATCTTGATGCCCAGTGGAATCTTTTAACATGTCTCAAAGAATCGGGACAACAAGGTATCATCTTCGAGGAAACATTCTCAAGTTGGCACTTTACTCACCATATGCAGATGCTATTCTCACACGATTTGATGCCTTCCGGGAAACTGACGCCGGCTCTAAGTTTCTCCCGTTCGCAATCGAGGCCTCATGGATCTCGGGAAAATGGGAGAAACTGCGCAGTTATCTTCGACTTTGCTCTCGTCAAGGGACAGGAGATTTTAACATCGGGGTGGGATTAGCGCTTGATGCCATTCGCCAGGGTGACAAAAAGAAGTTTGGGGATATTATCAGTGACCTGAGGCTCAGTGTTGCAAAGTCTCTCAATGTCAATTCTGTGGTATCGTTACAGTCATGCCATGATAGCATCCTCAAGCTGCATGCCTTGGCGGAGATGGAATACATATCTAGCTTCCGTTCTGGAAGTGAAGAAATCGATACGCTTTCCGAAATGCGCAATGCTCTGAGTCGCCGCTTAGATATTTTGGGAGGTCATATATCTGACAAGCAGTATCTTCTTGGTTTAAGGCGAGCTATGATGGAGCTGACGTACGTTTTCCTCGTTGTCCTCTTACCATGGATCAATGTGGCTAACATGCACACAAGGCACAACTTCCCTAGTTCAGACGTAGCTGATGCCTGGCTCGCCAGTACTCGCCTTTTGCGTAAGGGCAATTTCACTAACCAAGCATATCAGTCGATGCTTCACGCAGCCCGTTTGAGAGATAGATCGGCCACTATCGAGCACGCTAGACTTCTATGGAAAGACGGTTATCATCGGAAAGCAATACAGACATTGGAAGGTGCAATAGCTGCCAATGAATTTGCTCCAGACACATCATCGGACGGCCGTGACTCTGGCGGTCTAGCCTCAGACCGCGAAAAGCATCAAAATCTACTCGCTGCTAGGGTATGTCATCAGCATAGTTTGCAATATAAGGGTGCCATGACTAATATGAGGGGCTTAGGCTCATCTCTTGTTAGCGAAATGGACAGACAGAGCCGGACAGACCCAATCGGATGTTATAGTGCAGAGATACCGAGAGGCCATCTACCTACATTCAAGGTACTCACATAATCTTTTCAGAGGCTACCACATACTAACCAGCATCAGGTGGGAAAAGGCCCATTATTATCTGGGGAAGCATTACAATAAAATCCTAGATTCAGAGAAAGCTAAACCATTGGGAAAAGAGTCCCAGATATAGTAAGTTCATTTGCTCCCGCCTGCCTCAATGTTTAGGACTCATACTCTTTTAGTTTAAGTGGCGAGGCTTCAAAGTTAGTCATTGACAATTATCTTCGATCCTTAGCGCATGGCAACAAATACGTCTTTCAATCATTGCCCAAAGTTCTCACCCTTTGGCTGGAGCATGCTTCCACTGTTGATCAACCTTTTGATCCAAAAAGGGGAAACAATGAGTGAGTGGAAATCTTTGCCCTTCTATCATAGCTTTTCGCCTCTGTTCCTCTAGCGATGAGCTGCTAAATGCGAGTAAAATATGGTATAGGGACTTTCAGATTCACACTTTGAACCAAAGGAGGAAAATTCTTGATGATATGCATTCGCAATTAAAAAAATATGTCAATCGAATGCCGGCTGCGCTGGTAAGTATGCCAAGGAATAGTACTGCTAGGATGTCCTCTAATAACTTCAGCTGTTCACAATCCTTCCTCAAGTGGTTGCGAGGATCTGTCATCCGAATGGAACTGTCTATGACCTGTTGACGAAGGTAGTAGCTAAAGCAGTAAATTTCTTCCCTCAACAGGGACTATGGATAGTGCTTGCTGTGGTAAAGTCCTCCTCCAAAGACAGGGCATCTAGGGGCATCAACTGTCTTCAAAGGATCACGGTAGGAATTCTCGAGATATTATCTTTTAAAATACTAACAAGGTATAAGGAAGTAAACAAGAAGTTGAAGACGGAGACACCATCAGATATGCGTGCAATGATAAATCAGGGGCAAAAGTTCTCCGAAGAAATGCTAAAACTCTGCGTTGCGCGCATTGAGGACAAGGTCTCGAGGATCAACCTAGCCCGGTTTTTAGGGTTCAACCATAAAGTAGCCCCTTGTCGACTTGTCGTGCCATTTCAGTCGTTGTTAACTCCGACCCTACCAACCAGCCATGATGGGGAGTACTTGAAAGAATTTAGGGCTTTCCCCCGAGATCCCACGACTATCGAAGGTATGTTGCCGCACTTTGGCCTCCCTGGTGGGTAATTATTACATGGCATGCCTGACTCCATCTAGCTGTCCTTGACGATGCGCAAGTTCTGAATTCGCTCCAAAAGCCTCGTAAAATCGGTGTTCGAGGGTCGGACGGAAAGGTCTACAATATCCTCTGCAAGCCCAAAGACGACCTCCGTAAAGACCAACGCCTCATGGAGTTTAACAATATGATCAATAGGTTCCTAAAAAGAGACGTTGAATCGAGTAAACGACGCATGTGTAAGTGTCGATAGAAGCTACGATGGCTCTAAGAAAGCTGATCAGAGAAAGATATCAAAACATATGCCGTTACCCCTCTCAACGAAGAATGCGGGTTGATTGAATGGGTTGATAATCTCAGAACGTTGAGGGATCTTGTTGTCAAGTTGTTGAGGGAACGTGGCATAACGCCAAATGTGAGAAGCAGCATGATGGTCTTTACCACTATCTAGCGAGATGACTGACATTTACACAGTACACGGAAATCAGGCATTATCTCAACGAAGCATGCTCCGAGATCTCAAAATTGCCTTTGTTTACAATCAGGGTTCTAGCAAAGTAGGTACCCGGTTTGACCTTGCGAGACCGAAGGCAATAAGGTTAATGTAAATATAGGTTTCCTCCAGTCTTACATGAGTGGTTTGTTGAGATGTTTCCAGAGTCAGGAGCATGGTTTGCGGCGAGACTTCGGTATACTCGATCCTGCGCCATCATGTCAATGGTTGGATACGTCCTAGGGTATGTTTATTCTTGCTATGGATATGCCCTCTCCTAATCCCTGTATTTCATTGCAGGCTCGGAGATCGACACGGTGAGAATATTCTCTTTGAGGAGGGCACTGGTGGTGTTCTGCATGTCGATTTTAATTGTCTTTTTGACAAGGTAAGGTACTCAATAATTCCAGCCTTTCATCCTTGGATGTTGAGAGAAAGCTATTGTAGGGTTTGACATTCGATAAACCGGAACTGGTCCCCTTTCGTCTCACGCAAAATATGGTTGATGCCTTTGGTGCTTATGGGTATAACGGTATGTGTAGGCCAGGTCCATGATTAACAGAAATCCTGTGTTAAGCCTCTAAACAGGGCCGTTCCGTAAGACATGCGAGATAATCCTTGGTCTGCTCAGACAAAACGAGGACGCGCTGATGACTGTACTCGAAACATTCCTACACGATCCAACAACAGACTTCATTGGAAAGAAAGTAAGCAATATTATTCCTGAAGCGCCTCCGCAGTGCTAATATGTTCATGAAGCGCCGCACCCATGTCAGTGTTCCAGAGACACCTGCAGGTGTCCTCGAAAATGTTCGTAACAAACTCCGTGGTCTTCTACCTGGCGAATCTGTTCCACTGTCGGTGGACGGGCATGTGGATGAATTGATAATGCAAGCGACTGACAAAAAGAACCTGGCGGCGATGTATATTGGTTGGTGTGCGTTCTTCTAGACACCTACTCGTTATCAACTAGCATACTTCATCCTCGGTCTCACGTACTTCTCTCGCAAAGTGCCTGTTCAATATCTTGGGAATATATTCCACATTGATTTGTAAATCATAATCCATAGTGTTTTGCACAAGAGCTTAAAGCGATTCCTTGTATTATTAACATACAACGTAAATTTTATTAGTCACCCAATTCCCTGCACACCACGGAAAATCCAATAGACAGAAAGATAGGAATCGGGTCAAGCTGCTGCACATCATTCATCGTCTAGGCGGACCGTATCGATTAGGGCCCCTATTTCTGCTTGGAGTTCTACTCCTGTCACTGTGGCTGCTGTAGTCGTAACTACTGTAACTAGGACTACGGCGTCTACCACGTCGAGGACTACCAGAACGTAGCTGTCCCCTCCTCCTCGATGGAGCCACTGACCTGGGTTCTGACGAGACTGACCGGGATCGACGTGGCGATCGAGATCGAGATAGTGACCGCGGGCGATAAAGGTCGTGTCTTTCCATAGGCCTGGTGCGATTTGACCTTCTCGAGTTGGGTGGTGACCTGGGCGGGTACGGAGAGGGGCGAGAATAACGATTGTCAAAAGGCTGACCACGGCTGTTCCTTTGACGGCCAAAGCTTCCTCTCCCAGCCTGGGGCGGTGGTGGCGATCGAGAAAATGCTCTGCGGGGAAGAACGATGGAAACATTAAGCACAGCACCATCAAGTTGGGACTCGTGCATGTGTGCAATAGCTGCTTCTGCGTCCGCAGGATCATTGTACAGTATATACGCGGTACCTCTATTTGTCATAACTTGAAAGAGTATGTTAGACGGTCAATAAAAGTGACGAGGAGATCTGTGCATACAGGCTTTGTTCATGGGAAGATCAAGACTCTCTATACCCCCGAAACTTCCAAATATTTCTCGAAGATGCGACTCCGTTACATTTTTCGTCAGTTTTTCGACTACAATCTTCGAAATGTGAGTTTCACGGATGATATCAACAATATGTAGCTAGGTAGAAAGGAAGTGCAAATGGAGAGGGCTCTAGGAGGGGCATTGGGCATTGGTACAGACTTTTGAGCTTCTTGGAAGGCTATTTGCAGGGCTAGGAGTCCTACTGCAGCTTTTGTCCCTGTACCATCGGGAGCCCCGACTTCGACTCCGACTCCAGCTTCGGCTTCGGCTTCGCGACAGCATCTTAGATCGCGAGGCAGTGAGAGATCGGCTCCTAGAACGGTAACCATTGCGGCGACCAAGGCCACGCTCGGAAGATGGGTTGCGTAGTCTTGATTCAGAACGAGGAGATACGGTGCGTCTCAATGGGGTAGTAGCGTGCTCGGTACTCAGATCATGTGGTGAGCGGATTGGCGAGCGTCCTCGAGCTCTCGCAGACATGCTTTGAAAGAAATTCAGATAATGGAATATAACTGTGTCAATGTCTCTTCTCCTATCTTCTCTTTTCTTTTAGTTCCAGTTCTAACCGTTTGAGAGGCAATGAGTGTAGAATGTTATTTTCAGCAACGTCCGAATGGATGGGTCCTTTGACCTCATTACTAGTGGCTACGCTAGCCCGTCTTAGTTAGGCTAGAAAGCAAGCTCAGACATTATATTACTAGTAATACCTACTGCGTACTACTTACTAGTTGTTGAATTATTCCATGTTCTTGGTATGTACTTTTAGAACAATCCAACGAAGAAAAGTGTTTGTACATAGTACGACTATCACAAGTCTAAATTAAATGTCAACTGACTCCCCCCATCGCTCGTACTGCTGGATGACACTGTCCGTGATCTGCCTCTTAACTTGCTTGAGCGCCATTTCGAAGTGTTCCCACCGAATCTCCTGTGTCTGACCCGTCTCTTCCTCCTCGTCCAGTGCAGCATCTCCGGCAGTCTCGCAAATGCTCACGATTTCTGCCCCCGAGTAGCCGTCAGTCTTACCGGCCAGTTCTTCCAAACTTACCCCAGGGTGGACAACAGATTTGCGACACCAAATATTAAAGATCTCTTTCCGCGCCTCAAAATCAGGGGGGCCAATGTAAAGAAGATTGTCTAAACGACCCGGGCGCATCAAGGCAGGGTCAATTACCTCGGGTTTATTAGTCGCGGCCACCACCAAGACACTCTTTAACTCCTCGATTCCATCCATCTCGTTCAGCAAAGTGGTGAGCACGTTGACCCCCCCTTGGGATGTGCTATTGCGCTTTGAAGCAATCGCATCAATCTCATCGAAAAAAATGATACTAGGCCTTGCAGATCGCGCCTTTCGGAAGATGTCCCGCAGGGCCCGTTCCGACTCCCCAACATACATACTCAGTACTTCCGCACCTTTCACGGCCATGAAATTCAGGCCCGCTTCAGTAGCAAGCGCTTTGACAGTCAAGGTCTTAGAGCAACCCGGTGGTCCGTATAGCAGAATGCCTTTCTTACTATTTACATTAAGCCTCCTCATTCGTTCCGGATACTGAATCCGTTAGTTTCATTGTTATAGATCAATGGAGTAGCTACTCACCATTAGAGGCCTTTCAACGGCCTTTTGGAGGCGCCGTTTGATTTCATGCTGTCCTCCAATGTCTGACCATCTCACTTTCGGTGTCTCTAAGAAAATCTCCCGCATCGCAGTGGGACGAATTTCTTGTATGGCCGATAATACGTCGGCTTCTTGGACTTCCAAAGGCACAGTTTCCTTGAGGGTGGTGTTTTCACTTGAGTCACTGGAAAACATGGACGCGTGTCCTGAAGGCCAGTCGTTTGATTGAACGTCGATCTGTCTCTGGCGCGCCTTGCGGCAAACGAGTTGGAGCAAAGCAAACAGATCGGCACCAACATAGCCGTGAGTCTTTTCCGCCATCACAGCTATGAGAGTATCATTTATTACGGGAGATTGATATCCGCAAATAGCACGCAGGATCTGGGCTCGATCATGGGTTGTAGGGATATGGAGTTCAATCTCAATCGCTAGTCGATGTGGAGTCCTCAAAGCGTCATCGACTTCGTTGGGGTGCCGAGATGCTGCTACAACCAAAACCAGAGCGCCTTTCGCAAGGTCTAAACATTCACATAGAACAGACGTCAGAGACTGGGAATCCAATGATGTGCGCTTAGGGGCAATGAATTCCAACTGGTCGATTACCACAACACTCGGCTGACAACGAATTGCTTCTTGGAAAATATTGCGTAGCTTAGCTTCGCTATCGCCAATATTCCTACTGAACGTGGAAGAGCCTATATTGAATGCTTTTCTCCAACCGGCAGCTTGTATTTGGCGGAGGAGGGAAGTTTTGCCTGTTCCCTTTGGGCCATAAAGAAGCACGCCTCGAGTAGGCTCGTAGAAAGAAGGCATCGCCACATTTCCTGAGCCCAAGTTGAAGTCAGCAAGACACTGGTTAACACTATCAATCTGGCGGCCTAATCCACCCAAGCCAGATGGCTGTACTTGGATATTGAATCTTTGGGCTCCCTTCTCTCCATCTAAATCGGTCCCAATAAAAGCTTTGGAGTTTTCGGTAAACCGCAATAATGTGCTATTAGTACTTCGATTCAAAGCCCGCATAGTTGCTACTTTGAAGCTTCTTCGTTGGCCCTTGAGCTCTAAATCAAATATAAGACCAATAGCGACAGCATCACATCTAGAAAGAGGAAACTCCAAAGCCCAGCCCCAGTGATGTCTCTCCGTAGGGGGAAGGGGTCCATATCTTGTAATTCGGTCGATATCAGAACATTCCACCAGAGAAACTGATTCGATCTCTTCTAAGGGACCATCGATTCTTGAGATAGAGACCTTCTCACCAAGCTTAATGTCATAGCAATCCTGGAGTGTCCTGGAGGTCTGTACGACTGTGTTCTGTATGTTTTCGGTGGCATTCCAAACTATGGCGGTCTTCGTGCAGTCGCCGGAGTGATTCACAGTGCAAGCATCCCCGGCTCGGAGTTTAAGAGCAGCCAGTGACGAAGATGATAAATAAACACGGAACGCATCTCTATAGTCATTTCTCGCTTGCTTTGAAAGTGGTCGAACCGTGAAAAGGCGGGGTTCCGACATCTCATGCAAGCTAGACAAGAAAGTCAGCAGATTACATACAATATTGCGAGTCGCAATACCACAAACCGTAGGTATGTTGCGTCCGTGACAAGTAGTTTATTGATGGTTAAGACCGGATCCTCTATACTGCTGTCATTGCAGTAATACAACAATGTTGGTCGTCCTAAGCACGCACAATAGAGTAGAATGGATGAGAGGAAGAAAATAGTGCGGGTGAGAGTAGGGGGACTAAAAAGGTGTAATTATTCAAGACATGAAAAAGTAGCTCATCCTATCGAGAGAATGGGGATTAAAAAATATGAATTCCATGAACTTAAAATTTAAATCCCCGCCCCGCACTGACCCGTACCTTAATTCCTCAGGCCCTATATTCAATATGATCATGAATCCCGGCTCTAATGATCTAAAAAGCCAGGCACCTCCTGTTACATACAATACCTATCCATTGGTTTACATAAGGCCCAAATCCTTTTTTGATCTAGCACCTGCCCCAGTCACCTTGCTCTTCTTCCTCCCTAACGGTGCCCAGATTTCGCTGTATTGAGTCGGAAGCGAATCGTTATGTTCAATAGCCCCGGGGGGCATCTATGGATATCTGTGACACGTCGATCAATATCGGTATTCTGGAAACAACGAAAGTTGGTTCAAAAGAGCCCTTCTCTCTCTAACGCTCAAGCGAGTGTCTCATCGAGCAGGCGACTAGGAAAGCTCCAAGATACACCTGAAACATACCAACCGAATACACCACGCATTACTGACATTGTAATGGGAATAGAGGACCGTGGTGCTGTCATTGAGCATGGGAGGCTCAGGATAACCTCGAGCGAACTTAGTCATCGAGACCATAAAACGGCGCTCGTGCTCTCGGGCACCAGTCGATCATTGACTGCCTATGACTTCTGTAGGATGCTAGAACTGGAAGATAACAGCTTGAAGGGACTTGAAGAAGGTGTATCCATACGCAAATAGAACGCGCGAATAGCTTTACTGATAAGTATTTCAGTCTTGCCTATGCGAAATCGTCGAACACTCGAACGCTCTGGTTCTTGGGCACTTGTCTTTATCTCTCCTGCCTATGCCATGGAATACCAACAGAGGGTCGACGAGCTACAAGAAATATATTCTAGGCAAGTCACTCCTACCGGCACAGTATCATCGAATATACCACCAGCCGAAAAGTCCATAAATGGCAGGGCCAAACATTGCAAGCTCTTTAATCATGCACTTGCTTCGACATTGCAAAATGCTTCTATGGCAGCGCAGCTATTTCCATTCGACTCCAAGTTAAAGCATGCGATTGGAATCCATAGAAGTCTGTTTCAGTCAAAATCTTCTGGGTACAAATTCTTCCCTGTCAAATTACATCTGGATCACCCCGCCTTGCCCTCTTTTGACTCGCAATATATCAGAGAGCTTCTAAAGCTTGACGGTATTATGAGAGGTCGAAAGTGGGCTTTACCAGAAACTGACGATGCCGTTATCCAAATAGAAACAACTACTATGTCTGGGCTATCGCCGCTAGATCTCGGAGGCGCCGACGGTCATCCATCTGTCAATATCGCAGGGGTATGGCAGGTGAATTTCCTCACTGCGTTCGACGCTGCTCGTTTCGTCCGTGTCTGGCATCAGAAGCCCCTTGCAGTATTTGGAAATATATCCCTTGATAAACCCGACATATATGTCAAGGCAGAGTGCATTTTCTAATACATATTATCACTCGATGTTTTGCGTTCGGCGCATGAAGCTTTTACAAGAATGGAATTGAGATTACAACCAGATATGGAATACTATCACAATTTTATTCTTTTCAATTGGATAACAATCAGTTATATAATTAAGGTGAGAAAGGGAAGATGGCTACTTGGTCACTTTCCTTCTCTGCCTTTTCTCAAAGCGACAGCTATACCCATGGTAAAGGATGCTTTTAAGTATCAGCACACATTCTTGTCCCTCCCAAGCCAAAAATACATGATACATTATGATACTTATGGCAATACACAGTCCACAACCTATAACATAGATACCCAGGAATAGAGTAACATGAATTAAACAACGCCACCTAACATTTTCAAAAGACTAACAGAAATAGCGGCCCGCTCCTCAACCGAAATTCACGAACATATACGAAAAAGGAGGTCCGCGAAAAGAGAATGCCTCTATAGAGGCGTCAAAGCCCTAGCTTATTCGGGTTCATAATAGGAAAACCGTGTGCCGGGAATCTAGAGAAACAAATGTATGGTTGTAAGGGTTCATCGAAAGGGTGAGGCAGGCAATGATACTAGCGAGGTCAACAACACTTGCCCCCTGTGTTACCATTCAGCCCTGGGCCTTGCTGATCTATGCTGACGCCCTGCGAACCTGCCTGTTCAGATTTAGATGTGTCCATGCCTTTCTTTATTTCCGAGGCAAGATTGTAAAAGGCTTTTTCGATATTGATATTGTTTTTTGCTGACACTTCGAGGAAAGGTATGCCAAGCTCATCGGCTAGTTGCTGGCCCTGTTCAGTTGACACGGCTCTCTTCTCCTCCCAATCACACTTGTTTCCGATGAGGATTTTATGAACACCCTCACTTGCATGTTGTTCGACGTTTGAGAACCATGTACGGATGTCTGGTAAAGATTGCCACAGCGTCAGCACTAGAACACTTCAACCTATTATCAAGAGAAGCCCTTACTTTGAAATGACCGTTCATCGGTGACATCATAGACAAGAAGTATGCCCATTGCCCCTCTATAGTAAGCCGTTGTAATCGTCCGAAAACGTTCCTGTCCAGCCGTATCCCATATCTGAAGCTTTACACGCTTCCCGTCCAGCTCAATTGTACGGATCTTGAAGTCAATTCCAATAGTCGTGATGAAGGATGGGGTAAATGAGTCTTCGCTGAATCGTAACAAACAACACGATTTCCCCACCCCAGAGTCTCCGATCAATAATAGTTTGATCTTGAGTGCCATTCATCAGTGTATTGCCTATCGAGAGAGCGGCGGAACTCACCAGGAAGTCATAGTTTCTCGTACCAGCCATGATGAGGTAGCCTCTAGTGGAATTAAGCAGAGTTACGCAAGTCTGGAGGATAGGTGGGGTGTATGAAAATCACACTCGTCGAAGAAAAGTTTCACGGGGATGAAAGCTTCTGACACGCAGGCCTTGAGTAGTGCTGGAGAACCTGAAATCTTTCTGGTATCACGCGAGTCTCGTCCTGTCTTTTTTTCCCTCTTTCTTCGATCAACTCTATTGTCCTCTTTCCACTTCCGTGATTATTTTCTTTTTGCAGGAGAACTGCAGCCACCGAATGGTGGCAAGGTAGGCTTGCTGGCTAGAACGAAACAGAAACTCGAACGCTATACGAGGGATCAGGGGAAGGGCGGACGGACGATCAAGTCTCGCAGTCCAAAAGGCGGTCTGTTTAGGGTGTGCAACTTTAGAAGGTTAGAGCTAAGTCGGATGTCGGTTGTTCTGATGTTTATCGGGAAAGGGTACAGAGATAGAGAGTAGCAGGTACGTAGTGCCAGAATGGATGAATCGTTGGGTGGTGTCAAGCTAGGGATACCACACTCACAGTATGTACATACATGCAACAGTATATAGGCGGAACTCAGTACACCCACTGTAACTTTGCCTTAGCATCTGGTAATAATACATACAACAATACATACAACTGTCTCATATGAAGTCTCGACCTTCCAGGTCTGTCCCGATATTTGCATAGCTACTGAAAAATCTTGGATGCAGTAGTAGCCCTTCTGGAAAGGCCATACTAGTATATATAGATGACTTTAGAGTACGTTATTATCCTTTCCTAACTATCGACTATTCAGGGCCAATGTGACCGGTAAAAAGGAGTATCAAAACCGATAGCGCGGTATTAACATACGGCTCCTTTATTAACGGTAGCACCCCTTCAATCAGATGTATTAGTTTCTGCCATGGTAATATAAGTAATATAAACCCGCCTACTGAATAGGCACTGTATTTTATTTATAAAAGATATAAACTGGTGCAATTCAGTAAGTTATATACAAGAATAACAGGTTTAGAGTGGCAAACAGGAGGTGAAGTTGATTGTAGCAGTTAAAAAATACATTACAAGGTTAAAGTATTTTAAACTTAATAATATAAAAATATTCTAACATAATCAACCACTGAACCGCCATCTGCTGTTTGCTATATAGAATGGCACTTGTTATAACCCTAATAACTCAACAACCAGACATGGCAGAGATCTAAAATTTAACATACACATTAGTATTCTACTATATATACATACTAAGTTGTGAAGTCCCTGAACTAGATAGTATACCATATATTAGAAATTGTACCTATATTTTTTCTATATTCTAGTGTTACGCCTGGGTATTCGGGCAAGAGCTCTATGAGTGTTAGCTGCCTTGCGTTGCGATACTACCTTACCTAGGTAGTGACTCTGAAGTGATTCCCAATCTCGATCCTATCCAGGATCCAATAATATAACCTAACCTAAGGTCTGATAAGGTATAACAATGCTTCTGTAAGTAGCTTAAGTCTAAAAGGCCAGGCCTACTAAGTATATATACTCAGTAGTTAAGGAAGTATAAATAAGTTAATTACTAACTTAATACTAAAGATATATCCTAAGTAATAATTATAATTAATTATAAAGAACTATCTAGATATATAAATAAGTATTATTATATATCTATTCTGCTATAATATATCCTTATACTATAGTATATACTTTATACTATATACTGTAGTCTTTCCTGTATACTATCTGGTATATCCTATTATATAATTTAGGATTCTTCTTACTTCTTCTAGATAGCTTATCTTATCTTTCTATTATACTAGTCTTATTATTTTTTCTGTCTTATATATCTGCTTTCTTCAATAGAATATACTAGATAAGGATCTATAATATCACTTCTTCTCTTCTAAGCTTTTATTCTTAAAAGTATAAATTTATAGCTCTCTCTTTTATAAGACTTTAAGATTTTTTTTCTATAAATTTTTTTTCTTTTTACTATAATAATTTATTATATTT